GGGCCAAAATGGCCAATTGGTGGGGTGGTGGGCTCCGGTGTTCGAAGCCTCAGGTGGTTGGGGGTGGAGCGGTTCTGCGGGGGGTGTTTCTTCACTCTCATATCGGGAGCTTTGGCCAATAGGCGGTGGAAACGTCTGCAAGAGCGAAACTGCGGGCTTCGGCTATTAAGGGAAGCCCTGGTGGAAACAGGCTGTAAGCCGCCCGGGGTTGGGGCAGTCGGCGTGGGGCCGTATGAAGGCTTTTGGTTGTTGGTCCTAGCTCTGGAGCCCAAACCACAACTAGGGGTTGGAGAGGTGGATAGAGCATGCCTCCAAGCTCTGTATTCCCGCCTGCTGCGAGATCTGGTGGTGATGCGGCGGCGTGCTCGCCGCTGCCGTGCTGTTTGTGACCTGAGGTGGCGGTGGTACTGTGCTCGGGTCTGTGAGGAGGGGGGTGTCCGGGGAGTGGTGTGGGGTCTGTGGGGCACTTCGTCGCCGAAAGGCACACTAGAACAACTCTCAGAGCAACCTGGAAAAGCGAAACTGTGAGGTAAAGATGGACTAGAGTTACAATAGTGGCTCGGCGCACCCAGCTCGCCTTTAGGTGGCGTGCCAGAACGGTTCAACTTGTTTTTGCCCAGCTGTGTGGTACGGTCTGGGTCTGCTATGGTACAAGAGGCAGCAGCCTGTGAAAAATGCAGTCGCACGGCTGCTGCGGAAGATTGCAAGGAAGAGAGGGCGCGCTTGCCGAACCGTCACTGTGAGCCAGTCGAGCGGCGCTTGATGCACCAGGACTCCCAAGCCTCCTGTGGGTAGTCGGTTGGGACCCCACCGTGGTTGATGTGGGCGATCTTTGCCTCTTCAACCGCTTTCTCCAGCTCTGCCTGTGAGCTGAACGGGTAGTAGCTCGGCCTGGCCTTGGTCTGCTGTGGAGGAAGCATCGCGGTACTCGGGATGCTGGCCGTGCTGATGCCACTGGCCGCTGAGGCTGCATCGCTGTGAGTGCGCTTCATTTGCGAGGCCACGTCGATCATTGCCGCCACACCTCCGCTCTCAGGGTCCACTGTGAAGGCTGCCTCCTGCTCCTGGGCTGCCATCTCTTCCATGAGTTCCTCGGTGGACCGAAGGCCTGTGAAGTGGGTCCTCTCGTCAGCGTCGGCGGGGACTTGGACAAACTTCACCGGCCACGGGAACTCATACCGGAACCGGGCGATCCAGTGGTCTAGACCTTCATCCTCGCCCTCGTTGTACTCCGGAATGGCCTTGGTCAGGAATCTGCTAAGTCGCTTGGCCTCAGCATAATTGTGTGCTGTGAGGCGAGCTGCGCTGTCGAAGGCTTCCTGCTCGACCGTAGTCTGGTTGACCTGCTGTCGCAATTGGTCATACCAGATGCTTCGCCAGGTCTCCAGGAGCTTTGTGGCATGCTCCTCTGGGATGTGGATCTCGCACTCCCAGTCTGTGAGGGTACCGGTGGAGGTTGTCTGTGAAGGACCCCCGCGGCGGTATACGATGCGGCCCAGCCAAGCCTCCTTGGAGTCAACCAAGGCCAGCGTCTTCCACCTCGGAACCAGTGGCTCTTTGGTGAACTTGCTAAGGCCGCCCGGTAAGCGTTCATGAGTCCCTGGAGCGAAGCAAGCCTGCGTTCAAACTGTGTGACTCCAGGGGAGAGCTTTACCGGACCGCCGCCCTTGTACTCATAGGTCTGGGCTGGCTCTTTCGAGCCGGCTGCCTGTGAGGATTCCGCCGGGGTCTTCTCGGCCGTTTCTTCGGAGCCGTCCTTTGCATCTTCGGGCTCCTTGGATTCTTCCCCTGTCCCGGGCTTTTCCTGGTGGAAGTACCAAGGGTACACCCTGTCCGATACCTCCAAGATCCTCTTCCGGACCGTGAGGGAAGGGACTGTGAGGATGGAGGTGGCAGAGAGCTCCGGCTTACCGGGCGTGCCCGTGTCCAGCCGAGTTGTGGCCAGGTCCCACATGCCGTCGATATTCCACAGCCCAGCTTTCGCAAGGGCCTTTTCCACTGTGAGGCGGCGGTCTGCCTCCGTCTGCCAGGTGGGGAAATTTCGGCATACGATGGTGCGCTTGGCCTGCTCGATCTGTGAAAAGAGCATGTCCTTCTCAGCCCATGCGGTGCGGATGCGAAGGGCCCGGACCTGCTGCTCCAGGTTACCCACTCGCTCGTTTGTCCTCACCTGTGAGGTGGACAAGGACGAGTATACTGCTCCGAGAGCTGGGGCGACCTTCTGCTGCATCGCCATCTGCACTAACTCCATACACTGTCCGACTGTTGCCGGGGCGTTGAGGTCTACCCCCTGGGCTAGCGGAACTGTGAAGGACTGTGGCTGCAGCTGAGTCGGAATTAGCACAGCAGCCGAAGACTGTGGGGCATCCATGCGTGCTTCCATCTGACTCATGCGTGCAGTAAGGTCTTGATGCTGCTCTTCACGCCGTGCTCCTTGCAGCTTCACTTGTTCTAGCTGAGCAGCCACTTCTGCCAGCAAGGTGGACATTTTGTCCAACTGGTCTCCCTGACCCGACATGGCTTCAAGGAAAGAGGAGGGAGTGACCTGTGAAGCTTGAACCGCTCGTGAGCTTCATGCCACGAGGTGAGCCACGAATCAAAGTTGGGAGGGCCCGCCACCTCAACGGCCCTGAACGTGCCGTCGGGTTGCAGGACATGGTTGAGGAACTTAAGGGACCTGGAAAACCTAGACTGGAAGTTCACAAAGAGAGCAAAATCTGCATAAGGTGCCAGGCCCAGGTCAATGATCCTCACCTTCATCGCCGATATCTGGTCCGGGGTCGGTTCGGCCTCCGGCCTAACCGGACCGCCTTTGACCCTTTCCAAGTTTCGGTAGAACTCGTCCACATCCATCTGATCCAACTTCGGCACCTCTCCATCGTCGCCCTGGTCGAGGACCGTACTCATCTTGACTTTCCTAGCCCCGTCTCCTGCCCCTCCTCCGGCCCCGGCTGGGGCAGGGGGGACTGCCGCTGCCGGCGCCCCGCCACCGCCCATAGTACCGGCGGGGTCGTAAGGGTCTTGGTCGGGCAGTCCCAATGATAGCCTCGCTGCCCTCCACATCAACCCAAGTTGCGTGGCTTCGAGGATCGTAAAATCCCGCACCGCGGTGGGATCAGCCGCGGTGGGAGAAGGCACGCGCGAGGCCCGGATGGAAGCCACAATCGCAATGGCAGGAATGGAACCCAGCACACGAAGTGAGGGTGCTCCGCCAATGGACCTTTGTAGGACACCCCAGGCCTCATCGCTAACACCTGCCAGATCCTTAGCCGCTGCCAGGCTAGTCACTGCGGCTATCTCGGCAGCGGTGAAGGGCCCCGTAGCAGGGGGCCCAGGGACCCCACCGCCAAGTGCACCTCCCCCTCCTGCCAATGCTGCCATCAAGACAGCCGATCAAGTGACTCCCGGTGGCGGGCTTGACCCGTAATGGCCACGGGAGTCAGCTGTTATCCCTAACCTCCAAGCACTGCAGCACGATTGTTATTTCTTACACGCGTGTAGTCCATTTAATCCCCCAGACCAGAGGAGGTGTTGGTGAGCAAAACCGCAAACCCTAAACGAAGATGTTGAGGAGCAAACTCTGAATCTGGAAGGACATGTTGGAAAGCAAACCCCAAACCCTAAAACAGAAGTTGATGAGCAAACCCTGAAGCCTGAAGGGAAATGCTGGTGAGCAAAGCCCAAATCCTAGAAGGAGATGTTGGTGAGCAAACCCTACAGTCTGAAAGGAGATGTTGATGAGCAAAGCCCAAATCCTAGAAGGAGATGTTGGTGAGCAAAGCCCAATCAAAAGACTGTGGCCAGGGGATTTGTCGTCGAGATGATCAGCATGATGACATATGATGACTGAAGGCCCCAGTGGGGCAATGGTGGTGATGTTTGAAGGGCCTGACTGTGGGCGACGGTGGCTTTGCGAGGAGTAGTGGTAGTAGTCGTCGTAATCGTAGTCGTGATCGTGGTCGTGGTAGTGGTGGTGCTAATGGTTTCAGCAGGCCCAACAAAAAGGGGGTGTGAAAGAAGGCCGGGCTTCCTTCGCGTGGCTGCGGTTTGCAAGAAAATGAGAGGTGAAAGAAGGCCAGGCTTCCTTCACCGAGGTGCTTTTGCAACAAAACTTCCCCCGACAGTGTGCACAGTGTGGCACATATTGTCGTGTACGAGCTGTCAGAGTAGAGAGAGCTGATTAGCGTCCGCAGGCGGCGGGCCGTGCAAAACCTTCCCCGCGACGCAGCTCAAGCGGTGGCTTGCGATCCCGTCCTACTATTTGCATAGGATCCGCGCGGCCGTAGCATCCGGAAAACTTGGAATCCAAGGAAGCACGAGTTCCGAACCTTTGCATCCCGCCAGTCTGGGAAGCCTTGTGGGCCGTGCTGCGGAATCGCAGTTTGGCTGTTTCCGGGTGGTCCCCGAGGTGGTCTCTTTGTGCTCTGCATCGCAGTCGATCTGGTTGTAGTCTCTGACGGTCCCTTTTTGAAAGAAGCCTCGGCCTTCACTTGAAAAGCAGCTGGTTCTGGCCTGCCCTCCTGCTCCTATAATGCGGAGGCTCCTGGACCCTCCCGAAAGAATTTATTCTGCTCTTCTTCTGCTACAACTAGACGCACTGTTCAGTGGCAGTTGTATTCAGATGCATTGCACCAAGTGCCACTGACCACCGCGATTCGTCTGACGCAGAAGCAAACGCAACACAAATTGACAGGGAGGTTTGTGACAAACAAATGAGTCGTTGTTGTTTTTCCCCAGTTCAACCTCGGTATGAAACAGGCAATGGTGGAATCCTTGTGCGAGCCTGCAATATTTATTTGTAGGACCGTTTACGAATGTAATTCCAAGGTTGGCGTCGGCCATCTGCTTGCAGGTAGGCAGGAAAATGTGACACCATTGAGAGGAGCTCGAGGCTGTTTGAGGCCCACTGCAGTTCAGCCTTGCGCAACACTGCCATGCCTTGAGTCCTCTAACAAAAGCACTGCGCGACCGTGAGTTCGAGAAGCCCAGTGCCCACGAGCCTGCATTTCCTGGAAGAGCTTTTCCGCCTCTGCCACGTAACCAAGCTTGGCGCACGCGTCGATGGCCTCGGCACAAGGTGACTCCGACGTGCTCGTGTTCGCTCCGACAGGTCGCCTTGATCCGACTGAAACTTGCAAAAGCGATGAGGCCCTGGCGGCTTGGTAGGGTCTCGCTTCCATGGCCAGCCCTTTCTGGTCGGCCCTCGTCACCGTTCAAGACATCAAGATTACATCGCTGAGCGTGGCCCTCTAGTACTCTACTGGTAGTATCGCTGAGTGCTCACGATTTCATGGGCTCTGAAATCTGAAACCAGGCTTCTGGCTGTCTGAGGAAGTGCAGAGCGCGGCCAGGCTGCCCGGACTTGGCGCAAGAGTCCTCGGCTGCGAACGAAGCAAAAAGCGTTCGAGATTCGAGTCTTCGTCCACGCCAAACAGGAGGAGTCGCTTATCGGCATTTTCAATGTCGCACAGGGAACACATGCGAACACTGTGTTACTAGTGGCTTTCCAAGTCTCCACTAAGGTGGTGTAGCTCACCAAATTCCTGACAGCGGCAGCGACAAAGCATGGAGCCAACAGGCTGATGCTTGATCTTTGAATTTCGACAAGGCTCGGCTCGAGGCGCAGGGCAATCGCGCGGCCCATCCAGGCTTCTGCTTCCTCAACCTGCCGCGGTGGGTCTGGCATCGGCCATCATGGGCCTATGGGCCTGCTGTGGGTAGGAGAACCCGTGGCAGAGCGGTGATCGCAACCTACGGTCTTTCCCATCAGCACGAAACACTGGCAGGGGCAGGAGCACCTGCCCGAGGCGAGCATATCCGTGCATCACGGTGTTGAACGCCTCGAAAGGTGCCGTACTTGCTGCTTTGAAGATGTTTCCCGGCCGCTTAGATCGACAGTGAAACCTCCATAAACGGTGAAGAAAACCACGGTCCCGGCTTCGATGTCAGGATCAGCTAGCAGTTGAAGCCATGCGGCCGCCTCCAGCAGTTCTGAGCCGGCTGCGGGACTGGAACCGAATGAACAGATAACGATGCGCGAGAGAAAGCAGGGACCGATCCACTCCATGCCCCGGTGGCGTGGGCGACCATTGTGCTGCCTCGCTGGGTCGCCCTTCTTGTGCAAAGGCCTTGATCACGATGCTGTAGGCCTTCCGTTCGCAGCATCTCGTTTCTTCCGAAGCTCGGAAGGACCTCTCAGCTCAACTTCGCGCCTGACGATCTGGAGCGATAGCTGTCGCCTTCCGTTGCGTCCAAGTATCGGACATGGAATCCCAAGCCCTATAGACAAATGCTTTCCTCTGCCTCCTCCCGCAGAAGCGCAGCTGCCGCTTCGCTCTGCCCGGCCCTTGCAAAGGCCTCACCAGAAACGAAGCTTCCCTGAGCCGAAAGTCTCTGCTGGGTGCTGACGGCTCTCTGGTGTCATTTGGTGGTGCTGAGTGGAGCTGTAGGGCACTACGTAGGGCAGTTACTGAAGTCCTGACCAGCGGCATCCAACAAAGCTCCCAGGGAGGGAAGGTCGTTGCCGGTGACCTGACTTCCGGCCGTGGAGGGCTGTGGCCCGCTCTGCTCCGTGCGGCTTAACGAACTGAAGAGAGCAACGTCTCAAAGCCGCTGCAGGCGCCTGCTCCTGCGCTTTGAGCAGCAGCAGAGCCCAGTTGGCTTCCTCAGCTCTGGGCCCAAAGCCCCCAACTTTCGCTTCGGAAAGGGAGATACTTTTGGAGTCTCCCCTCCTTCTCCTGGAGGCTTTCGCCATTTCCACATGCCCATGTACCTTTCAAACCTCTTTTGCACCGTTCCATCTGCAGCTTCTTGTTGCTCGGCATCAGCATCGTGGGAATTATGCTACAAGTTGTCCGGATCCGCCCGGAATCATTTGGCTAGTGGTCCATCTTCTTCTAGTACTATGTCTGCCCCACGGACCGGAGTATCTGACGACTATTCAATGTAAGTCCGCGAGATGCCTCCCCCCATGACAATTCCAGCCCTGGCGCGGATTCACCTGTCGCATCTGCCTTCTGATGAACCCATCAGCACGCTTCGCGCAGTTACAATGCCAGGAAAACAGCAGGATCCGACGGCGCTTGATCTTGCACGCTCTTTGAGATTAAAGGTACCCTCTCCATGCATCAACTCTGCTAGGCCAGGCATGCCACTTCTTCAACAGAACACGAGAGAACCAACAGGAACAACGGAGCCGGTGAGAACGGAATCGACAGACCGTGGCTGCAGATTGCTGCAGGCTGCAGATGGAGAGAATCCGCCGTGGGAGTAATGACGAGCTGCGCTGCTGCGAGCGGCGGCGTTCATCAGTTTGCCGAAGCTGCGAGGAGATGGGCGCACCTCAGCACAGGCGCGGTCTCGACAGCGGCAAACCTTCGCCTCTGAGTGGTCGTATCTGGATCTACAGCTGATATGTTATGAGTGCAGTGCCCCGTCTTCGCGCATGCGAGCGAAGACGACCAGAGCTTTCCGGAAGGCTCCAGCATTGGCACAAGCCTGGCAATTCAACCGCTCGTCAGATAACGTCGGGCCGGGAACCACTGAGTGAGTGTGCCACAATCGGAGATGAAAGCGTCATGCAGAAGCAACCGCAACCAAGAATGCGCAAAGCCACAAAGCTAAGACTGCAGACAGCATCGCGGCAAGGCAAAAACGAAAATGTTGCAAACATCAAACGATGCACTCGAAAAGAAAGAATAGGAGCTATTCTACACGGCAGAATCTGAAAGCAGAAATCTGACAAAGTCACAGGACCGACGAAAGGCTAAGCTCCAAAGCACACCCGCCAACAAAAACATGCTCCAGCCCACAAAGCAGGAACAGCTGGCACCGCTGCGCCAAAAAGTCAGCGAAACATAGCGTCCGGGACTTGTGGGGTCTCTTCACAGCTCAAATTAGAAAAAGGGATGTCCGGTCTCACGTTGGAGCATCTATGGCCTTGAGATTGGTGTGGTACAGCTTGCGGATCGTCTCCTCGGGGCGCCATGCTCTACATCGACTTCGCTTCACTCTTGGCACTTCTGGGGGCAGCCCATTCAACTTCACTTCGAAGGGCATAGTAATGACCAACATGGCCCTAAACCATAAACGTCACTGAACTTGGCCCCACATCCTAATCTGAGTCCTTGGGCAGCACCGCACGAAGGGCGCTGAAGCAGCGCTCGGCAGCGAGGACGTCGCCCTCCTGAAGAAGTCTCTGGCCTCTAGCCTCTCGGCCCTCTGACGTCAAGTGGTGAAATTAACGAACACCAGCTTAAAAAGGGAACAGAACTCGCTGGGGCGCCTCGGCAAGCTGGTTCATCCGATCGAAGAGGGCCTGTGGGGAGCTGGAGCTGGAGCCCCGCCTCGGCGAGCGCACCCGAAGTTTCAAGTCAGCACCCGGGGACCCGCCCCCGCCTTGCTTGCAGGGACGACGCCCGAGGCCAGGCTCGCCACATTCCGCCCGCGTCCCTGCCGCGCCATCGCGGCCCGGGCCCGGCGTCGAATGCCAGACTGCATCAACCGTTCTTTGACAGGACTGATGCGTGGTATCAGTGACGGGCTCGTGCGCATGTCACTCTGCACGCCAGTCATCAATCGTTTTAACTAGATTGTGCTAGATGGGGCCAAAGCTGGCGAGTGGTGCTATGCACGATGCTGCGACGATGATGCGGTTCTTAGCACGCAGCACTTTGTTTTGCAGAAGCGGAAGACCCTCGAGCTTCTTCAGCACATGAAGGGCTGGCATCCAGTGCCATTCGCATTCGCACGCCCATACCTCATGACTCATGGCACAATCAAGAATTACGAGATGCAACTGGGAAAGAGCTGACCTTCAACCACTTGCGCCAGGCTGCTGCAGCACGAAAGCTGAGGACATCAGCTTGCAGGCTCCTAGGCCCCATGTCGTCGAGAAGCGCAAGAGACCTTTGCCACTGCCAGGCCGCGGCGCACGCCTGGATCGCAGCGTTGAAGCTGACCGCATTCGCGCCGAGTGCCAAGCGCCTGAGCAAGGCCAGGGCCGTCTGCCAGGCACCAAGCGCCCGTTTGCCACAGGCGCTGATCGCCGAGCTGTAGGTAACGACGTCGGGGACAAGGAGAAAGCCCTGCATCGTCTCCAGGAGATGCAACGCGCACTCCCAAAGGCCTACCCCCTCGCAGGCACTGATGACACTGTTCCACGTAATGACGTTGGGCCTCACCTCGTCCTTCGGCAGGGACATTAGCAGACTGAGGGCTGCAAGCCAGCGGCTGGCCTTCTCACAAGCGCTGACTGCGCTGCTGCAGGCAATCACATCAGGAAGCAGCTCAGCTGAGCGAATCCCGCCAAGCAAACTCAGGGCTTGTCGCCAAGCCGTGGACTTCTCGCAAGCACTGATGACTCCGCTGAAGCTGATGACGTCTGGCACGACATACCAGCACTTGGTCATTTGCAGAAGGCTGAGGGCTGCCAGCCAATTCCGCACTTTCTCACAAGCGCTGATGGCACCATTGAAGCTGATAACGTCGGCCTGAAGCCCCCTTCCCTCAAAAGACAGGAGCAACATCAGCGCTGCCAGCCATTCTCCAGCCTTCTCACAGGAGCTGATGGCGCTGTTGCAGCTGATCACGTTTGGTAGCACATCGGCCATTTCCATCATCTCAAGAAGTTCTGCAGCAATTTGCCACTGGCCCGCCTTTTCTGCGAATTTGATGGCACTTCCATAAATGATCACATCTGGAATCTGGGTGTCTGTGCCCATCTGGTGCAAGAGAGCCAAAACCATGAGCCAGTCACTGCTGTGCGCACAAGCACTGATAACCCCACTGTAGGTGATGACATCCGGCTGCATTTGGGAAAGCCTCATTCCATCAAACAACACCAGGGACTGTCTCCACTGGGCAATTCCATCGCACGAAGAGATGCAAGTGTTGAAACTGATTGTGTCCGGGAGAATCTTCGTTTGGGACCTAAGCAACAAGTTGCACGCAGCCGTCCACTGCCGGCCCCTGGCACATGCGCTGATCGCTGTATTGAAGATGACCGTGTTTGGGGAAGTCGAGCCGTCAGCCAGAAGCTGAAGCTGTTCCAAGGCAAGGCTCCATGCGCTTCGCTTGGCGTGGGCTCGCAGTGACTTGCCGTAGGCCCTCACATCAAGACCACCCCGGCAGCCGCCGCATGCTTCCAGGAACCCCAATTCTTCGGTGATGCTGCAGTGCGAGGAGTCTCAAGTTCGCAAGACTTCACGAAGAGCTGCTTGCATCGCGCACAGCACGACGACGAGCCCGGGCTCAGCGAATGATCCTTCTACTGCCCATGTCCTCAACATGCGCTGATGAGAGCTGTTGGCTGCAGGCACAGCGTCACAACTGCCTGCGCTCCCTCGAACAAGCGACTTTGCTTCTCAGGTCAATGTCACGGGAAGTGTCGGTTCGACAGCACCTCTAGACCTTGCACCTCGCCTGGGCTTGAGTTCAGATAACGTGACCTACGTTGACATAAGGTATGCACTCACGCAATACATTCTACGAAGAACTTCTCACGACATGCTCCTGGCTGAACTTTCGGGTGTCTGGGCTGTGCACAAGCTCTGCCAGCGGAGGGCGCCAGCCTGAATCAGATGAGCCGCTCTGTTTGTCTCACTTCACTGCTCAGAGGGCTGCCACGAAGTGCCACGACGCTACCAAGGAGTACATCAAGCTTCTACGAAGCTGCCATAGCTGCCTGGCTTCCTCCAGCCGGCCAGCAGCCTGGAAAATGTGCCGAGAATGCAATGCCAATGAGGTTGAAATTCACAAAGACCAGACGCCCGAAAGCCTATGTCAAGCTCTCTCCTCACCTAATAGTCCCCGTGACTGTGACACCTGACCTTACGAGTACGCGCTGATGGGAACGGCATAGAGCAAAACGCCATCTTTTTGGATGGTACAGGCGCACCGTACCTATCTGTGGCCAGCGCTGCGGTCTCTCACGGTTGCGTGAGGACACTTGGTGCGCTCCACAGGAGTCCAAACTAACCCTGGCTAGGCAAGAATCAAGCGCGATCATGGCAATTAAGTCAGAGGCACGACTGTACGTCGAAACCTCTCCATAATCCTGCCTCGGACTCAGAGTGAGTGCGTGGAGGTCAGATTGCGCACAATTGGGGCCCTCGTCAGTTGTCGGAGAGACTCCACGCCGGTCTTCTCAGACTTTTTCCTTGGTGCTATGCACGCAGGTCAGGCGGTAGGGAAAACATCCAAGAAAGATCGAGCCAGCACAGTTACGTTGTTCCACTTCCGCAGCGAAATGAACGATTGCTTTGACTTTAGGTAAGTGCGGCTTTAAGCCACCTTCACCTGGCCAAGCCTGCAATGTCGACAAAATCGACATAAAATACAAAACGTAAACGTAACAAAGCACCCCACGAACAACGCGGCACGAGAAGGGGTCAGTCCTGAAGGCGTCACGATTTCTTCTGGATTGCTTTCGGCACTTTGTAACAACGCCCCATCAACAACAGACCAGCATAAAAGGGTTTCGACCTGTTTCGGCCCGATCCTCAGAATGAAAGATGCAGGTCTGAAGCTAGTTGCCTCGACCTCCCATTGACCCACTCCTCGCCTCGGGAGGCTGATTCTTACGCCACGATTACACCAGGGTCTTTTTTGCACCAAAAAAACCCAACACTAAGAAGCAACCGGGCACTAAAGGGGTCAAGCATCCACCACGATAGAAACACGGAACAAAATCAAACAAAAGCTCAAAACTGATCAAACCTCCGTTTGTCATGTTTGACTCAAAATGTTTGCTTCGGTGGCTGGGACTGCGTCTCATTTGGATCCCCGAATGCAGGCTTAGGCTTAGATGTTGTCTTGTCACATCGCTGTGGCCTTCAATTCTGCGAAATCGTCCTCGCGTGTGCAGGTGCTGCAGCTGTTGCTCCAACCTCTTCCTCTAGACCCGAGACCTCACAAACGAAGTCACTTGTTCCCCTTAGTTTCAAGAACTATTCGAAGCACCCGACACACGGATTTCCGTACAGTCCGGCCGCAAATGCGACGACGGCGAAAATCGAAAGAAAAGCACCACCCATGCGTCTCGAAGAACCGGAAGCTTGGTCAAATAAAGCAGACAATCAACAGACCCAGTGAAGGAGGAGAACCAAAACACTTGGAGCATCGAGAAGTCCGTGGGATCAGCGAGAAGTGCAACAAGGCACAAGATTGGAGGCTCAAGTATACCTGAACAACAGTCCTGCACCTGATCTAACCGCAGCTAACCCAAGCTGTACCAACTTCAGGCAGCGTCTGCGTCAAGGCCGGATGACCGCCACGGACGATGCGATTGTCTGTTCGAAGGGTGCAAGCGGCCAAAGCTCATGGGGACGGTGGGACTCTGCAGGGTCACACACGGCCCGGCCTTGGCATCTGCCGCAGGGCTCTTCATGCACATGGGTGAAAGCCATACTTGGCTTCACCTCACAGCCGCAAGGCAAGCCTTGTTCTGCAAAGCCTGGGGCCTCGGGCCTAGCTCCGAGGGGCTCCGAGGGGCTCTCAGCAAGCCCGGCCTTGCCATCTGCGCTGCCACGGTCATAGTGGGCCGTGTACTCGTAGAACAGAGGCGTGCCCATGATCCAAACCTGGCGGAGCGAAGCAAGTGCTGCAGATGGCTCCCACGTGTCGAGGCACCTCTCCATTCAGCTTGGTCGTGAAAGGCGCCGGCTGAAAAGCAGGCATGCAGACCTCACTGACCAAGACGAAGGTACATGTTACACCTGTACTATCTTCCATGTACACAAGGATAATGACCAGAACATGATGACATCTGTTGCAGCTCTGGGTTGGAACGCTGCGGCAAAAGGCTGGATTGAAGCAGGGAGCTTGTCAACCGCTGAAGTACTGAATTCTGTTACGAAAGCTTCGTATCGGCAAAAGCTTCTCGGGCCCGCCTTGCCACGCTTCTTGCGCTCAATCTGGAAGGTCAACCTCACTGTTGTGAATTTCGAAGCGCTACATGTAGCAAGAGCCCTCGATAGGCAGAGACAAAACAAATAGGCACACCTGTGCCGCGCGGTAACAGTGCGGGCGAGACACCCACCCAACGTTTTCATTTCCGGAACGTTGATGTCAGCCGTGGCAGTCCTGTGGACACGTCACTGACAGGCCCCTATCCCTGTCAACCCTCTCAAGGCTGCTCGAAGGGCCGTTGTCTGCGGCACCCTGCAAGCGAGCGGCATGATGTAGTTCTTCGGGCGAAGCGAGAGCTCCGTCTGCGCACCGTTCAGCCCGGCGACGTGGAAGTTCAGCTGCATCGGGGCAGGCTTCCAACCGGTACGACAAGGGCAAACCAATAACGAGCTGCGAGAGCGAATGTCCGTGATTCCAGCAACATGACATGCATCTTGATGGGGTCCACAAGCCAACAGCACCAACAGTAGGAGACCATGTTGACAACCCTTCGACACTCCCATGTACCTGTGAAGCCGGGCCCCAACCGCCACCGTCCGACGCATGCCGTGCCTTCGGAAGCTCCTGATCCATGTCCACGCCCTGACAGGGTCACAGCGGCTCCACCAACACCCTGCGCACTCTGCCCACAGCAGCCCCCCGCTGCCCACAGCTGCCCACAGCCCCACCTCGGCCCAGTCAGCGCAGTGCTCCAGCAGCAGCAGGAAGACATTGGCCTGTGGAGCACTTTTCAGTTGCAAGAGTGATGCAATCAAGCTTTGTGTAGCGAGTCTCACGGCAGAAGCACGACCGAGCTTTATTGTATGGGGCAAGCGAGAGCACAAAGCAGTGTCGGCATTCCCGGGCGAGGCCTTCATGTAGTCCTTCTGGGGTCTTGCCTCCGCACCTGCACCTTCGGGCTTGAGCTTGGGAAGTAATGTCGATGAAGTCTGCTGTCGGGAGCAGCTACTGGAACCTCGTTCACAAGTTCTGTGAATCCGTGACGTCGAAAAATGCCAATGCAGTCTGCACTCGATCCAAGTCGTGGCCTGCTGCCCCACCGAGAATGTCAGCGATGTCGGCTGCGTCACCCGAGCTCGTGCCGTTGGAAGCGGCTGCGTCAGCCTTTCCTGGAAGGGCTGCAAAAACAGTTTCACCTCACAGAATCTGCATGGTTCTCACCATCTCTCGCCAGCAAAACTTTCACAAAAGATCTTCACAAGCTGGCAGAGAACGTGTGGAGCCCTGGTGCTGACATCCCACAGTTCGATCTACGTGACAAGTGGATGCGCAGGGCCTGCTTGCAAGATGTCTTGCAGCTTCTTGAAGGCATCGGCCAACTCCTGAGCATGTCGGGTGTGACAGTGATGCTGCATAAAGCTGCAAACCTGCTGTTTCGCCTAACAGGGCAGAGGATGACAGCTTTTGCCTGAAAGGCGTGCTTTATGTCCGCTGGTGGATCGGCGCACCGCAACGCAAACATTGACACTCCTCGAATCTGATCCCGCCCGAAGTTGCACCCTGACTTTCCGCACCGGGTCCTCCGGAACTGTCGCATGCTGTGTCAAGGACAATCCTTGCCCAGGCAGGCAGGTCCAAGATCAAGCAGCACCCTCGAGGCAGAATATAGACCTGTGACTAATGCAGTGCAGCTCATAGAATCATGGAGGCTGCAGTTCAGCCATGGCTTCCTGTTGCCTCCCGATAAAAATTATCGCACGTGCCAGCCCCGGACAGACCTCGAGTGCTGCACTACCGGTTGTCTTTGCAGCTATGCACCGACGTCCTCCAACTTGCATGCCTTGATCTTGCAAGTCCTTCATCTCCTGCGGCCGGGTCCACGCGAACGGAAAAAGCATTGAAGGTCAGCTGCCTGATACAACCCTTAGGAAAGACACTCCTAGCTCGGACGAATGGTAGCTCCTTGCTGACCTCTTCGAACGCTTTTTGGCAACGCTCCCAATTCGAGCAGATGTCCTGCGGGGTCTGTAGCTCTGTCCCTAGCTAAGATCTGAAACCTTTGGGGCAGACACAATATGTATGCTTCTATGTGTGCATGCGTACGTACATACATACATGCATACATAGAGACTTACTTACTTACATGCTTACATACTTACACGCAGGCATGCACGCAGACATACACGCAAACACAAACAGACACTGTGGCAGACAGACATGCATACATGCGCACGAAGAAACAGGTGGAAAATCGCGCAAGGCTAATACGTAAAGAGAGATGTACTTATACATTCGTATATTATCTTACATAGTCTGGTACTACGGCACATATCTATTTATTAATATTGCTATTTGTTCTGTCCTCGTTGCGATTACTCTCTCCAACTGTTCATGCAAGCACTCATGTCCGATGCGTCTGTTTGGGTCCATGTAAAGCTCGGCCAGCTGGTTCTCGGGCCCGGTGATCATCGTGGTCCCGCTGTCTGGAATGAGGCCGCAGATGGTCCTTGGAACCGCAGAAAAGAGACCTGGGCCTGGACACCTTTTTGGAAGCCTGGCTGCCTTGCCTGCCTTGCCTGCCTTGCTTGCCTTACCTTATCTTCACCTCGGCTCCGGACTCCTGATCAGGTCGCTTCTCTTTGGGGTCGCAGATCTTGACCTCCCGATCAACAGGCTGTTGAGTATCACCGCCACTGTGCGCAGCATCGTGTTCTGCATGGGACACTGCGATACTACGCTACACGCACATCACAGATTCTTCTGCTACTAGCCTTCTAAGTTCCGGGCCCTATGCTTTGCATTGCCCTCACCGATGGAGATTCCATGAAAGTCCACTCCCCAGTGGATCTGACCTGACTCAGCATGCAAGACAGCAAAGAGTGAGTCTTCCAGGGCTCTAGGTCTTTAGACTCTAGTTGCAAAAAGCCGGAGCACGGAAAAAGATCTGCGGTGGCGTACTATGTGCCATCTAAGTTGTCGAAACTGTTCGTGAGCTTTCCCCTGCTTGGTTTCCGGATTCACTGCTCGGAAGTTCAGGTTTAAGCTTTTGAAGAGCCCACCCACCAACTCGGTTCAGCCCGCAGATGACCAAGGGTTGATGCAGCAAATCCGTTCCGTCATGTGCGACTGCCAAGAATTACTGCTGCTTGCAGCTTACACGACCGTACGGTTTCGCTGCTGCTGCGAAATCCTGCCCAAACCTGATTAGCACGGCGTCTTCAACATGCAGGCCAGAACCTGGTTGCTGGTTGCGCGTAGAAGCTGAGATTGACAAATGTTGGTGGATTTTGAACAGCTGCCACTGAGGCTTTAAAAGCTTTCGAGCTGGTTCCCATCCACCCACCCACCCTGAAAAGAGCTCTAGGGCCGGATCTGTGTTTCCAGTTGACCCCTCGTACGCCGGATCTGGTTTTGAAGTTTGGCCCGGTCTGGGTTCCCTTGAAGGGCTCTCGGGCAGGGCTATGCGACTGCTTTTGAGTTGCGGGCCCACGGACTCCAGTCGCTTGGAAGGCTCTGCAGTGTGCAGGCCCAGAACGCCATCCGCCTCACCATTCAGCTCAAAAACATAACCAGCACTACGCATGTGAGATGCAACCCGTTCTTCAAGTGATGTCAACTGCCCAACAGCTTCCGGAGCAGGCTCTGAGTTGAGACGGGGGATCGCGATGCCCTGTCTGATGCAATGCTTTGGTCGACATGGCAGCGCTGCCTCCCGGTTGAAGCACATGGAGAAGCGTCGGATGCCTGCCTCCTCGGCAAAACCTCGCAGGAAACGGAAACCAACGGAGTCCAACCCATCTCAGCTTCCCAGCCTGGGACCCGGATGTCAAGCTCCCCTGCAGTATGGTTGACCTTGGCCTTGCCACTCATCTTGACCTCACACAGGAGTAGCATTTTGCAGACGGCTATTCACCAACAAGGCTCACATGCAAGCAAGGTCTACGGGCATCCGAAAGTGGGACAAGGCCATGTCGGGCGAGTGTGATTTGTTTGCTGAAGACTCGCATCAAAAGCATCTGTCTTGCATGCCCCAACCGGGCCCGAACCCTCAAGCAGTCACCATAAAAGGAAACATGATTGGCAAGCAGTTGGTAGGCTGAAAATGTCTGGTGGTTCCACCTCCGGCCGGCCCAAGCCGAGAATGCCTTCGAAGGGTCCTGAAGCTTAGGAGCTGAGTACGGGGAGAGCCCATGGACACGGAACAGGTGCATGCCAGGGGTCCTCGAAGACGCAGGGCCTGGTCAACCTTGGCAGTAACTCCGACAAGCTGCTTAGTTCAAGCTGTTCATGCAGGGATTGGCAGGGCATCAGTCCAGCCACATGACTGAGGATTCGATTGGCCAGGGCACCATCAGCAGCAAACCATTTTTCATGAAGGCATGGGTGTGGCCAATTCGAACCTTCGGGCGAGGGAACGGTCCAGCCTTATAAGTTTGCTGTACTGGCGAAACTAGCACCGAGAGGGTGCACCTGGCTACCTACCTTCCGAAGTAACACTATGGACAATATGATAACAACGTGACGATCGCAATCGTCTGACTTGGAAGGCTGACTGGCAAACCGTGAATTTCGGCTGGTTGGCAAACCTTCAATAAAACCCTCAAAGGAATTAGAAGGAAATGCTGATTGGCAAAACCTTAAACCTGCTGAACCTTTCCAGAGACTGTTGATTGGCAAACTCTGACACTCCTACACTCTACGAGAAAATTTCAGTGGATGGCTAGCAAGCCCCAAAGCCGAAAAGCAGATCTGGGCTGGCAAACCAACGACCACAAAAGGAGAAGCCAACTTCCTGCAAACCGCTAAGCTTGATGTTGGTTGGCGGGCACCAAAGCCCAAAAAATAGAGGATGGTTGGCGCCTAATATCCTCAAAAATGTACCCAAAACTACAGAAGTACATGTTGGCCGGCAGCTTTGAATGGACACCCCTAAACCCTGACCCGAGCAGGAAATGTTGGTTGGAGAGCCCCAAACTCCGGAAGGAGATGTTGGTGCCAAGCTGGGACCTCAAAAGCAAATGCAAGACTACTACTAATAATAATAATAATCATAGTAATAATAATAGTAATAATACAACTCCTCCTACTGCTGCTACAATTCCCTTCCTCCTGTCCCACTTCCCCACTCCTTCTTCTCCTCCACTCTCACCACTCCTCCTAGTCCTCTGAAGACTGCTACCACCACCACCTCTACCGCTGCCACTTCTGCTGCCAACGCCATTGCCACTACACCGCCACTCAGACTGCCACCGGGCTTTCCCGCGTTCGAGCTTTCATCGAAATTTAAAGCATGTACCCCCTCAGGTCTGCGAGTGACATTCTGCTTCTGCTCCATCCCAACATTATTGGTGTGAAGGCACAACAGCCCCCTGCCTCGTCGGATGCGACACGTGCCGCAATCTGACCACTCCCGAAGGTCAGCAGCATGGAAGCTGGCAGCATCTCGGCCTAAGGCGGCCAAAAAACTCGGGGACTGAAACCAAAGGTCCTGGGCTGAGGCCGGTGCCTTGGAGCCCAGCAAAGGGTCATGCGACTTGTACTTTGGCAGCTCGAAAGTTTTGGACTTCCCGCTGCCTCAGAAGAGAAAGCCACCGCGACAGTGCTCCCCCCCCCCGCCCCTGCGTACATCGTCGGGCCTGTAAAGCATTTGCCCCAATCGTGCGGGCACTGGGCACACTGGCAGTCCATCACGATGCAGTTGTTGCTGCCTCAGGGTTCCAAGAATCTGCAAGCGATACAAAGAAAACCATTTCTCCGAACCTGTGTCTGCTACGAGCTCGAAGGTCTGAGACGGCGTGCCGATGGCTACCTTCATGCAGGCATTCTCATCTGTGCTATGGACAACTGCTGGATCGACAGCAGACCGACACCTGAAACCCAAGCAACTCAGACTGGCATCATCCACTCGGACGTCAGAAGCTTTGCCGTAAATGCGGGTCTCATCAGGAACCGAACGAACCGAACTTGTTCTCCTCTGAAGCACGGCCGCATTTCACATACGGGAGAGGCCCTTACCCAATCATGCCAAGGCACAGGAACTGAAGAATAAGTCTCATGGTTTCGGAGCGGAGAGCAGGTCTCCTCCTGGTCGTGCACTGCCAACTCCTTGGATCGAGGCATTCCCGCATGAAGGCATTCATAAAACCGTTCATCTCCAGGATTTCTCAGCCTGTTTTATTCTGTCGCGCGAAAACTCGAGGGTCGAGCCCGTTCGCGACCAAACAGGACTGCACTCACTCAACTGCCCACTAAGTGCCCGCAACTTCTTGCCATTCGTGGCCGGCAGGCTTGCAAAAGCGCCAGCTGCCCCAACAAACACCGCCTTTCCTCCAACACTTCCTGACAGATCTTGGTTCTTCGTACCACCGCCAGCAGCCCCAACGAGTCCCAGCAACTGTACTCACATCCTGGCCACACGTTTAGGCCTGCCGCACGGATGGCTTTTGAGGGAAGCTCGAAGAATATTTATCACGCTGTGTGCCCCGACAAGCCCCGAAGAAATCAAGCGCCATCCAAGTAGACACGAACTCCGCAGAGCCTACCCTCATCATGAGGCTTAGCCTGTTTCTTGGAGAACCGCCAGCTTTCAGCAAGACCCAACTCTTGTACAGTACAGTCCCCGTTAACATCAGCCAGAACTTTGTTTGACTTTACTGCAAACCAGGCGGATCGGCTTGGCTTCTTCGCAGGTCCGGCAGCTGCCCCGACAAGATCCGGAACCTTGCCCCCGTTCTCGACCTTCCCCGACCAGACCCGACAACTCCCGTCCTGGCTGACTGGTTTGGCTTCCAAACCTCTCTCACATCCGCATAGTGCCACAGAGATGCCTCAGAATGTCTCTTCAAGAAGCGGCCCTGGCAGAGGTGGGAAGATGCCAAAAGTGGAAGCAATCGGTAAACTGCGCCTGGCACAGGGTCTTCTGACAGCAACACGAGTTCCAGACATTGCAAATGATGCACGCAGTTGCACCCAGATTCTTGCCCTGCAGGCCTTGCATGGTTCGAAATCGGATAGCCTCAGATTTCCAAGATGGTAGCAAGATGTCAGCATTCCAGTTGGAATGCCGATGTCTGTGTGGCGCATTAGCATGAACACTCTGCCATCCAGGCTGCACGAATGGAAATGGTCGTATAGTGCGTGATTCGCAGCTTGAGCCCAGAGGCAAGCGACAAACCACCGGCGTCATGGCACTCAGCTCGAAGCAAAGCACCGACACGGACCGACACGACTTCAAGCCGTAACCAGAGGTTTGCACGGACCGGGGATCTCGAAGACGAAGCAGGAAGGTGCCGGGCTCAAACCCTGGAAGCCCTTACCAAAAAAAAGTTCTGTCGGCACTGGAGCATGCTAATCCTGCGAGTATGCCTAAGGCCACCGGCCCTTACATCCAAGAACCGAAGACGGCACTCCAGCAGCGCAACGTTGGCCTTTTCATTTTCAGCGCATGCCCCGGGAGAAGACCGAGGTCCTGGAACTCCAGACAACGATACCAGCCCTCGGCATGTCCAAACAGCCCAGCTACGTGGCCTGGAAATGCTGCTCTTCCATGGAGCTGAGGGTCTCCATGTCATGATAGCCTGCAGCCTGCCAGCAACTCAAACTGAAATGAGCCGTGGGACACTCCAGTCATTGCTAACCCCTTGCAATGCGGTGCTTCTCGAGCACGCTCGGACGTGCTGTCGTGCAGGGGCGGATTGCCTCTCGAGTCAGGCGGCACGAGGCACGAAACGGAGTGGGCCGAGTGTGAATCAGATCGCACCGACACAGGCCTCAGACAGGGCAGTAGCAAAGACGATTAGATGACGACTCCCGAAGGCAGATTAGTTTTCGGTCATTTCTAGCAATTGCATTCAAGACTTAAGAGAATGTAACCCGGGGCCTCCTATGTGACGTGGATAAGAGCACGAGTACCGAGTGCCCTGTAGGAGAAAAGTACCCAGGTTGCAGCAACGACCCGAAGATCCAGGGGCAGGCGTCACGAAAGGGGTCAAACCTTCACTTCGTATGCCACGAGTGTGTCCCCTAATATTCGGGTCAAACCTTCATGCCCCTGAAAGACTTCGTCAGCAGCAAAGCTACCCCAACAAAACAACAGATCAAGAAAGTGCTCAATCTTCAAACACCATGACTATGGCCGGTTCTGCCACTGCAGCAACAAACTCAACACCCGCAAGCAAAGCAACAGGAAAGATTACAACAAAAACCACAACCACAACCACCAGCAGCAATCAACAGCATCAACCACCAGCAGCAATGCAGCACGAAAGGGGTGAAAGCTGGGTACACGCACGATTGCCTCCGGCTCTTTGTTGGCAGCAAAGGAAAGCGAACAACCAGAACAAGTGCTTTCACCTTAGAGAAGTGCCCTCATTGACGATTGAGTCTCTGATCACCGAAACCAATCACGGAATCAGCCGACCACCCTTCATCCTCTTTGAACCCTGAGTTGCCATGCACCCTCGGTGATGTGAGCCAACCCATCTGATTAGCACAGCGTTCGCTGGAACATGTCTGTAAGAGGTGCCTCGATGCGCTTGGCGTACTGCGACAGCGCCGCCTGCATGGACCCCAGGTGCGAGGAGGCGACAGTATGCGACAGCTCAGCAGGTGTGACAGTTGTGATGAAACTCTCTCAACCCTGAAACTCTTTGTCTCCCTAAGCTCCACGTCACGAGACTCTTTTTGCCGTTTGCGCGTGGCCGCCTCAATCCTCGACCTTCGTTCCGACTCAGAAAACAGACCTGGAAGCCCTTTGGCGCCCTGGCGGCACCTCTTCAAGGAAGGAAGTCACCGGACCATTGACACCCTTCCGTGCAAGGCATGGAAGGTTGGAAGGTTGCTGTGGTAAACCCAATCAAACACCACATTTGCTCGCATCTTTGCGCCTGGCTGCCGACTGGGCGCACCTCACACTTGACAAAGAGTTACAAGTTGCGGTCTGCAGAGCTTGTACACCCCTTTGCAGGTGCCGGTGGGACTACCATGGTTCACACAAGAATGAACGACGAGGTTGGCCATGTCATATTGAATTCTTTCAAACTGCTTGCAACCATCTCTGACAGGGTAAGCTGATTATCGTATCTGACGAACATTGATGCTTCAACGAAGATCCGACCGAGACGCCCCGAGCGTCAGCAGCTGCTGCTCCAGCGCGGCGACCCGAGCACGCAACTCCTTGAAACTTCACGACAAATCGGGGCCCGTCCCGCCCCCTTGCTGCTGAACATTCCGCGTCTACGCCCCTATGCCGCTTCGCTTTCCGCTTACGCGACTTTGCTCGGCTCGGAGAGGCCGGGGCGCCTTCTGAGCCACGGAATCGGCCGCCGCCACGTTGTCCACGAAACTCGAGAAACCACCACCACGCGGCATGGCGCTGGCTGGTGCTGGGCCGCTGTAAAGCAAACTTCCAAATCTATGGTCCACTCTGTGCCACGAGTGCCATGCGAAGCGATTGTTGTTCTGTTTTTGCTGTCGGCCGTGCTCTTGTGCACTGGTCACCAACACCCTGCACAGTTGAGCAAGAACAAGGCATGCTTCCTGATATATCCTGCTTCCTTGGGTCATGACCTTGACAATGTCCGGACATCTTTCCTCGATGTTAACACAGCGTCAGCTGAAGGCTGCCGGACACCGTCTCGCCTGTCAGCAGGGCTGGGGAGTCGGGCATGAGTGAGTCCCGACGTATCTTGAGCGGAACATCCGTGAAATGCAACCAATGCTGCAGTGTAGTCAGAACTCATGCATAATCTGGAAACAAGCGGATCACCATGCTGTCCCCAGCACCTGGCTGTAGAGCTATTTGAGTTGGCGCGAGAGTCTTGAACTGCATCACGGATCCTGACGAACATGCGGATGCTGGGACCGCGGTGACCACGGCAAGTTCACCGTCATTGCTTGCTTTTAAGCGAGAGCCTGATGATGCGGACTTCACGACAGAGAAGCCCATCGTCTCTAAGCGAACACCTTTCAGCCACATGGTGCTGAACTGAAATACCGGAACTCTGCAATGGCCTGTCTTCTCGAAGGCGTCTTTGGTGCCATCCTGGTACCCACCAACCCCGCCGACGCTTCCGGCTGCCTTCCGACACATCCCCACAGACAGTTCTGCCAAGACTCATCAAGTCTCTGGGGCAGGGATGCCTCGTTGCAGCAAAGGTTTCCTTGCAGCCCGACGTCGGGAAGAGGCAGCCTCTGCCGGTGTGGAGCTGCCGTCAACACCAGGAAACACCTCCGGGTTCCGCGCGGAAGGATGCGACTCCGCTTCGCACGCCGCTCGTCCGCCACACCGGCAGGATCCTTGGCGAGATCGCCGAGCGATCTCGCAGGCTGACGGAGATCACTCGCTGCCAGAAGTCCGTCCTCTTCCTCTTCCCACTCCATCTCCTCGCCACCTGCGTGGGCCACCTCATCGTAGGCAACACTTCGAAGCTGTGCGGTGTGCGAAGCAACACGGACTGCAGCACCTCCAGGCTCAACGCCAGCCGTCCGGCCCAAAGCCGCACCTCAGCCCTGGAACGCACCTCCAGGACTGCAGGGCGCCGGCCAACATTTTGGGGGAAGTGAATCCAGGCAGGCAGCACCGGCACGCCGTCAGCCGCCCGTGCCTGCCAAGCTGTGGCATCGTAAGATGCCTACATCCGAAATACCACTGTCCCGCTAAAGTGCTGCTGATGTTACGTCGACAACAACCCAATCATCGTACGCACGGCACTTCCCAGCCTCTGCGAAGGCTGAGAAGGCGAGCGAGTCGCCATCACCCCCGCCGACCAGGCTCTCGATGCTGGCAATGCAATGCTGTGTACAAGCTACGAGCGGGTCTCTCTCTCCCTCTCTCTCCCCCACAAGAAACTCGATTGAAAGTCGACGAATCGACTTACGGGCTTGGGATCAATCAGGCCAGCTGGCGTCCAGTCAGTCGACGCAATGATGCCTTCCAGGCCTTCGATGCGACGAAAACTGGCTGTTGCCATGCAAGCCTCCAACTCTGGCACCCCAGCTTGGTCGCAAGCCATGCGGCAAAAGTCCTCCATCAGGACCTCAAGACAAAGATGGCGGCACCGCCAGCAGACTCGCAGACTGACGAGCAAACCGGACCGTCCCAGCCTTCTAATGTCGTGTCACTATATCTATTTCCTTCGCCTTATAGCGTAATGCCTTAAAGCAGCCACGAGCCTCGTGCCAGCCGCTCAACGCCGTCGGCTCCTTTCCACGTTGTCACCCTGACTCCTGGAAGGGAAACCTGCATGGGCAAGCCGCTAAAACTACACGCAAGACTCTCAGCATGATTTCGCTACACATTCACAGCAGTCGAAGCGGATCGATACTCCTGCGATATTCTGACGCGAAATGCGATGTCCACCTGACAGCTGCCGCCGGCAGGATGCGTCAATGTCGCCATTGGCGCACCATCCTGAACGAGACAAGCTTCGATTTACACATCCTAAGACTTCTACGAAAAACGGATGCTGCAATTCTGCATCCTCAAGTGAAACGTTGATTCACCTCTTCGGAGAAGGGCTGAAACTCTGCGAAGTTCAATGCAGCCCAGGCGCTGGGCCCAATGAAACCGCAACATTTCCGGCCTCTCGCTACGAGCAGATGCAGAACATGCCGGAAAACCGGCTGCATGACATAGTTCAAAACACAGGCTCGTGCCAAGAGTGTTGCAGGTGCACGGCTCATGGCGGCTCCCGAGAACACTGAGTTCGGTCGCTACTCGGCATCTCCCGTGGGATGGTAGTCCCCGATTTCGCACCAAAGCTGGGGCACCAACCAATGCTGTCTTGTAATGAGTTGTGGAATGCAAGGTATACGAACTCATGGGCTGAAACTGGACACACGCAACTCAATCGCTTCCAGCTTGAGCAAGACAGTAAGCTGTGCACGAGTCTCCTCAAAATTTGCAGGAAGCAAAACGCATGTGGTGCAAACATACACGCAATCACGCAGGAGAAGCGCATGTGCGAAGGACGTCTCCTTCACAGCAGCAGCAAACAAACGGCGTACGGTTCAAACATGCTCGCAGGATTTTAGTCTCTGATGTTTCATCTCTCGCAGAAGCCCTTGACATCTTGCCAACTCCCTGTCGGAGTAGTTCAGAAGCTCTCTCGATAAAAGCTTGTTTCATCCAACGCCTGCTGTACCCGTCATGTTTAGGCACCACATGATCATCCTCTGGCCTTGAGCATTGCTACATTGCAAACAAATCGTCCTTTCAAGTTTTGCTTCATGCATGTAAGCCGGAACCTCCCTACGACGCTGAACGCTGATGAGGTTTGTACCTCAGGGCTCAAGAGTTAGGATCTGGGTTGGACAGGAAGACTATGCATTCAAGGTGACGTGCCAAACTTGACTGCAGTGTCTGCACCACATCGTCTACGCTTTTCAAGCATCTCATTGTGTCAAACCTCTTGCTGACGCCTCAGACCGTCCGCAGGCAGGCAGTTGCATCAATTGCCCGAGCTTGTGGGAGGCCTGATAGGCCTTTGGCCTTTCGCATGCCTTCGGCATCTGAGAAGAGGATATGTGCTCATGTGCAGTATGTATTCAGTTTTTGCAATGTACAGCTGGCTGGCTTCTTCCCGTCATGGGAATGGCTGGTGCAGCAACGACAAACGCGAAACATGAAGTTGTCTTGTCGTTGCTGCCCATGACAGACATGTCGTGACAGCATGTGCACAAATCGGCGAAGCTAGATGTTGCTGCCGAAGTCAGTGCCTGTGCCAAAAATATAATCCAGAAACTCGTCTGTCGAAAGCTTCGCATTTCCGTCCTTGTCGAGAGCACTGAAGAGCTGCTGGCACTCGTCATCTGATATTCCATCGCAGTCACGGCGAACGGCAGACAAAACAGATGCCAGCTCCTTACATGCTCAATGCTCAAGGGATTCACAATTGACACTTTTAATTGGAATTATAATAGAAACCAAAAGAACACATGGGCTGTGGATCACAAAGGCTCGTCGACGGACAGCCTCCCGTCCCCGTTTGTGTCATGCGCTTTGAAGAGCTTCTTCACCGCTCTGATACCGTCCTCGCCTTTGACCTTCAGCGTCTCGCTTTCCATCTTCTTCAAGTGTTCTGGTATAAAGTAATTCCGCGGGCGTTCCATACCGCCTAGCGCTGAGAAGAGACCCCACCCCCTCGAACCGTTGTTCTCTTCGGTGGCAAAACCGCCGATGGTGGGGAACTGGACAATCAAGTCCTCGCAACCCTAAAGCTCTAGCGCGCAAACTCCGAAGCCTACACACCGACGCAACGCATCCCGATCCCCGAAACCTCTAACCCAACATATCCACCTATTCAGCAGGCAGCACAGCACACGTGGACAACCATGTGTAGAAGTCTCGAAAACACTAGGCAGCCAGAGGCCTATCCAAGGAAAAGCCGAGATCACTGAAGGGCACCATCCGCAGCATCGTTCGACACAGACGGCTATTGTTCAATATGTGCGCGATGTACGAGCCTACATGTCATCACAGGAAACCTAAGGTTTGCTGACAGGCACTCTCCTTCTACTTGAATCCTAAGGCAATGCCACTGTTTCGGCTGAAGAACTTGTGTGTACTTGTATCTATAGCAGTGCCACAGATGAAACCGTACTCTAACAACACTGCAACCGAACCAAGCGAACCGCAGGAACATCGCCAAAGATGACCAGCCTAGGGTTCCTCCAGCCAGAAACCTCCAAACCACACCCACCTCCAGCCACGGGCGTCTCCAGCTACAGGGGGCCTCCAGCCGGCTGTGGGTGAAGGCAGGGTGGCTGGAGCATCAAAGTCATTCTAAGCTGTTTCCAACCGAACCGAACCCCACTGTCGTAAGCTGTATCGACAAACTATCGGTAAAAACGACAAATTGCAACCATGACGAGGTACGAACAAATGAACGGTCTGCCATTTTCCAGATTTCCAGTCTTTATGCGGCTGTTTGCAATCAAGCCGGCGCTGTCAAAGTAAGGTTGCAGACTTCTTTTGGAAATGACGGCCCTGACGAGTTCCACCATGAAGGCCGAGGACAGATCAGAGCCCTTGAAAAACTTCAAGCTCAGTCCCAGCTTAACTACAGGAGCTTGCGGAAGCTCGGCAGATCAGCTTGAAGGAAGATCGAAGCAGCAGGGGAAGCTGCCGAAAGGTTGAAGCGATGAAGTCTTGGCTACCCCGTGGCGGGGTGCAGAGACCATTTGACCCCGACACATTGTAGTGATGATACTGACACTACAAAGCCGTTTTTGCAGCACTGCATGCCGGGTGTGTGCATGATCCCCCCAAGGCCGCCTCAACGGAGAGGCTAAACACAACCAACTGCCTGTGGATGGCACAGATACCCCACTGCGCATGTACCCCTGATTCCCAGAATGCCATGCCCGCCTTTTTGGGGGTCTGGCCCCTGTACCCCCGCACCCCGCAACAGCAATCAATCCCGCAGCGAGCCTGGGTAGGCTTTGTCGTGTGGTATCGAGGCATGCGCAGGCAAGTATCCATCAAGCACATCCAAAAAACACCCAAAACCGCAGAAAGGGCTGTAAACTGGATGGGTGAATCCATAAATCCCGGGACGGCCTGACTGCGTGCCCTGTCCCCGAAACCCTACACCTGCACAACCCCTAACACCCTACACCCCTGCAGCAAGAACCAACAAACCGAACCCGAAACACCCCACCCTGCAGCCCTTAAGGCCCGCAAAGCCCCAAGCCCTAAACAACCCTGACCCTCCAAGTCCTTCGAGCCCCTCTCCCGGTCGAGGCCAATTCCGATGACCCTTCCCACCTCCTTCTCGTTGATCTCCGAGTCTTATTGGGTCTTCGGAAGAAAAACAGGGTTCGCAAAGGCCTATAAATCCAAACCAGAAGGTTTGTTTGTTTTCTGGGTCTTGCATGATAACTGGTTTCCGCAAGATGCTTACTGCAGCATTAACAGGAATCTTATGCTAGGTTCCCCAGCGGGCCCTGAGCTGAGGCGGTTTATGTGGTGGTCCTTGTCCTATACTTCCATTTCAACGAAGGCAGCAAACCAAGATGGCACAGGAATGAGGCAGAATACTGGAACCGAGCCACTAGTCCACTTGGAAGGATTGGTCACCTGAACGAAGTCGCCTTTCTGGAACGGGAGCTTCTCGGCTGTGGCAGGATTTACCTTCTGGTATCCTTCACCAAGGCCACCAGAGACCAAGAGCTGGTTGTCACCGACGATCCGAATCACTTCTCCTAGCTGCCCATCCTCGAGATAGATGTAGTCACCTGGCGCCAGGTTGAAACGTAATTAGGGACGACCTAGGTTTGCTAGGGATTCCTACAGTAAGTCACAGTGGTCGTTTCGACTCTCGACCCACCTGGCTGAAAGTAGCACACCATCAGATTGTGCCAGTAGCATCGGCCCTTCCCGCTCGGGAAGCGCACGTGGAAGCCGTGTCGGTCATGGAGCAAGCTGGTCACGACACCGATATGGCCTTCTGGCAGGCCCTCCATAGGTTCACCACAGTAGGTTACCTCAGGATGGTTCAGGTCGAGACTGCATGGAAAGGAGTGACCGCAACAACAGCGCCAAATGCACAGCCAAGCTTCGAAGGTCCCAATTTGAACGTTGAAGGTATTGAGCTCCTGAATTTTGAACCTCCAGGTACCAGAGTAGAATTGGACCTTGATTCGGCCTTCTTCGTTGGGCTCTTCGATCACCGTTCCGAGCTCGCCTTCATCCACGTCCTCATCCTGCTTTGTCCACCTGACGCATTTGCCAGGTTGGACCTGGGATTTGATGAGCTCTGCAGGCTTGAAACTCCATGTCCCTTTGGGAAACTTCACCCGCAGTCTTCCCGAATCGCGCAGCTCAACCACGACGCCGATATGGTCGATACTGATGTCCTCATCTGACTTTTGCCAGAATACATAAGTGCCACGTTGGAAATCGCAGCGGAGTAGGTCTCGGCCATCTGACAGAACTTCAGTTCCTTGAAAATCTACCTTGATTTTCCCTTCATCCCCATTATAACCGACGACCTCACCGATGTCATCCAAACCACGATTATCCGAGGCGATGTGCACGTAGGTGCCATTCTGGAAGTCACAAACATTCAGCATCTCAGCATCCAGTCTTTTGGCTTCCCCCATTGAGAAATAGACTTCTTTCTGATTGTCGGGAAGATCGTCTAGCATCAATCGGGCCACGCGTCCGTATGCAGCTGTGTTGGAGACGAGAAACACATACCTGGGTTCTAGTTCCAGGGCCTGTACAGTAAGATTTCTGTCCGAGTCAACTCCTGTCAATACCTCGATCACCCATAACGCCAATCAAACAGTGCTCCCATACGCCGGCTAGATACTTATCTCCTTTGATGGTATCCACCTCGTCGGACTCCCTGTCTGCTGGCATTGCCAGGCACGACTTGGACGCTTTAGCCCCCCTGTTGCCTCGAGCCCGGAAAGCCAAGGCACGGGTCTTGCTGACAGTTTAGCTTCCGTCAGGACTCGCGGCACGTAGGGACCAGAAAGAAGAAGAGTTTCGACCACAAGAAGCCCAGCAAGAAGAAAGGTCCTTATTCTCTGTTGCGAAACACATCATGTGCAATTATTGTAATTGCGAATATTTCCACAAAGATCATCTCAAATATATTCGAGATATCTTTCTTCGAAAGGTATATAAAGACATAAAAAATGCGCACGGACACGCCTTCGTTTTTCTTCCAAAGGGGAATGCCACGATACCCCGAGCTCACAACGGCTCAGGGGTAGGCTCCAGAATGTTCAGTCAGAAAACTCTCAGGGCGGGCTTGGGCGGGACAAAATCTACAGCAAACTTATGTTGCTGTCCCACCTCCCCACCACTTGAGGCGAGTGAGGGACATAGATTCATTCACATGTTCAACAGCCAACCGTTGCGACAGTGAAATTGAAAAGTCATGTGGAAAACATGATGTTAATTTTTCAAACATGAAAAATTTTCGCCAAGTAGAATAAAGCGATCATCCCTCCGGGAGGATGTACTCATTCTCTGTTGCGAAACACATCATGTGCAATTATTACAATTGCGAATATTTCCACAAAGATCATCTCAAATATATTCGAGATATCTGTCTTCGAAAGGTATATAAAGATATAAAAATTGCGCAGGGACAGGCCTTCATTTTTCTTCCAAAAGGGAATGCCACGATACCCTGAGCTCACCCCCTTCTTCAAAGGAGAATGGCCAAAGAAGGACGTGACCTGTGCCTGCACATGTGCTCGACTGCACCAAAGGTCAGCCGCGAAGGACCATCGGCAATGTTCGATGAAGTGGGTACGCGGCCGTAGCAGCCGTAGCACACATGCACTCGAGACCGCATCTCAAGTTCAAGAATCTTCTGCACCCACAAATCCGAGGGCTTAGATGAATCGGCAAAGCAACGGATGCAAGAGTGTCGCGCACCCTCCTTATCAAGGTAACACACAAGTTGGGATCCCTCAAACAAGCTACCCCAGAGCTCATAGGCGATGAGCAAAGGAGCAAGTTCGAGCTCAAAGATCGGATTCTTCGAGGCAACAAGAAGATCACTCATAAGGGAGGCCGGCACTTCCTCTCCAAAGTATCCTGCACAAGACCCGTTCGGAGAGATAAGAACTCACCCTATACCTCCCCACTGTCGCTCGGGCTCACAAGCTCCGTCAGTGAAAAGGATCCAAGTGGACCTGATGCGAGGCTGCACAACCAAAGGTGCAGAAGAAGAAACTCGATGAAGAAGGACCTGAAGCGCAGCTTTATGCCTCAGGCCCAACCCAAAAGTGACACTGGATTCGTTCCCGCGCGCCAAAGTGCGCATAGCCTGATTGCTGACACGCCGAAGCTGTAACCTTCAAAGAAGACCATGCGCCCACGAAGGCGTTCGAAAGATCTAGGCTCAAGGCTCCCGGCATCCATTATGCCATTCAAGGATTCCAAAAGCTCTTCCTTCCGCTTCTCGGTGTGACCAACGAGCACAAGGCGCTCTGCTGATTGCGACAAGTCTACTTGCAAGCCAAGCGTACCGAAAACTCCACCATGCTCCATTTGGGGCCCCTCCGGGCCCCCCCGTGCGTCACACTCCTCGCGGTCTGGGGGCCGGCTGAAAATCCGAGGGCCTTGGAAATGGCCTCCGGAAAAGGAGCGGGCACTGCAAAATCGATGATTTTGCTGCTTTTGTGGGGTTTCCCCCATTTCGGGCCTTGGAAGCCAGAAATTCCTGAAAATCCGAGTGGCCTTGGAAATAGCCTCCGGAAAAGGGGCGGGTACTGCAAAATCGACGATTTTGGTGCTTTTGTGGGGTTTCCCCCATTTCGGGCCTTGGAAGCCGGAAATCCTGAAAATCCGAGGGGCCTTGGAAATGGCCTCCGGAAAAGGAGCGGGCACTGCAAAATCGACGATTTTGATGCGTTTGTGAAGTTTCCCCCTTTTCGGCGGCCTTGGAAGCCGGAAATCCGAGAAATCCGAGGGGCTAGTGGGTACTGTTTCGGGCTCTCGCGGGGACTGTTTCGGGCTCTGGCGGGGACTTTTTCGGGACTGCTTCGAGCTCTGGAGGGTACTGTTTCGGGCTCTCGTCGGGACTGTTTCGGGCTCCACGGGGCCTGTTTCCTTCGCGTGGACATGTCTGATTGCAGCCGAGTTGCGACCAGAGCAATACCTTGGCGGGCACATGTTGAGTTAACGTATATGTTGATCATGGGGAGTGTGAAGATCCTTGAAGGCACCATGGATGATTCATGGTGAATCCGGGATAGCCTTGTTTCAGAATGCCCAAAAGGTCAAACAAGCTCTCGATGGCCCAAGCGGTGTTATCCTTCAAGAGGGACCTACAAACATTCGTGAAGTCATCGAGTCGAAGCATGCGGTCCATAGCACTCGGGCCAGGACGATACCGATTCTCCAAAGTGCGTAAGAAACCCTAAGGAAAGCACTAACCGAGGCAACGGAGCCGAAGGGAAGGGCATTCAAGCCCAGAATCTCAGGTGACTCCTGTCCAGGCCGATTAACGGCGATGCGAACCAGACCTCGGTCATCTGGATGAATGCCTTACTGTTTGCATGCAGACTTGAGATCATAATTTCTTCCCACCCAGTGATTCAGATGGCTGACAGGGGCCCATTCTAAAGCACAGGAGAGAACGGCTGCAAGTTTGTCTATCGTGTGTAATTCGAATCTCTCCCTCAAGCCCACCGTAAGGTTCAAGCAAGAGATGGTGCAGTCGTCTATCAACCGAACCTTGCCTCCCTGGCGAATGCCAAAGCGCATGGTGATGCTACGGCCTGTGAATTCAGTGGCAACCCAAACCCAACAGGCGTCAATCTCCTTTTGAGTTTCAGCCCAAACCGTCTGCTCAAGCTCCTCGTCCTGTCGTCGGGCAAGCTTAGAAAAGACAGTTTTATTCAAACACGGAGCCAGCAACCTCAGGGAGGCGGAAGACATCTTCGGCGCCCGGACCTTGGGGGCCGAATTTCCTGTCACCGGCATCCACCCTGAAATCCGAAAACCCGAAGCGATGTCCCTGAACAAGTGCTCATCACTGCAGCCGGCAGCTGTCATCATCTCTTTGAATAACAAGAGCCGCTTGCCATGTAGCACCTTAGACAAATAATTGGGCATGTCGGAATGAAGTTTGTCCTCAGCCGGTTGAAGATCCCGAGCTCGGGCGCTCCAGTTCTTGACAAAGGCAACCCTGAAGCAAGCCAGCTCCGAGGCATCGTCCACAAAGTTGGATCGCACTGCCTTACTGACTTCCTCTTCCAGATGAAAATCAAGCTTGCGAGGGTGACCCACCTCAACAGCCCTTCTTATGAATTCATCCGGCTCACAAGGAATGCCTATGCTGCAAAGCTCGACAGAGTGCAAAACACCGGTTTGCGATCTCGGATCATTCACCTCAAGAAAGATGCAGTGCTCGCAATGTTCGACGGCCTGAAAAAATTCCGCCACTAAGGAAAGGTTCTGCTACAGAAAACCGCAGCCCTAAACCAAATCCTAAACCTTAAACCCGAGAACGGAAAATGAATGCAAACCTTATTTGGTTATGTTTTCATTCTAAGCGCACCAACAAAGCAGAAGTACATGTACACGAACTGCATTCACAGACTGAAGCAATCGCACTCGGACTTCTTTTTTAGAGCGAGGGGTGCAGACTGTTGGATTCCGGCTCCACATTCGTGGATGTACAAAGACTGGCAAAACTACGATCGTCCTGCAACGAAGTTTCCGGCAATATCCCGCAAGTGAGAAAAGAACATCCTGCAAGCGATAGGGCAACTGATGCCATTCCCCATTCAAGATCAGGTGCCGCTAGAACAACAGCTCTTCGCCTGGGGCCCAACGGACTCTGAAGTTGGTAGGAAGCTTGCCAAACACAAATCGCGAAGGATCATCAGCAGGGTTTGCAGATGACTCCACTCTTTCAAACCATATGCTGATTCCTTTCTCATCCTCAAGCATGCTGAGCTTGTTGAGCTGCGATGCTACCACCGGTGAATCGGAAGCACACTTGATGAGGGCCGCGAGGGCGGCCTCATTGTCACAATAGCAAATGAGATTGCAGTCACTCAAAGAGTTGCAAAGTTGCACCACACCTTGCACCGCCGCACAAGCTTCCAACTCATAGATCAGACCTTGTTTGCCCTCTTTGTTTATGGCCTCCAGAACGTCTGGGTCGGCAGACTCGGAGTACCACCTAAGGAGCAAACCCCTATCGCTATAAAGAATGCCTCCTAGGCCGGCTGGCGCATCTGCTTCGTAGGAAGCGTCTGTGAACAAGTGGTAGGTGGAACGATCGCAAGCCCTGATCATCCTTGCTTCCCCGTGCAAAACTCGATCTTTCAAGAAGAGCAGGGCCTCGGTCAAGGAATCATCGAGGACCACAAAGCCCGAGAGCTTCATTGCTTTTGATATAGCTCGCATGCGCTGGGCCGCACCCCGACCAAACACCTGCGACTCAGCGAACTGAAGACGGCCACGCAAGCACTCAAGCTCTTTGGCATGCACTCCACCTTGCTGCACGATGGACTCGATCGTGGACACGAGCTCACGCTTCCTAGCCTCTGTGTTTTGAACCCTAAGTAGACCTAGGTGGATCTCGTCCAAACTAAACTCTACTCCTAAGGCTTTTGCCACACTTTTGAACCCCGCGTCTTTTTCGTCGGACGTTTCCCAGCCGATCAAGGCAAAGTACGACCGCAACACAAGATCAAGATGGCCCTTTTCCTCCGGAGAGGACACTGCTACAAAATCGTCGAAAAACACGCTCCAGTGGATGTGGAGCAGGGCCTGCCCCACACTCCAAATTGCCCCCGAAGAACGACAGAATCCTTGTACTGATGGCTTAGCGCCAAAGGGTAGCACCTGGCTTTGGTAAAGTTCAGGTTCGCCCGTATTCGGGTTAAGCACACAGATATAAGCATCCCCCAAAGCCCGCTCCGATAAAGGAAGTTGCTTATAGGCTTTACGCAGGTCTATCGTACGAAGAAGCAAGCGGGCGTCCTTTCCTGATTTTCGTAGCAGCCGGCACCGCCTCAGGATCCCGGCCACAATGACGTTCACTGAATGCGGGTCAATTGTTTCCGCACAGGTGCACGTCAAGTTGGCTAAGCTTTCCGTGAAGTCATCGATCGGACGGATCTTTGCCGCCACACCGGTGGCCGTCGTCGTCACACCTTGCCTGACGCCAAAGCGGCGCGTAACAATGGCAGTCTCCGGCACATCGGCGAGAGAGAAGGGTCCAGTGAGCCACCCTTTGTCCCGCTCCTCCAAGGTAAGGCGATACACTTCCGAAGCAATTTCAGGATCCCTGCAGGTGCGGGTAGCTTCCCAGATCGCACGCTGATTCGCCGGGGTGGCGATTCTTACGTCCTCGATGCTGAGGGATGCCACGGTGGTTTTCTTCGGCAAGACAGACGAGGAAGGGATTTCCCCAAGCAGGTCGAAGCCGTTCTGTATATCTCGTACCAGGTTTGCATCGGCATGCCCAGCAGCTTTGACCATCTCCCCGAAGAGTTTCAAAGGTTTCCCAGCTAGGATCTTCTTGCAATGTTCGGGTCCGTCAAAGCTCTCGTCAAGCTCTTTCTTCCTAAGCATCCATTTGCGAAGTTCAGCCGTGCGTTCTCTAGCCACACTGACCGAGCTGTGCTCGCACAAATGATCAATACATGCCGACATGCCAGTTGGCACACCTTGATCTAAGGAGCGCGGGTGCTTCGCATTGCATGCCTGCTCCACAAACTCCGAAGGTGACCACGGTATGCCAAAGAGCAATTCAAGCCCCGACTTGACATTGGGAGTCGCACTGGCTGCACTGGCTGCAGGCAGGGGTAGGGCAGGGACCGGCTGGCACCGCGGAACCAGGGGATCAGGACTACCTAACATTACACCCTCAGCAGCCTCAGGCAGGGCAGGTGCCGGTCGGCACAAGGTGTTAGGGGAGTCGGGACTAGCTGAACCCACACCCATGGCGATCGTAGGCATACCTGCAGCAGAGGAGCAGGGCTCCGCACCGGCAGTTGGCTCAGATGTAGATGCAAAGGTGGCTGGCCCCGAGGTAGGCGCCATACCCCGTGGAGCATAAGGGCTGGCTCGGAGGCACTTGGAACCTGCCGGCAACGACGAAAGAAAAGGTGTGCAGAAGACAGTCTTGGGGACTGTCCAGGCCGATAGCAGCTTGGTCTTCGAGGTGCACGGCAGCTGATCGGCTGGGCCCGACACTTTGACTGTGCGAGAAAACTCAGGCACCAGTGGAGGAATCTTCCGACCTGAAGGCTGTGCAGCTGTAGTCACACGGGCGCCCATCGAGAGCGACAAGGATGCATTGGCAAGAGAGCACGCCGGGCCGCGCGCACCGCATGCAAGCAGTTGATCCACAAGTGCCTGGGCAAAGGATTTGCACAGCATAGGCGGGAGGCCAGCGTCTTTGGCGCGATTTTGCGCCGGGGAGCGCCACGGCTCGTGAGCGTGGGCACCATCACACGTCACACCAAGTTTCTGCAGGAAGGGAACCGTGTGCAGAAGGCGGGTAGCCTTTCGTCTGTAGGAGCCGAACATACACTGATGCAAAGAAGTGGAGATGAAGGGAGAGGACTGGCAAGACCGGAGTGAAGCAGTGAGCCACATGATGGATCGGCTGGGGTGAGCAATGGAGCAGAATACCCCATGACTCCAACAGAAATGCCAGACCTCTGCGCACATGGCAAAAAGGGCATTAGCCCCATTGACCAAATCAAGATCAGCACCTTGAAGACCTGGCAGACCCTCAGGATGCGCTGCATTGCGGAGGCCACTTGGGCGAGGGCCCGCCAAACCGACACAGCTGGTGGTCACAGGTGGAGACAAATGGCACGCAACAACATTTGGCTGCCTAAGGAGGTCGAGCAGAATGGCTCGGGATCCCGGCTTCGTAAGGTCCAGTGAGACAACGGGACATTTGCAACCACGTTGTGCATGACGGTCCAAACCAACGCTCAGCTTCATGCCCAGCTGACGCAAAGAAGCACAGAGGCCCCCCGAACCACAGAACACATCGAGGAACATGAGACTATCAAGAGGCACTCCTTTGACTTTATCAGAAACCTTAGAAAGCAAGGGTTCCAGGGCTCCGGCATGTGGTGGGACATACGCCAACGGAGGGTTGACGGTTGACGCGGAGACCGAGGGCCTAAACCCTAAGGATTTAAGATGCTCAAAGTCAAGGCTGGGCAGCAGAGTTGCATCTCCGCCCGAAAAAAGGATAAGGACTAGTCTATCCCCCGTCCAAGGCATTGTGCAATGCAAACGTTTTCGTGCATAGAACCGCACTGGGGCCGCTGCAACATCATACAAGTCTCCAGGGACCAGGGAACCATTGACGGGTAGAGCATGGCTGCCCGACTCGGATTGAACCCAGATGTGCCCACCTGAAAAGTCGGTGACACCCAGCACAAGGTTGTCAGCATCATCGTTGTTCACATCACGGTGAACCTCAGTCTTGACGTTAAGATTCAAGGAAATCGAGCAAAATGTGAAATCTGTCAACTTGGACCCGCCGTGCTGCACGGCCCAAGAGATGGCCAAAATGACCGATTGAGGAAAAGAGCGACAGGTGTTTGTGAGGCCAACGACGCCCCCATGTCGGAAAACACCTGCAACAAAGGATCTGCCAGACTCTGAACCAAAGCGTTCATCCAGTCTAGAGGGTAACAAACTGAAAAGGCGTTCAATGCAAGATGCTGTCACAGGTTCACCAGACGACAGCACGTCTTGCGCAAATTGCTCTGCTGGATGCAAAGAGACTTGCACTCGCCGCTCAGCGGGCAAGGGAAAAACTCGCTCATCAATCACAACATTCGGGATTCGTTCACGCACTGCTGCGGCCGGCTTGGGACATGCCAACGGGCCCACCTTATCTATCTGTGCCATCATGCACTCGTGGTTTGCCGCCTGGGGCGAGACCGAAGGGCTCATCGCCTCATCAACAAGAGAATCGGCCTCAGCGGCGGCAGCCTCCCGTCACTCGTTGACTTTGTAAGTCGTGCATTGAAGGAGAGAGTGAGGCTGCTCGCAGAACATACAAATGTGCAGGCCCCTTTTACAGCTCTCTCCAGGTTTCGCAAACTTACATCCAGCCTGCAGATTAAAATTCCAGCACAGGCGTTTCTTAGTCTTGCTACAGTTGTGCTTCAAGCGGGAGTCGGATAACGCTTCAGGGCACTTTCCCTTACCTGCACCTTTACCGGGTCGGTGAGGAGGCAACTTCGGCTTGCCATCGGCATCACGCTTTGTGCCCTTGTCGCCCTTGCCATCGCCCTTCCACTTAGCCCCAGGAAGTGGGGCCAAATGCATCATGATTTTTGGATCGTACTGAAGCTTGTCCAGAGCAGCATCCATTGGCAGGTTTCCCGCGTCATCCTTCTTCAGAGAAGTCAAGAGTTCACTCATGCGCACCCATGCCGCCTTGTCGCACCTGAGCAGCTGCTCCATCGAAACCTTAGCATAGTATGGAGGCGGCTGCTCCGATAGCTTGGCAAGCAGATGCCTGTGCCACAAGTCCATGGATGCAAAAGTACAAAGCTGCAGAAGGTCGCAAGCAAGTGCTCTGCGACACAGGGCTTCGGAGAGCTGCAACTCATTCTGAATGCCACACTTATCCTTGTGGGCCTTGTCGCGGATACTCATGCGCGAGCCCTCATCTAAGATCAACTCTTTCCCTGGCTTTTCTCGATTCACCTCCATGGCCCTGGTTAGGAACCTGTGGGGCTCCAAATAGGAGAGGCAATCCTGATCAACGACCTGGGCGACATAAGTGTAATTGCTGAAAGCGTTTTCCAAAGGACCAGTCAAGCTGAGCCCCACGAGCCTTTTCCGCTGATCGGCTATACGATTCATCCTCTCAGCAGGGGCCAACTCCGCTTTCTTTTCGCCTTCACCCTCAATCGAGCTTTTAAGCTGTGCAATGGACAGAGTTTGAGCTTCAAACATGAGGCGCCGCAGCGCCGACAGTGCACGCAACGGCACAGTCGTGGGGTCCGCGGGATCAAGGATGGACCTGAGCTCAGCCTCCTGCGGTACTTCGCCCGGGGTCGAGACACTGAAGGCAAGGAGCGACAAAGATGTCAAACCCTTACGCACGAGCACATCAAGCTCAGCTTGTGTCAGCCCACATTCCTTGGCCCTTTCTTCGAAAGCCGCTTGACTCTTCAGGATGGACGCCATGGAACAGAGTCGGATCCTACACGCTCAGACCTGCAATGACAACAGGTGTGTACATGTCCTAGCTCGATAGAAAATTCAATCCCGCAAGGTCAAATCCAGCACGTCATGACACATGATCCCGCAAGGTTCTGAGCCGTCCTGCAAGTGATCGCAAAAGAAGGTATCCCGCAAGCTTCACATAGGCAAATCACTGCAGTCAAACAGAAACCCCTGAGGCCTCCAGGCTCATTGGGGAACACACTCCGAAACACCACAGCACGGACTTTTACTCGGTCCTCTGAATCTTCTTCAATCGCGCGTCAAGGCAGTGCACCAAGGACCCTAAGTCCCTGATGGGCTTTCCCTTCCAGCATTGTTTGCAGCGCCAGTGCACTGCTTGAACCGCCGACGTGAACGGCTTATGGTTCGCCGTGATATCTCGGCCACATATGAAACGCTCCATGGAGCTTCCCGCAGGCTTAAGATGAAGAGTCCTGGTGTTCTTTTGCTGATAGACGGGGCACCGATCATGATACCTCTGCCCCACGGGGGGGTCTGCTTGACTCGCAGTCAGGGCTTCATCTATCTCGCTGTCAGACGAGCCTGAATCGGAACTAGACTCGCTAGACGACGAGGAGTCTGGCTCCTCCCCCTGAGACCTATCGTCCTCGAAAGCAGCATCCGGATCTTCCCACGCAGCACGCTCTGCACTATGGATTAGGGAGTCCACAGCACGACCGAAAGGGGTGTCATCGTCGCTGGCATCCCTTTGATCGCTGAGGCCAGGCTCAGAAGCAAGAGCATTCGCACAAGGGAAGGCTTCTGAGTCACAAGCTGAGCCAGGGCTGACCGCCGGCCGGTACCAGTTTCTTTCCGCCTCGGTCTCGAACACGCTGTCGCCAGGCAGCTCCTCGGCCGAGTCAGCAGCTGCAGGGCCCTTTGCATAAAGACCCGACCTTGTCATGTCTGGGAGATACCTGCCACACCGAATGTCACAGTACATCTGACACAGCTCTCGCAATGGTCCAGCTTGAATGTCCCTGGAGTAGGTCACGACCGATCGTCTATCCTTCAAGGAGTGGTGCCCCAAGATGGTGCAGGAGTCCTTGGACATGTCTGTCTTGCTTGCCCACGACAGTGCAGTATGCTTGCACGAGTGACCCTTGAGATCAAACCCCATGCTCGCATCCCCAGACTTGAGGATCGAAGAAATCCAGGTCACAAACCTGCCCGTCGGAATCCGGCGACCACTCCAAGACCCATTGAGCATAGGCGACTGCAGCAAAGGCAGGCTGCAGGATCCGGTGGCGACCGGATGGCCCGACAGGCGCCACACTTCAACCCAAGCTTTGGCCCAAAGACCTTGACCCACACCCCGCTCGGGGGCCACGAGGCTCAACTCGAGCCCCAACGGGTTACCTGTCGAGGCACACTTGTGTGACGTCGAGATGCACTCAAGGAAACCTTCACCCTCCGCAAAATCGATGAACATTGCCTTGACTGCCCTCACATCCCCTACACGGGCTCGCGAGTGAGTGCAAAACAAGCAAGCACCTGCAGCATACCTATCCCTTGCATCACGGCGGCTGTCCTGGACAAAAGCCTCAAGGTATGCCACCTCTCGAACCTGGAAAGGCCTGGCCTGCACACGAGGCGGACGGTTGAACCGCACCTTGCGAAGTCGCCCTTGCACAAGTGGGTGCTTATGAGGCTCACCAATGGCATCTACACCCAAAATGAATCTAGCGAAGTTGCAAGCTTCAAGGCAAGATCCGAACACAGAATGCGAGGCACCACTCTGCTGCAAATGCTGGGTGTACTCAATCAACACCTGAGAGTCAATCGGGAAAGCTGACATGCCTTGGTTCGAGCACCATCCCACCAGGCGGGCGAGACTGGACAACCGCTTTTTCAAAGTCGAGAGAGCCTTGCCACCCAGGGCTTCGGCAACAAGACTGACCCGATCTGTTTCGCACTTGTCCTTCAACAGTCTGCCAAGGGAAGAGCATTCGTATGCATGACTCAAGAGGACATCGTATCTCGCTGCAAGCAACTGCAATTGTTCCTCCTCAGTTTCTTGGGGCTTCTGAAATTTCCTGGCGGAGAAAGCGACCTGCACAAACTGCGAAGCATGCTCTTGGGGGTGAGCCTTGGCAACGGCCTCCTCGAAAGAAGCGGAGTCAAGGGGTTCCGTTTGCAGAGGGGCCGGCACACTGCACTGGGAAAGGGAATCTAAGTCGCTCTGCGAGAAAACTGCTTTCATCACTCCGCGCTCCCAAGGCATTTTAAGGGAGTGCTTAGACACATGTTTGTCTGCAGCAAGCAACAGCCTGTCGAGCGGCCGCGCCATACCCCAGATAATGCGGGCGCTCACTGGCAGGGAGTCTAATCAGACACAAAATGTCGGAAGGCTTGCTGGGCTCTCTGCAGCCACTGCTCGATCCAGGTAAGGCGCACTGCGGAGTGGCTGTGCGATGCCTGCAACTCCTGAACCTGTTCCTGCAACAGAAGCAGCTGAGCTCGCAAGGTGTTAACTTCCAACTGAAGATCCCAGATGTGCTGAGACAGCACCTCGTAATCACTGGTGCTAGGAGCACCACTGCTAGCGGAGCCCGCCTCTTCCATCTGCCGCCCTCCCAGTGGAGGGGGCGTGCACGGGCTCCTAGGGAGCAGCCTTGTGATAGCACCCGGAACCTGTTAGATGCAGAACAGGTCTCTAGTGGGGCCTCACACAAAAATTTTCTCACGCCTGCAAGCAAAACTTGAGCCAAAATGGCTACGGTCTTTGTACATCCACGAATGTGGAGCCGGAATCCAACAGTCTGCACCCCTCGCTCTAAAAAAGAAGTCCGAGTGCGATTGCTTCAGTCTGTGAATGCAGTTCGTGTACATGTACTTCTGCTTTGTTGGTGCGCTTAGAATGAAAACATAACCAAATAAGAACAAACTCTCCCGAAGGGGGATGTTTTCTTATTTGATTGTTTTCATGTTGGAAAAAATTGTTTACAATTTTTCGGGCGCACTTTTTTCAGTCATGTCTTGCGGGAGTTCTTTGCATGACATGGTGTTTTCTCACGTTTGCTTTGCCTCGCATGTCAGTGGCATTCGCAGTTTTGCTTGCAGGCGTGAGAAAATTTTTGTCCCACCAAAAGTGCGCCCGAAAAATTGTAAACAATTTTTCCAACATGAAAACAATCAAATAAGAAAACATCCCCCTTCGGGAGAGTTTGTTCGTACTCGGTCACCACACTTTTCGATGGGATCGCAAAGATCGGATGCCCCGGGCATCGAAACGGGTTGACCCGAGGATGCCTTCTGTGGGGTGGCGACTATTGCACCACCCCACGAACAAAAGTTCTACGAGCGAAGCTACGATACTTGAGTGATAGCTTCGGACTAAGGGAGCGACCAGAAGGTCCTCCGGGACTGAGAGTCCACGCTAGAGCAGAGGCTACAAGCAAGAAGCGATCTGCAGACTACGGCGGTGAAACGAAGTGGGGCCAGTGGCGGGCCCAGCAGGAAGCACCAAAGTGTGTTGTGCGGCGGAGGAGTACTGCCGCGAGCATCGACATGATGAAGCATTGGCGACCTGAAGGCCCGATCATGCACAATCCAAGCACCTGTGGCGGGATGGCAGGGGTGCTGCACCAAGTGTAAGCGAAAGATGCAAAGAAGGATAGCACGTTCACCAAGGTGCCGGGCCTAGCAAGGGCGGGTCGGGCGGGAAATCAAAAGCGCGAAGCGACTTCGCCGCAACTTGAACCAAGCGGAGTGCGGATACACAGAGCTTCCCGACATGAACTGAAGCAGAAAGTCGCGGGCACTGGCAAGCGGAAAAAGAAACTTTCCACTTTCCAAATTGAAAAAGGGCAGGCGTTTTTCATCGCAAAACATCAGTGGACAAGTCCACAAGTACCAACCGATGGCAAAGGGCGGTTGGATAAATGGACTCATCAGCAGTGGCAAAACGTAGTTGGCGTCCCACAAGGCGAGGCTTCCAAGGACGATGCTGATGCGAGCCATCGCAAAGAGCCTCGAGAGGGGCGAACACATCCTGAGAAGCCCATAGGCGTAAGAGACGCGGCCGCTCACTTCCATGACAGCATAAATGGAAACGTGTTACAAAGCCTTTGGCAGTCTGTTCAATGTTACGAAAGAAAGAAGTCTGCCAATAGAGCGAGCTGTCAGGATTCTCGAGGGCCACAAGCAGCCCTAAGGAACAAGCAAATTGGACAAGGCGCCCGACTTCAAAGTACAGCTGGTTAGCTTCTTCCACCCTACGGCGATCAGACCCAGAGAGCCCGGGCAACATATCGGGGTAGTCAGAACTCCGAAGCGCAGAAGGCAGCTGAAAACCCTGGCGAACCCACTTGTCAATGTGCTTGCCCCTATGAACACTTCCGTTGGGGCCCGCAGCTGTCCAAAGAACGGCTGCGTAACATTTAACAGCTGCACGCCTCCGCAGCTGTTAGATGTAGCGTAAGCTGTGTACGCAGCGTATAATGTCTTGTACATGGCGTATAACGTTTTGTACATCAAGCATAATGTTTGTAACTTTACATCGCCGGCAATTATGTGTTCGATGCACTTATGATGCGACATGCACCGTTGCTCCAGGGTCGAAAAACTGCTACGCGCATGCAGCATGAAAAGCAGCATGTTTGCGGCGGCCTGACATGGTCCGGCACGAAAAAAAGAAGAATAGACGGGGGAGAGCGAGAGATATAGGGAGACAGGATGGATAGAGTACGTTCTCGAAGGTCTATACATCTTCTATACATATATATTCAACAGGTCATCGTTTAAATGCATACAGACACATGTACATGCGCGTGGCCCGAAGCCACGTTATCAATGGCAGAGGAGGCACAGTCGCTGCACATTTTTTGTGCTGTTCGCAGTTGTGGACGCAGAGCTGCATCAAACTTGCTGCGCAAGACTCGTTTTGATGTTGTGCGAACGGCGCAAGCATTTGGCTTGTGCAGCAGTTGTTTTTACGGTGCAACTGCTTTAGTCTTCGCGCCGTCGTAGCACGATGCGACAGTTGCAGATAGTGCAATGGGATGTCGAGCCAGAGCTTGATGAAACACGTTGGAGATCCACACGTGCCATAGCAGCGTTTATGACAACTTCTTGAAACTTTGAAATATCTGCTCTTATCACACAGGTCCTGGCTCGGTCCCCTGGACTTTCGAACTTGTTGCAGCTTGCTTGCACGGTTGTCGTCGCTTTCTGTAAGCTTGAAGGTGTGTGGGTCGTTTTGCAAGGATCGACTTGCTGACGAGATCAAAGCTGGCCTCTCCGAGCGTGGAAGGGCCATGATCCTCGGCAACGAGCTGCCGAAGGGGTTCAGAGTGATCCAGTTGCAAAACGAAATTTCCTACGCTACTGTGAAGGACACATGCAAGGTCGATGCATGAGTCGCAAGCCCAATCCTAACTGCCCATTGTGAACTTCTACTTCTAAGAAGCCTTCCGTGCAACAGGAGATCGGCCGCCACCACTGCTTCTTGCTGCCGCTGGTGAGGGAGTTCCCAGATCGAGTTGCCTGCTTGCAACTCTGCGAAAAGTTTCTTCATGAGAACTGCTTTGCCTGGTGCAAAGGTGCCGTCGGGTTTCTTGCTGACCGATGTTTGGCTGAGATTGAACGAGAAGTTCAATAAGGGCTTGGTGAACCCCAAGCAAGATGACTCAGTTGTGGACCACGCTGGCAAAGAGGCGAAGCGCCTCAAGAAGCTGATGGGATCGTTGCGCTACCTTTTCAGGAATGGCAACAAGGATGCAAATCTTGAACGGTTGCTCCTTGCTGTGCAGCAGTGTGCTATGGGCGATCTTTTCGAGGACTGTAGCAGTGTAATACCTAGGTCCGACTTCCACTGATCACCGAGTGGCCCGCCTCAAAGAACTTCTGACAAAGTCTCCAGCGCGCAAGCGACAGGATCCCGAAGCCGCAGCTGTTGCTCCAGCCGGGTCGGACGAAGAGAGGTCTTCTGATTCTGATGCACCTGCACCTCGCCCCGTGCATGACATTCGCTGTGCTTTGGGCCAAGGTACGCTGCGGTGTGACTGCGCACGTGAAACGCTGAAAACCCTGTATAAGTCGCATTGGCAGGCGAGGGTGATGGAGATTCCGACGAGGAGTCGGCTGAATCCTCGTCGGGCACTGAAGACCCGGACGTTTCGCAAGAGGCCAATCCTTGTAAGCCCCAAGATAGATTTCTGAAGTACCTCTAGTTGCCTTGGTCAGGAAGGGAGGCCGGTGGATGATGCAAGAGAAGGTACGTGCATAACTTGACATACATGAGTCATTGCACGGGTGTGCTTCGATTCTCCGCTACCATGAGTTGTCCACGCAGGCTACTCGGGCTACACCGACGACACCGAAGTGCCCGACGAGCACGAGAAAGGCTCCCCGTTTTCTTGCACGCAGCGCAACTGCATCTTCCGCTGTTAAATTCAACAAACTGTGTGGATTCCTTTTGCAGGCCTGGCAGCCGAGCGTGCGGACGCTTTGAACTGCCGAGGCGAAACCCTTGAAGGTTAAAGGGTTTTAGGGCTCAGGGCTCCGGTAGCTTGTCATTCTCGGTTTGAGAGAGACGGTTCGGGTCTGATTCTAGGGTTTATTGATTAGGTTTGACTCGCAGTTTCATGTTACATACATAATTGAAGCATTGACGGTTCTACGGTATAGCTTCTCTTTGCAGGACTTACACACCCCTAACTATACTCTCATCGTTCTACAACATATGTAAGACCTCGACGGATGTACGCCCCTTATCGATGCTTGATAAAGACAAGCTAAAAAGCGTTTGAAAAGCTTTCTAGAGTCGTAGCCCAAAAAGCCACGTAGCCCAAAAAAACGCACGCCCGTGAACCCTTAAACCCCTGACACCGTAAGCTCCAGAGGCACACTCCAGATGCACAAAGACTTTGTAATATCTTCTAATCTCTTCATGTCCCGGCATGTGACTCTATAGCTGTAGACGCCCTTAATTAAACTTGTCGTGGCAGGTGCAGCCGGGCCAGCTCCATCGGACGACGATTCAGATTCCACGCAAGGTGTGATGGACGGTTCGAGTGATGGGTAGGGTTTTGTAGCTTGGTTTGTGCTACACTTGGGGTCCGAGTACAGGCATCTTGGCGAGCTATAGAGGTTGTGGACCACCATAAACCTCAAATCAGCTCCCAGCTCCTTCCTGTCATTACTATTGACTAGTCAGTGCGAGGTGCAATTTGAAAGGAATTAGGTTTATAGTGTTACTAGTTGCAAGATACGTATGGACTTCGTACATAGCAGTTGGGCCTACGCAGAAATTTGCCAAATGGGTTGTCATGGGGACCTACAGTCTTATCTTTCAGATGTGTAGTGGTCGGAAACTATTGTAGAAGCCAAAAAGTTGGAACATGACTTTAGGAGGATTAGTGCTAGGATCCCGTATACTTTACCTTAAGGGCATGAGGATAATGATGTTCCAACTTTCTGGCTTCTGCTGTAAATTATCTCAACTTCTTTGTGTCGTGTAGAGTGTGCAACTTCGAACATTCGTTATTTAGTCCTTATATAGTTCTAAACTGTTGAATTTGAACTCAGTTGCTACCGTGATCTCCTGGTCCTGGAGCCACTCGTGAATCGTAAACCAAGCCCGGGATTCTCATAGCTATGCCATGCAATTATTTATATCTATAGTGAAACATAGATGTAGGATACCATACCCTCCTTGTACCATAGGCGGCGCAGACTCAGACGACGACGACAACGACAGCCAGCGCACCCTCCTACCATGTGAAAAACAGAGCGCGCAGCACTCGGTCTTTTTCTTGAGCCAAAGCGGAGTCGCGTCGGGCTCTGACTGACAGTGAAACACCTTGCAGCTGTCTGTCTCCAAACAAAACACTTCAAGCACTAACGAAACGAGACGAAACGAACGTGCAGTCACTTCCTAACTCAAAAGCACTCCTAACAGCTTCAAGCATGCCGAAAACATCAAGACATCCGGTTTTTGACTCCCTCAAGCATGGTCTCGGCCTCAGTAATGCGCGTCCCGCCAACGCCGACACAGGTAACGCGCACAAGCTCGTGGCTGGGCACCTCCTTTGCGGATTTCATTTCGGGAATGGCTTCCAAAGCTCCCTCCTCCAGGGCAACTCACAACCCAGAAGAAGGGCGGAGCGCTTTACCATGTCAGGGGAAGACACCACCACGGCTCACAGCAGGCAGTACACGGCCCACAAGCCCATTGATCATCGCCTCTCCTTCTTATTGGTGGGCATTGTCGCTGTCTTGGAGCTCCATCCCGTCCTCCATCACACCTACGTTAGATGGAACGATCTGTGTCGTGCTTGTGGGACTCGCCAGGCTTGGACTATCGGAGTTGATGGTTACCGCTGTTCCGAGAGCGTTTCATCTTTATGCCATTGCCTCCGATACGATCAATACAACGCTGGTTGGGAGCTCTGAAACGGTCTTACTGCCGCCGGTTGCTACTACGGGCCTGCTACGCGCCCTCTATGACCCTGTAGGAAAGGTTCACTCTGATTCCGCACTGACTGCAGAGCTGCGCAGTCAAAGCTGTGCTGTCTTTCTTCCGGTTGCACCTAGCGCTTCATAGCCAACGAGTAGCAGTCTTGTTGGATGCAGTGGAGATCCGCCTTGTCATCTAGTGCCGAGAGTTTCCTCAATTGCCAGCCGGTGTACCGGCCTACTTGTAAAGTCAAACTTAGCTCTCAGAATTTTGGAGTGAAGGTAGTGGATTTGGCCAACGGGCCTTCATGTTGCGACGGTGCACGATAATGAAGCCTTTCGCGTCTCTTTACCGTGTCTGTCGCATTGGCTCAGTTTTGTGACTCTGTCCTGCGCCTGAAAGACAGGTTTTTGATCTCTCCTGGTATGAACTTGCCCGCACTGAGATTTGGTGGTGGCTGCTCCTTGATGAGCTTGCAGGACTCAAAGGATCGCTTCTCCGTGCTCTAGCGGGACGGAAGTTCCCAGTCCAGGACGGCAGCTGCGAGACTCCACCGCCCAAAGCCAGACTCCTTGCCGACAAATAGCTGGCGAGGCGCTGGTTCCAGCCAGCGCACTTCTATGGCAGGCAGCACGAGTGTTGAGGCGATGCAGGGAACACCGCTGCTAGTGTTATGTTCTCCGCTCTTCCTCCCCCCACGGGGCCTTCCAAGTGTTCGAACCTAGAGTTCCGGAACACTGCAAAAATCTATGCTCAAAGATCAGAAGCGCGCACACATGAGATATCAAACAACACAACAAAGCGCCACAATATGAACCTTGACGCAAACCGCAACGAAATTAACCATACTATAACTTCTCACACACACACACAGAAGAAGAAGCACGAAATCCTGCACGCAGATCCAGCAAGTGCTCCGATACTGGGCAACAAAATTGCAACAACCGTTCAGCGTTGTGTATGATCTTGTGACGGTTCAAAAAGAACAAGAAACTTTACTCTTTTTGCGAGGATGCCTTCTGTGCTCCCAAGAACGTCTTTCGAAGCGAGCTAGATGTGTCTCGCCTCCTGCTTACAGTTCCGCCCGACGTCAGTAAGACAAGCCACACGAAATCGCTTTAAGGGGAAAAACCAAAGAAAAATAAGAATAAAAAAACACAAGTGAAAACACACACACGATAACAGCAGCCCCAACTTGTCGTTTCTAGTCTCTCCTTGGGGCCGAAAAAAAGATTAAAGTCTTTTTTTTGGACCGCGGTTGTCGAACAAAAAGCAAAAAAAAACGCGTGGTCTGGAAAAATCGGAGATTAAAGATTTCGCATCAAAGTGATGCACGCACTTTGGAAAGCTTCGATTAGGAGTGAGGTGTATCGGAACATGCCAAATGAAGTCTATGAGCTGTGGCGGCAAGAAAGAGCAAGACTTTCTGACTTCTCGGATCTTCAGGCCAAGGGACACGAGGAGAGCTGCGAGCCCCAGTTTCCGCGGCTTTCCTTGAAGGTGTCGGCCAAGAAGAAGATAGAGCGGAGACTCGCTCCGTGGGCTGGTGGTGGACCTGAACCCTGGGCTTCTTGATGGACTTCGCGATGCTCCAACCAACACGACCCTCACTGGCACTGGAACTCTTGCCCTGCAACATCGAGGGCCCGACCCTCCGACACTGGACCCTCCAAGTCCTCTGTCACCATTTCCGGTCGGCGCCATGCCTGGGCCTTCTTTAACGTTAAAAACCTACAAGGCGAACAGCACTTCAGGTTTAAGGCAAACAAGTTCCAAGCACCCTTGCAAGCAAAGCAAGCTCACAAAACACTCGGACAGTTCACACTTTCAGCACGCACAGCTCACTGCTGGTCTCACGTGTCTTGAGCCAAACGACAGTAGTCGTGGCACCTCTTAAAAGCTCCCAAGCACTACAAAACAAGGGAAAACAGGTTGAGGCTACCGCAAAACCGTCACGCAAGCTCAAACTACGTTCTACAGGCACTGACCACCTGAAACTAGCAAAACTGTACAACTATACAGGTACCGAGGAAAACTCTGTGTCGCACCTAAACACTACTGGGCAGAGCACTGGTTTTCTACACCCCCCCACGACGCAGAAGCTGTCGGAGGTACCAGGTGGAGTTCCCTTAAACAGTACTCGCACGCCACTTTAGTAGCGATGCGATTCGGAATCGCGTTCCTGAGGCCGTGGCAGTCCCTACGCACGTGGAAACAGTCTCCGTAAGCAGAAGTAAAGACAGCCATCTTCTGGCCCGACCTTGGCAGAAACGAAAGAAGGTCCTGCACAGTCTTGACGCGGGAGCTCTCGGTACGCAGTTTCTGCAAGCACACTCCAAGCGCAACACCCACAAGCAGTGGGACAAGCACAACAGCGAGAAGCCCTACACTCGGAACTTCGAGAAGCTTCTCTTGCACTTCCACAACCAGGCCAAACACCATGGCACGCTCGGCAGCGAAAGGGACCAGAGACATCTTAAACGTCCTGGCAAAGAAAGAAAACACCGGAAAGTTTGAGCAAACGGGCTGCGCAGCAAACATGTAGCAACATGTCCTCGACAACGACAAGACTCTCGTAAAAAGTCAAGAGCGCAACGCTTCGAAGAAGGACTTTACAAGCTCTACCGGGTAGTGCTGTGTACTCTTGAGGTCGAAGTCCTTCGAGTGCTCATGCTTCCCAGAGCAACGATAGACACGAATGCTCTCAGCGACTGCTGGGTGTGTGGTAACAACACGCCATCGCTTGGCGATCAGCAGATGATCGCGGCCCCGCATATCAAGCGCACAACCATCAACTGGAACGTCGTGCAAAACGTAGGGGCGTGAAGAAAGAAAATGCTCAGTCTGGCGCCAAGACCAGTAAGCACAAGCACGCGGCCACTCAATGGCCCAAGCATGCACAAAGCTAGTAAGCTCGACCAAGCTTCTCCAGAGCTTTCGGTGAAGCCTCCAGTGCTGAGCCAACCGCCCTCGGCGATAAGCTGGATCACGGGCACGCAGCCTCTGATACGGGCAGCCTCCTGTGCACGGGGTACTAGCCCACAAGAAGACAAAACCCTTTTTCTTGATCTGCTCAGCAAAGATGGCTTTGAGCTCAAGCAAGGTCTGTGCACTGGCACCATCATCACGCTCACTCACAGTAAGCACATTCACCCAGTTTAAGTCCTGGCTAGCCGCTCTCATAGATGATTCAACGGGGGCACAGAACTCGATCACCAACCAGGAGGCATGCGGCATGGCGACAAAACGGTCACGCAAGCTAACATGGTTCTTACCAACAAGCATTGCACCGCACAACGCAACAAAGCCATCAAGCACACACGCAATAACGGCAACGTCACGCAAGCCAAGTCCCCACATGTGCTTCAAGGTAACAGTCCAACTAAGAGGTTTGGTGAACAAATCTGCAACATTGGCTTCACCGCGCACGCCAAAGATAAAAATCTGCTTTTGCCTGAGCTGGTCTTGGATAAAGCACGCCCTAAGGTCAATGTGCCTCACCTTCCTCAGCCCATCAGCCTTGCTGATAGCAACTGCAGCCTCGCTGTCACAGAAAAGATGGGGCTTTGGCAGATCTGCCCATCCAAAGACATGCGAGATGGCGCGGCGGATAGAGAGAGCCTCTTTCGCGCCCTCCACAAGCCCATAGAGTTCGCTCTCGGCAGAACTCAAGGCAACAGCCTGTTGCAGACGACTCCAGGCCTTCAAACAGAAGCCTCCCAACATCACGCACCCTCCGCTGATGCTTTTCCTGTCAACGTTCTTCTCGCTACCCCAGGAAGCGTCCACATAGCAATCAAGGCGCAGGTTCTCTTCATCAACCGGGTTCACTACCTGCTTAAAACCCTGAATATACTTCAAGTAACGCAACATAGCTCTCATAGCTCTCTCGTGCTTTTCGAGTGGATTCGCCTGGCCTCGGGCCAGCATGCTCACGTAGTAGACCACATCCACCCTCGTCATCGCAAGCCATGACAGCCTTCCCAGGGAACTGCGAAACCTCGCAGCAGCTTCAGAAGACAGGGGTTTTTCCAAACAAGGATCTTCTTTGTCGTACAACTCCTTTAGGTTGGGCGGCGTGCCACACGCGGTCACCTTGGAGTTCCCGAAGAAACCCTTGTAGATTTCCTCGTAGTAGGAATCGGACATTGTGACACACAGGGAGTCACTAGAATGCTCTCGGGCAATCTGTCTTCCAAGGAAGGTGATCTGACCGTCGCGGTCCAGATCGGCTGTGACCTTCACCTTCACAGCGGTCTTTAGCTGCTCCACCACATGGTAGATAGCTTCATCGCTGTCTCCTGTGATGAGAAGATCATCAACGTAGCAAAGAACAACCACACGCTGGCCTCCAAGCACAGAGCCTGAAAACAAACAAGCCTCAGTCTCACAGGGCTCCAGGTCACAGAGCTTCTTCAGCAGCTTTGCCAGGTGACGCGACCAGGTCTGAGCTGCGACTCTTAGACCATATAGGGCCTTCTTAAGGCGCAAGTAGCCACGGCGGCCGTCCTTGCCCTTCACTCCGTCTGGCAGCCTGACCACAATGTGGCCATCTTCCTCGTCGAGGTCCGCGAAGAGAAACGCGGTGCTCACATCCAACCCGACGATGTTCCTCCTCTTGGAACCCGCGTAGAAAAGAAAAGTTCGCAGCGCTTCTGCAGAGCTTGTGGCAGCAGAGATGCCAAGCTGTGCCGCGGTCGCTCCCTGCGCAAAGTCACGAGCAACTACCCGACACCTGACAAGCGGATTCTCCTTCCCCTCAACACGCTCTACTTTGGCATTGGAGACCCACCTTGTAGAGATCACTTTCTGCTTCGGATCAACATGCCACACAACATCACCGACAGCAAGCGATTCAAGAGCACGAAGTTCACGCAACATGCCTTCATAGGTCAAGCCAATATCAAGCAGGTGCCCCGTCACATCATCCTTTGCAGAAGCTGGCACTTCGACAAGCAGCTTCTCCCCCCCAAGCTCGACAACCTGAGGAGTAACAACCTTGGTGGCGGCTCCCGCAAAACAAACCGACGCACCAGCAAAGGAGATGGACTCTCGATACATTACACTGGACACCATGGCCTCCCGCTCTTCTTCAGGGAGTGCCTCAAGAGGTTCAGGATCAACTTGCATAAAATCAAGCTCGCCTGGGCTCGGGGCCTCGATCTGCTCGAGTTCTTCTCCAAGCTCTACTTCATTCTCAACTCCAGGCAGACTGGGCTCATACTCAGCCAAATCCTCGTCCAATGGAAAATTCGGGAACGGATCAAGATCATCCGGCACCTCAAGCCCAAGATCAACACCAAATCCAGCACCCAAATCATCACGCCCGGTCACTTCTTCTTCAATTGGGGCCTGATCGAGGATTGCCCGGCTGGGATCGAAAGAGTTTCTCACAAACTCAGCGTATCGATCACGGCACTTCTGGGTGTGCCAGGCCTTATCTGCTGGAAAACCGCGCAGCCGGCAAGCTCGGCACCTTGGGGTTCTCCCGTTTTCTTCAATCCACTCTGGTGGTGGTCCTCGGGTTGCGGTGTTCGGCAACGGGAGGTCGCGCACATTGTCACCACTGCTCTCGGGGAGCTTCTTCTGGGAATCATCCTTTCTTCCGGGCAACATGCGACAAACACCTTTCAAGCTCGACACCTCAAAAGTGAGAGGAACCAACATCCGGATTCTTGCGCTTCTCGCAATCTTCAAAGTGCCATCCCGCAGCCTAAACTGCACAATGTGGCTTCCACTTCCGACTTCTGGTCCAAGGTAGGCGGCGTGGCCGTAACGGCCGGTGATTTTATCACGCAAAGAGGGAGGAGGAGTGGCAAGCACAGCAGCACCCCAAACATAGGCGGCATGCGGTCCACGGGTGGTCTTCAAGCACCGCTGTTCTGGGGACAGCGCTGATCCAGGATGCACCTGGTACCGGTTGTAGACCTGGGCAACGTGCATCAAAAGATACGTAACACCCTTCCCGCAGGGCTCCAAGCCGACCTGTTCCAACCCAGCACAAAGTGTGTTTGCTCCTTCTTTGATGGTCCTCACAGCACGCTCTGCAACAACAGCATGCCGACCAACAGGGGCATCCACAACCTCGATGGCACCAGCGGTCAAACCATCAGCAAAACTTTGCGCAAGGTTCTTCACAACACCCTCAATGTCCGACTTCACGCTCACCGTCAACTCACTGGGAGCAACACCAACCAAGCCAACGCTACGACTCCATGCCGACATGTCACTCAACATGGCTTCCTTGGCTGCTGGGCCTCGGGATCCGCTCACCTCACGGTACGGAACCACACCGAGGGCAAAAGCACCAACCAAAACCAACACCAGGAAGGCGAGGCCCTTGTAGAAAAACTTATCTATCTGCACCTCTCTCATCCCTGAGTCCTGGGGCCGATCCTGGCTTCTGGCGGGTTCAAGCCCACGACCTTGCACGCACTGCGGGCAAGACGCATTGTACGGCACATGCGATCTAAGAACATGTTCTCGCTCTAGCTTACCCCAACTCTCCTGCAACAACAGTTCCCGATCCCCTCTAAGCAACCATGCTTCACTCTGGCTATCATGGGCCTCGCTCCGGTCACGCTGTGGTCGGTCCTGGCCAACATGCTCAAGCAACTCATCATGCTGCAAATCATGCTCACCCAAACCACCAACACACGCATGCTCACCAAGCTCAACGGCAACATCATGCTCACATGCAAACGCAACCTTTTCTTGCATCAGAAGCGAGAGTCCCAAGGAAGAAAGACCATCGGAAATTCCTGGATGGCGGGCGTCCTCGGAAGATTGGCGGGCGTCCTTGGAGGATCCTTGTGCACCGCCAGGGCTCACTCTATCTCGATGCTCTCGAGCTCCACCACCTCGCCCCGCGAGTTGTAGATCTTGCCGTCGTCCCCGATGTGCAGCTCCTCGGCTCTCCTCTCTGCTGGGGGCTCCTCGGCTCTCGTCTCGGCTGGGGTTTCCCTGGCCCTTGCATCCACCGGCACACTGGACACTGGTGACCATGGCGGCAGACTGGACACAGGAGACCACTCTGAGGGCGCAGAGGCCCCTCGTCCGGCTGACCTCGGGTCTCTCGGTGGCGTGGGAAGCCTCCTCCGCGGCGGTACCGGTGGTGGAGGATTGATCTCCAAGCCTCCTTCCACCTTCAGCTGTGGCACCTTCACTGCACGCGCGGCCTCCACCTTGGCTCGTGCTGGTGGCGTTCTCGGTTGCGGTACCATTGGCGATCCTGGTGGTGGTCCTGTGGGTTCCTTGATGACTTCTGAAACCGTGACCTCCACGAAAGGAACTTCCAGGCCTTTGATTTGCGCGAAGTGGTCCTTGACATGTCTTTCCAATGTCCTCCGCACCGGAGGCCCCTTGTGCTCCTCGGCCTTCTTCTTCATGGCGTTGTTGATGGCCTTCATGAGGTAGCCCTGCTTCTTCTTTTCCTTGGCTCGCTGCGAAAGCATCCTCAGCGCAGTCTCCGTCTGCCCGGGAATCCCGCGCTGGGCCCGGCTCTTCAAGACGATCTTCCGGACCTTGGCTGGCATTGCCTTCACCACGGGCGGCTTGGGCTGCCTCTTCACCAGTGGCTGCGGTGGGTCCTTTGACCCCGAAGACGGCTCCGCCTTTGCTCTGGCCACACTGCCCTTGGGCTTCTTGACCTCTGGGACCCCGATCGCTTCGGCGACCCTCTTCTTGGCCTCTGTGGCTGCCTTCTTCTCCGCCTCCACGGCCTCTGTGGCTGCCTTCTTCTCTGCCTCCGTGGCCTCTGTGGCTGCTTTCTTCTCTGTCTCTGCGGCCTCTGTGGCTGCTTTCTTCTCTGCCTCCTCGGCCTCTGTGGCTGCTTTCTTCTTTGCCTCGGCCTTGGCGGCTCTCTTCTTCTTTGCTTCCTCTGCTTCCTTGGCCCACTGGGCGCTCTCCTGGCGCTCCTTCACGAACTTCTCCGCCGCTGCTTTCGCAGCTGCCTTTGCCTGCTCTGCCGTCTTCTTCTTCACTTCCGCGGCTGGCACCAAAAGCAGGTTCTGGCCCGGCGTAAGACCCACCATCGAAGTTGCCGTAAAGGCGATCGTGGATCCCTCGAAATCCTCGTGAGTCCTCGTAACAGTCGCCGCGTGCTGCTCCGCCAGGTGGCGGCGACCCGAAAGGCGCCACTCCTGCTCCGAGTCGGAGGAGGACTCCTCGGGTGCCCGGTTGCTCCTCCTCATCCTTCTTAGAAGGCCTTCCCGACGAAGGAGCACAGCCGTCACTACGCTTCAAGCTCGCTCGGGCGGCAACTGCAACGGAAAGGTCAAGCTCAACAGCACTCGAGAAAACCCATCCGCAATTGGAGACCCATCTCGTGCGAAGAACGTACCCAGCGGCCTCAACTTTAAAACTTGGCAGGAAATCCACAACCCAGCTCTTGCCCAGCAAACGCCCTAAGGACAGCAGGTTAAACTTCACAGGAGCAACAAGCACTTGGAGTTCTGTTACCACCGTCTCGCCCGAAACCAAAACGAAAGGAACCCTGACAACCGCAGACCTCCGAACTCCAATGCTGTCGCCCGTTGCAGAAACACACTCACTGGCAGACTCACTGTGGCTCACAACGTGCACCCGGCTCAAAGTGTCCTCGTTGATGATGTGGGCCGACGCGCCGGAGTCAACGAGCCACCAATCCATGGTGTCATGCTGCTGGCTGGCTGCTGCTGTCTCGTGTGCTACCATGCCATGGTCAGATCTACCTACCACATGCAACATGCCATGCTCAACGACATTTTGAAAATCTGCAACAAAACGACCTGCTTCCAAGCTCAACTCTGGGGACTCTGCAAGCTCGACTGTGGTTCTGTCTGGGACCTGGTGGGACTCTGCAAGCTCGACTGTGGTTCTGTTTGGGACACCTCGGGACTCTGCAAGCTCAACTGTGGCTCTGTTTGGGTTGTCACAAGGAAAATTCTCAAGCGCAACATGCAACATGGAACCCTCAAGCGCAACAGGCTCACCGCCTTCAAGCACAACTGGCTCCGACCAAGCACACTCATAAGATGCAACAAACTCCTCCCAATCCTCCTGGGAAAAATCCGAGCAATCATCCTCATCAAGCTCAACAACCGGACAACTCAGATCAACCGCAGCTGCGAAAATCTGAGGCTCCAAAGAGGCAGCCGCGACCTGCGGCTCAAGCAAAGCAGCTGCTGATGCTCTTTCCCTCTTGGGCTTGGGACACTTATTCGAGTAGTGCCCGAACTGGTCACAGTTGTAACACTTGACGTTCTTCAAGCGCTCTGCTTTCTCCTTCTCCTTATCCTTGTCACTTCCAGAACCTTGCTTGCCGTCCTTTGCGGCTGCAGTCTTCCCCTTGTCCTTGCCTTTGTCCTTTCCACCTTTCCCTTTCTCTTCCTTTCCTTTCTCGTTCCCTTTCTTGTGGTCCTTTCCTTTGTCCTTTCCTTTTCCTTTTTCTTCCTTTCCTTTGTCACCCTTCTTGCCCTTTCCCTTGTCTCCGAAGGTCAAAGCATTCGCGTGATCCTTTGCTGCTCCCTTTCCTTCCTTCTCTTGGAAATTCAGGATCTTAAGGTTGGCATCATAAAACTTCAAAGCAGTCTCAAGCTGGTCCATGGAGTCAACCCTAGCATGCAAAAGAACATACTTCTTCACTTCGACATCAAGGTTTCTCAAAACAATCATGCAACGGTCTGCCTCACTCAACGCAAGATCTGGGAACCCTGCGGTCAAGCGGGTAAACTTGGCAAGCTCCAACTGGATGTTCCGAAACATGTCAAGTGGACGATTGGCAGGAGTGCTCGCGCGGTACTGCAGGGCCTCATTCCGAAGCGTCGAAGCCTCGATGCGGCTCGCAACAGACAGCTCCTGATGCAACCTCCTTACGCACTCGTACCCAGCTGGGGAGCCAAGCTGCTCCTTCTCTACTTGCTTAACCAAGTCAAGACCACGAGCAAACCCTTGCAACGCTTGCTTCAGGTACAAGAAGGTCCTAGTTGAACGCACGCTCTGTCCCTTTTCAAGCGATGACTGCTTGATGGTGACCTCAGAAGCAATCGATCGATGAAGCTCCTCCGGGATCCTATCATCAAAGAGAGCAATCCACGGCAGGAATTGCTCCAGGAACTCAGCCCATCCTTCGATCTCCGAGCGACGGCCTTTGCTCATCTTTCCACCATCAATCGCAGGCAGCTTAGGAACATAAGCTTCAGCTTTGGGATTCCTGATGGGAGCACCTCCCTCATCAACCTCCATTTTCCCCGACGAATCGGAGATGGAGCTAAGCTCTCCACCGTGGCCCTTGCCTCTCGCAGTAGGTGGCGCAGGCACTTCCCTGCTCACAAGAGCCTGAACTAGAGACGTAAGCTGGGCAACTTGCTGCTGCTGCTGCTGCACCGTCTGGTACAGAAACGTCTCCACGGTGGGCGGTGATGGTGCATTCACTGGCGAAACTCCACCAAACTCTGGCAAACCTGGTGGGGGTGGCAACACACCTCCAAGAGGGTTCGGCGAGCCAGCTGGGCTTCCCACCACCGGGCTTCCGGTTGGATGCATACCCCGTTCCAGAGCCGACAAGTTCGACACCGGACTAAAGGCAGCACCCCGAGGCACACTGCTTGCTCTCGGCCTCTGGTAAGGCGGCGCAGCGTCTGACCTACTATTCCTTCGGATCATACCAGGCTCACCTGGCACATCACCGATGTTGAAGTAGCTTGGCCTGCCACGGCCTTCCATTTCTCACAAGCACAACCAAGCAAGCAACACGCCTCAAGTCAACGTATTGGGCTCTTTCTTTTGGTTGCAAGGCAACGAGCGTTCACCACGCTCCGCTACCACGTTAAAAACCTACAAGGCGAACAGCACTTCAGGTTTAAGGCAAACAAGTTCCAAGCACCCTTGCAAGCAAAGCAAGCTCACAAAACACTCGGACAGTTCACACTTTCAGCACGCACAGCTCACTGCTGGTCTCACGTGTCTTGAGCCAAACGACAGTAGTCGTGGCACCTCTTAAAAGCTCCCAAGCACTACAAAACAAGGGAAAACAGGTTGAGGCTACCGCAAAACCGTCACGCAAGCTCAAACTACGTTCTACAGGCACTGACCACCTGAAACTAGCAAAACTGTACAAACTATACAGGTACCGAGGAAAACTCTGTGTCGCACCTAAACACTACTGGGCAGAGCACTGGTTTTCTACATTTAAGACTTTCTTCAACAAATGCTAGGTCTTCAAGCTCTCAGATGCAACCTAGGTTTTAATTTCGGTCGTTCCAGCAGAGAAGTGAACGTCATACTGATGTCTGCCTGCCATAGATTCAATCGGCTGCCGTCATCCCTCGCACCGTGTAATGTCCTCAGTTTCCCTTCCGTCAGTTGGACTCCAGGTTTCACGTGCGCTTGTTTGCGTTTGATTTTTCTTGGACCGAGCATTGCAGACGCAGCAACCGAGGCCTGCAGACGCCAAAAAAGGGTTAACTCTAATTTCGAATGTCCACCCGCCCCAAGGGAAGAAACTTGAACAAAACGCCACGTCAGTCGCAGCAGACCTCGTACACTTTCCTTTCATGCAGAGTGTGACTTTCCTTTTTTCTGTTGCTTTCACCGAAACCGGTTCAAAGTTTTTTCTTTTCAGGTTTCAACCCTTTTTAAAGCGTCATGGGCATTCCTTGTGCGAGAAACTTCTTTATTCAGCTGGGAGTGGGCTGTGTACCTCCTCTTGGAAAGCCTTTGGGTCCCCCAGTTCGTCCCTGCCAGTGTTCCTGAACAAGACCATTGCTTCGTTTCCCTCCCGCAATGAATAAGTTTTGAAGGCTCGCTGCGTTTGTTTGTTCAGTCAGCAGTGTTTTCTATGTATTATCATGTGAACTTGAGCTCGCCACGCTTGGCACGGACATTGCAACCTCCGCCGATAAAAGGGAGTGAGTGCGCCTTCCCTCTCTGTCTCTCTTTCGTGCGCTTACGTGTAACAAACATAGAGAACCTTATGAAGTCTCGAAAGTTTCAATATAAAAGTTTCAGACACATTAAAAGTTCTGGGCTGATGCTCGAGACCCAGAACAATTAAGACAATAGTCTTTCAACATCTGAAACTTTTGACGCTTTGAAGCTTGTCGGAACTTTTCAGATCTTTTAGTTCATATATGGAAAGCCTTAAATTTTGTGGAGGTTTTGGAAGTTTTGGGCTTTTGAGATTTCCCCAGGCCCAGCTTCAACTTTTTAAGGTTTAAAGCTGTTAAACAAGGAATAACGAATCGGCATAAAAAGAACAAGGAATAAGAAGCCAGGAAGAAGGAATGAATTGCACGAAACGAATACAATCCGGGTCAAATAATGCATAAAGCCGAGCCATACCCAAGTGAGAAAACTTTCCAATTCAGAAATGAGTCAATCGTCCATGATTTCTCACCGCCCAAAAGATAATCGCACGGCAGTGTCTGCCATTCTCTCCTCCGAGCACCGTCGTGCTCCACTGCACCGAGCGACTTTTGCGGAGACAAAGGAAGTGCTCATTTTTTGTTTTGTTTGCGTGCCAGTAGCAACCTACAGAGCCCTTTCAAGATCTCTGGAACGTTTCTCGGTCTTCGTTATGGGGGTGCGACTTACAAAGAAGAAATTGTTTCGTTTTTCCATGTGGAAAGCAGACGGTGGATCTGCTGGAAGCTCGCTGGAAGGCTTCAGTGCAAACAGCCGCAGACAGGCGCGGTTTCGCAGGGCGGTTCACCGGAGAGCGTGGCAGTGCCGCGATGTGGATGCATTGCAGCAAGTAGGTTTCCGCCCAGTTGTTGGTGTTGGTGCAAAACGAGAGAGGCCGTTTCACCTCCAGTTTTAGCTTAGTGGCATGGTTGCATGCTTTTGCATTTTGATGTGCAGAACGGCAGTTTTTCAGACGCCACAGCAATAATCGTGGTGAACTTTCATTGAGATGCTTGTGTGTCTCAGGATTTTTCCACAGTTACATGTGAAAGCTTTCAATCGCATAGCACGGCAGACAGGATGGCAACAAATTTGGCGCACCTCCAGCTCCCTTGCTTCCTTGTTCGCCGTTTCAAGTTGCAACATTGGAGTCAAATGACGAGCATTGTAAGAACATGGTTATGACCGGGCACAGACTCAGAATCGCAATTCGTGGCAATATCGGCGGCGCTACGCACATGTGGGGTTTCAGATTCAATATTCGACGGGTTAGTGTCTTTTAAGCCTACGGCAGCAGAACCGGGTGATTTTCATGTCGCAAAGACGGAGTTGCGAAATATGCTGGCGGCTTCCAAATACGAGGAGGACAATCTGAAGAACGGCCACGCCACCGTGTGGGGTTCGTTCTACTGTGTCTTGGCGAACGAAAGCAAGCTTTGCTTAGGTTCTGGATGCATACTCGATGGGATTATGATTCATAGTTATGACAAACCCAGCCTGGCCTCGGATAAGGCGTTGCCACCCATCGGTGGGGCTACGCTTGCTGCCTCCTGTGTGATCGCACGGCAGAGTGCGGAAAAGTAGAGGTGCCTGGGCCATGTAGGAGATGTTGTGTAAACATGGTGAGGAGTGTCAGGCTTGGACCCTTATCCTACATTTGAGGTCCTGGGTGGTCGGTCTTCTGAAGTAATGAGGTTTGGGCACGAAAAAAGGTGCCAAATATGTTGCAGAGTACGCATGTGTAGCTGCACTGTGGAGCATTTCGCCTTCGGGATAATGGCGCAGAGATTTGCAGCAGGATGCCAAAACAAGTCCAAACTGTTACGGGGCAGCTTCAGTTGCTCTTTGCATGTTTTTTCGCAACATTTAGACACCCCGATGGTTGCCGAACTGCAGCGGGCCATCCTGGAAGCCCTTGTCCGTGTAGTTGCAAGAGCCAGCCTTGCAAAGACTCGGATCATGTTGACTTCGCGGTAAGAGCCAGACAAGCCACATGCCTCGGCAGTTGCACCAGTGCTGATGATGAGGTGCCTGCATTGGAAGGACCCACCGGCGACTCCGAAGGCACGGACAGCACCAAATCGCACCGACGTGAACCGGAAGCTGTAGCGACTGAGGCGGGGTTCAGCTGAGATAGGACGCTTCACAGAGAGGGTTATTTGTAGGAAGCTACACCCGGCTCCGAACGCTGCGCTGCGGAGCTGGCTCGCATTTTGGCGACGGAGGCGAAGAAGCCTTTCCAGGCACTTCATCACGAAAGCTTGTAACAGTTTCAGCCGCCCCGCAAAGCTGAGTTCGGCTAGTCCTTCGAGGTGTTGGGCCTCGCTCCTGCGAATGCCAGCAGCTATGCTGTCAGGTCGCATCCCCATCTGCATACTCATGAGTATGACTGTCTGCAAGTGCCTACGAAGGAACGCATTCCGGCGTCTGGCCTTGCTAGTTCATCCGGACAAGAACCCGGGAGATGAGGAGTTCGGAGTATCGGAGTACGGAAGGGGATCCTTCTTTGGACCGTGCTTGTCTCAGGAGCGTTGTCACCGTGCACTGCTTCGTGCACAGGGCGCGCGAGAGGCGGCACTCGCTGCACAAGGCTTTCACAAGGATTTCTGCTTTCCTGCTTCTGCTTCAGGCTCCAAGCGACTCAATCCACGGATGCGGGTTCGGGTTGAAACACCGAGCTGAAACTTCGTGCAGGCGGCTCTCGCGCTGCTAGCTGCACCTCCGGCAGATTCCTCGGGAATTCGAAGAGCCCAAGCGCGAAGAATCTAAGAAGGGCTTGGCTTTGAGGCGCTGACTATGATCTGGAATTTGAGGCACCTGCGGCGGAGCCTGCGAAGCCACGGCCCACTGTCACACGCCCAAGGTCCTTGGGGACGGTTTTGCTCGCTGCAAGTCTTCAAGGCTAGACTTGATCTCCATACTGACCGAGCTTCACTCGAGTCTGTTCGGGGTCTTCAAACAAGAGCAGTTTGATCCTGACGTATGAACTCGTAACCGACGAGCTGTTGCCCTTTCTGTCAGGGAAGTGTTTGGCGAGACTAGCGACTAGTGTTATCATGAAGTCTCAAGCCTGGTTCACAGGCTTCTCCGCGTGAGGGGCTAGGCCTAGGCCTAGGCGTCCTTGGGACGCTTCGCCCTTTGCAGGGAGCGAGCTCCTGGCAAAGAGCCGCAAAAGCGGAGCGAATTCGAGACTGCCGAGGCGCCGGACCGGAACACTTTCCGTTCACCGCCTTTTCCAAAGAAGGAGCCACCCCTTTTCCAGTGGCCGTTCACCGCCTGGATTCGCGGATTCGTGGCACCCACATTCATGAAGCCAGAGTACGAATGGTATGGCCAGCGTCGTTTTACTGCGCCACGCCTCCCCCGGTGAATTGCGATGCCTGCATCAACCTTGGTGCTTCGCGTTGCAGGCCTTCGTAGCACACGCCCTGCAGTATGTACTGGCCGTGCCCTCAGTTACGACAGTTGCGAAGTTGTGGCTCCGGCTGAATGCGGCTAGTGGTTAGCGGCAGCCGCCAGGACGAGTGGTACCGCTTCGTAGACCTTGCCCTGCCTGGCGATGCGCAAAGGAGACGGGAGGCCGACAGGGATTGCGCCACCAGCATGCATTGTGGGCGGGGCAGGGTGTGCTGAGCGAGGCTTCGGCCAGACGTGCTGCAACAGCAGCGGCAGCCACAGGCGGTGCTGAAGGTGTGCTGAGGCGACGCGCAGCTGCGTCTGTCCGCTCACACTTTTGGGTAATCCTTGAAGCAGATCACGGCAGGTCGGAAGTTGCTCTCCAGCAGACGACGAAGTCGGTCAAGGCCCTGTCAAAGCTACTGGGCAACCAGGACGCCACCGGACACCCAGAGCCTCGAGCGAAGTGCGGCTTCTCCAACGTTCTGAGTTCTGTGTGGAGACAGGGTTCCATTGATGGCGGCAGTCAGAAAAGAGTTTTAAAACACCAGAAGCCTCTAAACTTTGGGTTTGAGGGGCCTTCAAAAAATGCCTCCGGTGGAAGGAACTTGGCGCAGAGATTGTCGCCAAAGTCGAGCGCGTGACCTGGCATCAAAAGACGCTGGGATGCTGTCTAGGCGCGAAGAATCACAGCTGTAAAAGCTTTGCAGATGGCACATGACGGGCTTGCTTCAGCGACCAGCCGTTTCTGTCCGAGGTGTGTCGTGGGATGCTGGAGAAGGAGTATGCCGACGCAAACCAGGCAAGCAGCGTGGATACCGCAAGACTCGCAGAGATTCGATGAGTTGTCCTCCACTGTTGGCTTCACCTCCAGCCACATGCTGTGAATGCATGCCCGGCTCAGCGGGGGTTTTAATTTCTTCCTTCGGCCAGCCGTCGTGGTCCAAGGCGCGGATGTGCAGACGGTGCTTCGTGTTTCTTGCGAGCTGCATCTGCTAGCTGGTCGTCCTTCGTGCATATCGAAGGCCCAGATGGCAGAGGCAGAATCCATAGATGACATGGACTGGCTTTCCGAGCCCCGGCAAAGTCAAGTAATCCATGCATGGTAAGATGAAGTACTTTTGCTATGCACTGGCATTCCCTGTGTTTGGTGGGTTGTCTGTTTTTGGAGTCATCATGTCTTCTGATATGCGTGACTGGCTTGCAGTACTGTGCAAGAAGGACTATGTCATCTCCGTGCTGAAGTCCCCGACCTGGGTGGTTCCAATCCAGGAGCTGCGACTCAGAGCTTCTGCGGTTGCCAGGAGTCTGCTCTTCTTTTGTGAGACTTAAAGGAGTTTATTGACCAGAATGCCATCCTTTTCGACGAAGCCGAGGCGCCCGAAGTCAAAAGCAGATTTGATCAGATTTGCAGTGGTCGGTCTGTAGAAGCAGAGCCGGAGGAGTCCATGCTGGAGCACACGGTATGCCACAAGGATTTCAAGGAGTTGGTGTCCAATTTGCTCCTCTGCCACCTCATGGAGGCCGGAGGCTGCTGTGTCTTGCATATCTTGCTTGGTCTCTGAGCTAGGGGGCCGATATCATGGGCTGCGTCTGCCAGGTATCGATCACTGAAGAGCAGTTTGATCGCTTTTGCGAGACCGGCCTCACAAAGAATCGCTCTCTGTTGCGTGGCCCGCAAGTTGAGAGCAGCATGCATCAATCAGACACCGCTGCCATTCGCCTGTCGCTTGACGAGGCATCGCGCTCTGGCCGAACAGCTGCTGGCGGCAGAGGATTTCCTGACATTCAAAGCAATGCCGCAAGCTGGCATCTGTTTCACAGGTTGCCGGGTTGGTGGCCGGAGTCCCTGCGACTGCCTTCGCTAGATCTGAGGATGTCCAAGCACAACGCGGAGATCTGCCGCGTGGTGGCGGGCGATGAAACTGAAGGTGTCACAAACCTGGCCAAAGCTGTAGTGATCCGTGGTCTTCACTGGTATCGATTTGAAGCATTTGCGGAGGGGCTAGTGTTTAGCAGCGCTAGGTTAGTACCTCGAAGTGGTGTTTTCACAGATGGGACGGGACGGTGACTGGATGTGCGGTAATTACCACAGGATAGAACTACGGAGGGAGTTTGGCAACTACGGCGAGATTGCTTTGCAGGGAGGGCGTGGTTTGGAGCCGGGTTCTCCGAGGAAGAACAGCCTCAATGAGGGCCTGCTTTCTACAGACGACTGGCACATCTACGATGACCCGCTGCTCGGTGCCGAAGGCACGGACTCTTGCTTGTAGAGGGCCTCAGTTACTGCAGCTCGAAGTTGTTGAGTGGTAATTGTGTGTGGCCGTTGAACGCGAGTCAGCGATGCCGTGGATTTCTCCGCCCTGGAGGCTGAGGGGTAAGGATAGTAAGGATGTGTGAGGTTCAGCGCTTGAAGATCCGAAGAGAAATAGACTCTGTGCCTGGCGCTGTCAAGTGTTTCAGAATGTCTCGCGGACGCCAACATTGCACAGTGAGGCCTTGAACTGCTTCGTCGCTCAATGTGAGAGTCCGCAGTCCGCAGTAGTAGCCGAGCAGATTAGAGCATCGCTAGAGCCGCAGCTTTTGCCCTCTGCTCGTGGGTCGCATGTCTCACAGGCCGAGGCCAAACGCGAAGAGGCCGAACTGGCGCAGGCAAGGCTAACCGTTAACCCATTCGGAAGCAGACCCGCAGAGGCTCTTCCCGTTCTGTGTAACTTTTGATGTCGGAGGCCATTGCACTCTCCCTCAGCATCGAGGAGGAGAGGCTCAGGCAAATGGCGGCTGACGAGGCTTGCTTGCTTGCTTGCCTGCTTGCTTGCTTGCTTGCTAAGACCAGTGAAAGCGGATGAGCTGTGCAGGAGCAAATTCCGGACGTGCCCATTACGGAGACCGTTGTTGCACCACCTCCACCACCGCCTGCAGCGGGCTTCACATCAGCTCCGCTGTGCCATTTGCCTCCTGAACCGTTGACCACTTCGCCCCGGGCTTCCGCTGCTCCAGCTCGGCTTGTCCAAACGGAGCCCCTGAAGCTGCCTAGAAAGCCTTGGGGTTTCACCTCAGCCCCGCTCGTATCACGCCCGCAAAGCATACCGCCACCGCCACCACCAAGCATGGCCACACCGGCCCCAGCCACCACCGAGCCTGCCTCTTCGAGCCCCCCAAACGACATCCCTTCTGCGATCCCGAGGTTGCCAGGCCGCGCCGGCTTTACCTCATCACCTCTTTGCACTGTGCCACCCAAGCCTCGAGTAGCGGTGGGAGCTCCTGCGGAGGATGCGCCTCCAAACCCACCGCCACCACCGGCCGATGAAGCTGAGACCCCTTCGACCGCTTCGCGAACTTTGCCTCCTGTGCAGGTGCGCACGTTTGGAGTCCACTGCTCGAAGTCTATGTGCTCGACGTTCTGCCAGGCCTTCCGCAGCAACCTGCAGCTGTGGAAGCGCCGTGCTTCTGAAGCTGTGCAGCCTCTGCCAAAGCAGTTGCGGGGAGCCAGAAGCAGAATGTTTTCGCCTCCATCGTCACCAAAGAGTGCAGCAGGCGACTTTTGTGGCCCCTCAGAGGCACCGCTTCCCTCACCAGTACCTGCCATAAACCGGGGCACAAGTATCAGCCACAGTGATGGCAGGAAGAGCGCCAGCAGCGCGCTGACCATCTGAGGCGGCAACGGGATCGCCTGATCGAGAAGCGGGCCAAGGTGGGACTCCGGGAGCTAGCAGCAAGTCTCTTCTTGCGGTCACCATCTAGTCACATAGACAGCACAGCGGTAAACAGGGGTCGCAGTGGGCCTCTTTGTTGTGGTGCTCTCATGTTGTACAGGCGCTAGGCTTTGGGCGTCGAGAACGTTTAGTGTGTGTAATGTTGCGGGGTTTTGGGGTTCATTACGTTCATTTGGGCATTTAGGCTTGCGGGTGGTTCGGGGTTCACGAGCATCAGATTTTAGGGCTTAGGGCTCCGGGTGTGCAGGGGTTTCGGGTTTGGGGTTTCAGGGCAGTTTAATAATTTAATACTCGTCGGGAGTTGTGGCCAGGGTTTGAGAACGTCGGAGTTTAGGGTTTGTCGGAGTTCAATTTGCAAAAGGGTTGAGGTCAATAATGTATTTTTCGTTTTTTGGGACGAGTCTTTTGGATTTATGGTTTCCCAATTTCAGGGTTTGGGGCGTTCACGGGTCTGGGGGTTCTCGCGGTTTAGTGGGGTTTATAGGGGGTGCCAGGGGAAAAGGCTTCAGATGCACGCCGCAGCAAGATCCGCTTCCCACTCAGGGTTTTTGAAATATTTGTTCTCCTGAACAGCACCTTAGACGAACTGGGAACTGCATAGGGTATTTCCTGCTGTGCGATGCATCATGGTTTTCGGCGCCAGGCCCAGGAACAATCAGGCACCCTTCGGCGGCCCTGGTGCTGCATTGTGAGCGAAGGGTTTGGCAGTGGAATCTCCCCGCTCGTCGCTTGCTGCACCGTCACACCTCAATCTGGCGTGGGCGACGTAGTCGGCGTATGGAGTGTTGCTGCACGGCAGGATTTTTCGTGCCTGCAGACAGTGGATCCGTGGGAGGGCTAGAGTTTTCATTTTCGTCTCGTACTGGCCCATCTTTGTCCAGAGTTGCATGGGGGAAGCCGGAACAACACGACGAACAACCGACCACAGCTACACCTTCTCAACTTGATCTACTGGACCTGCTGATCGGGCACTCTCGTATTTGATTGTTGTTTGAGTTAGTTTTAGTTTTTCATATTTATATGTTTTTTTGTGAAAGTGATGTATATTTTTTGGGTAATTGTTTTTGTTTGTTATGATTTTTTGTTTCTTCGTCTGCCTGAAATGGCTGCTTTTCGAGTCGTTTTGTGGTCAGACCCCAGGAAGGAACAAGACATGTGGGCGGGATAGCCGGCAGATGTACGGGGGCGATTAGGGTTTGGGAGGATTAGGATTCAGAGGTTGAGGGTTCGGGGTGTAGGGTTCCAGCTTTACAGTGTTTTTGGGTTCAGGAGGTTGTTCGATTTGGGGTTACAGGGGGGTGTAGGATGCATGCAGGGATTAGATTAAAGATGTTTCGGATTTAGAAATATTTTAAAATTTAAGTGATTCATACTCAAGCGTTCTGTTGGGTTTTGGGGCATTTAGGTTTAGCAGTTCAAGCATGAGGTTGTCCGGGTTGACGTGGGAAGGGAGGGATTTCGGATGTTTTGGGATTGTGGGGTTAGGGTTCTCGGGTTTAGGGTTTAGTGCTTGGGGTTGAAAGTTTAGGGTCAGAGAGGTTCAGAATTTCGGGACCATTGACTGTTTAGAAACATGATGTCGCGTCGCCTGTGCTGGCCTGGTCCTCCAACAAGCCAACAAGAGTGTCAGGGTTTGGTCATGGCTGGTTCTGGCCGAGAGGGACCGGGTGCCGCACGGGGTCGCCATCGGGTTTTTGTGCGTGGGCAGAGTATACCTTAAGTTCAGGGACTGATAGCAACCAAGACTTGTAAGCTTTGTCTGTGTCAGTGGGTCTTTCCTTGGGCCCGGGCAGATGCACGCTGCAAAAACAGCGCTTGCTTGCGTTTTTCTGCACTTGACACGCTCACTACAAAGAGCAGCGTTTCGGTTTCTCAAGCCTCCGAGAGGCGGGTTCGCACGAGACTGTGCAGAGAACCAAGCGACACACCAACGGCAACAGCAGCAAAAACCCTTCGTCACAGTATTTGGGCCAGGACCGTGAGCAGCAGCTCTCCGAGTTTGGTGGTGCCGCACATCCCGCAGACAAAGAGGCAGAGTGCAAGCCTTCCTGCTTCATTCTGTTCTTTCACATTTATCAAGAAATTGGAGTGTGCTGAGCGTGAGTGAGGTGTGGGCGGCCCTGGGCCGGCGGCGCGTGGCCGAGCTCAGCGGGGTGCAGCTGGCCAACGAGGCAGCACCCTCACATGCACAGCCGGAGGCACGTGCAGGGGGTTCAACGGGAGTGCGCTTGTTTCACGTCACGCCGTCACGCCATGTCTTGACCTGTCCCGTGCCTGCAGTCGGCTGAAAAGCTTCGGCAAGCACTGACCCGACAGTTGCTTCAAAGCCTGGCACAGTCCATGGTCAGTGATGCCGAAGTGCTGGATGATCAACTGCACCAGCTTGAAACCATGCGATGGTCTGCCGCATGAATCGCTTGCCTGCTGTAAAGCTTGACAAGCGCGGCAAAAGGGATGCGATCGCTTGCAACTGTGATATCGGGGCAGCTGGCTGGCCACGACTCGGCTTTCATACTTCGCATTGGAAGCCTCTTTTAACTTGCCCGAGCTCGAGGCCTACATGGATCTCGCCATTGGGAACAAAGCTTGGCACACCGAGGCAGGAAAGCGGCCCGCCGGGCGGGTCTTGGCAGGGCCTCGGATCTCGGATGCATCTGCGCCGTCACTCTGTGAAGGTGCCGACTCTGATGGAGGGCGGCATGGATGGCCTCACTGGCATCGAGCGCGGGCGCATGTGGCTCCCCGAGAGCGTCTTGCGAACTCCGGGGATCCCGTAGGGCCGTACGACTCCTCGGCTTTGCTGAGGTGGAAGCAGGCCCGGGCCTCGCTTCGGGACACCTTTGAGTAGCACTTCGCATCAAAGTCGTGCGGCGGACAGTGGTCCAGTGTAGAGGGACCGTGGGGGAGTACGTGGAAAGCTCTCGACGAACCGCAAAGAATGGCACTCCGCAGCTTCAGACATCCAAAAGAAAGTGAATGACCTCAGACCTTGGACCTGGAAACTAGAAACCCCAAAAAAGGATAGTCAGTCCTAATCTAAGCACCGATCCCGTGCTGTCGTCCACCAGAAGCTCGACCACCATGTCGAGCTTCAGCGGAAGGCTTTTTCTGAGGGCCCACGGGCTTATCCTGACTTGTCCTTCCAGGCCCGCACTGCTCAGCGACTGAACGCGGCCAAAGCGAAAGCCAATGCAATGGATGACGAAGAGGCCCCTTTTTTTGGGAAGCGCATCGAGCAACAGTTGCGGAGTGTGACAGCTCACGCTCGAAGAAGAAGCTTCATGCACAACACGGCTCCACGTAAGCTATGGGGACAAATTGAGTGCATGACCTCTCTGACAGGTCCTGGAGGTCAAGCAGTACCATGTAGCCACGTTTGTGCACCACTGCCATGTCCATATCTAAACTTGTAGCAGCCTGGAGCCTGGGCAAGACGAAGTTTGAGTCGTTGTGTTCCCGCACAGCTGCGCTGCATCCTCGACACTCGACCGAAGTTGTCGTCAGTGCTGTTTTCCCAGCACAAACCCGTATTGGCCCCTCGAGCAACAGGAGAGTGTTTGAAACTTGACTTGAGATCGCAAGGTGCGGCGTCACGTGGTCGCCCTGCGGCGACTTCTCACCGTGGCCCAGGCTCTTTGCTTGCTGCAAACTCTACTCGTATTGAATGAGCCAGTGATCGTACAAAAACATGCATCTATATCTGCTCTATATCTAAGTGGAGCAGCAAGTAGACTGACAGACTGGTTCCAAGTGTATGTGCAGATCGCGTGATGCTGTGCACAGCACCCTCAACACGCTGTTAATGAAGGTGTTGGACATAGGAGGTCAGACGGTCAGACGCAGCCGGAGCAGTGAAGTGAAGGAACCAAAGCTCGTGTACCGACGACAAAGTTCCATCCTCCTGCTCGTGGGATTCACCTGCAAAGCCAAAACTCAGATTTCGAAGGAGGCGGTGGAACCGACTGAGTGACTAGATGTGACTAGATGCCATAGGTGCCCAGCTCCGCAGCTGTTTCACCGGAGCACAAACCTTCTCAGGAATAGACCGGGAGTGTGGCCGGATGCCGCGGCCGTCACTCCAGTCTGTTCCTGAACTTTTGGCAGCAAGGCATGCAGATGCCGTCAACTACAACAAGGCAATTGCTGCTCAAGCCCGCATGAGCAAGTGGATCGAGACGATAAGTCTCCTGAGGAGCATGGAAGACTCCAGGAAGCGATTGGATGTGATCAGCTTCACCAACGCTGTCAAGGCATGTGGCCAAGTCAGTCGCTGGGACTTCGCCCTGGGGCTCATGGCCATCATGCATGAGTTGTTCGTGACGGCAGACGCTGCCCGTACTTGATGGCAAACTGCTGCTTAACGGTTTAAAGTTTAAAGGGTTGCATGGTCGTGAGACCCTAGACTCAGACGGCATCGCAGCTGAGGCGATCCTCTACGGAGCAACGATCAGTGCCTGCGAGAAGGGCTGGTTTCTCGCAGCAAGTCTCTTGGGTGAGATGAAACACGTGCACTTGCGGCGAGACGTGATCAACTTCAACGCCAGCGTCAACGTCTTCGGCCGGGGACATGCGTGGTTAATGTCGGTAGTGCTGCTCGGTGCCATGTATTCCGAGCAGGTGGTGCCTGATGTGTTCAGCCTGACAAGTGCAATCACTGCGTGCGAGAGCACACGCCAGTGGGCAGTTGCCAGAGCCTTGCTAGTAGTCATGTCTTTGCGCGCGATGCAGTCGCACCTCCTTAGCTACAACAGCACGACTAGCGTTTGCGGCCACTCTAGCGAGTGGTCCATGGCCTTGAGTCTCCTTGCGTGTGCAGCTATGAATCAGCTCAGCCCCGATATCATCAGCTACAATGCCACAGTGGAGGGATGTGCCTGGTCTTTGGCTATCCACTATTTGATGCGGTGTACTCGGAAGGTTGCACTAAGGCCAACGGCGATTAGCTACACAGCTGCTCTCGATGCAGGTCCGGGAGCTTCGTGGGCACACTCTCTACACCTCCTCCGCACCATGCACCTCTCTGCTAATGCCATCAGTTACAACACTGCTTTGAAAGCTTTACCTGTCTGGACGTCGTGCTTGATCCTAGTTCAGCAGATGAAGATCTGCCGATTGCCGTTAGATGCCACGACTTTGAGTTCTATGTGTTCAAACTGGTTTGCCGCGGCAGGTCTTCTCACCACGCTGGTAGAGCAGACTCATCAGCTGAACACGGTCAGCTTCAATAGCATCCTTTCCTCCATTGAGGGTGGTGGACACTGGCATGTCGCCACAAGCCTGGTTTCGGGACTGGATCGATACAGATTGCTGCCAGACATGCTCAGTTTCAGCTTGGCAATCAGAGCTTGCCAAGCAGATGGACAGGAAGCGGCTGCTTTGGAGCTCCTTCGAGGAGCGCAGGCGCTGCAGCTTTGCGACACGTTCACGTTCAACAGTGCCATCGGCGTTTGCCATGTTGGTGGAGATTGGAGTGCCGCGATCGGTCTTCTAGAGCGGATGATAGCGTTGGGCCTTCAGCCAGATGTGATCACCCAGAGCAGCTTGATAAGCGTCTGTGAGAGAGCTGCACAATGGAGGGTGGGACTGAAGCTTTTCTCCTCGAGCTTCGAGAAGACAGTCGAACCGGACTTGTTCTGCTTGAACGGCGCGCTCAGCACCTGCGAGAAGGCAAGGAGGCTTCAGGCTGCCTTGAGGCTCTTGCAAAGCTCCGTGGGAGCCGGATCTTCGCGCCTTGAACCTGACGTTATCAGCTTCAACAGCGTCATCAGAGCATGTGCGGATGATGGCCGGTGGCTCCTTGCTCTTGGACTGTTTCTGACCATGCGCAGGTGGCTGGCACCGAATCTCGTCAGCTACAACAGTTTAATTATCACTTGCGCACGAAGAGGGCGATGGTCAGCGACCCTTGGCTTTCTCGAAGCCCTGAGATCAGACGGGCTAGTGCCAAGCATTATCACCCACAGCAGTATTGCAGCCACTTGTGCAAACTCTGGTGCGTGGAGGTGTGTTCTTGGGAGTATGGCTGACATGGAAACGCAGCGGGTGTTGCCCACCGCGAAAACGTACGTCAGCGCACTCAATGCGTGTGAATTGGCAAAGGACTGGACAGTTGCTGCGTCTCTCTTTGCTGCCGCCGGAAGGCTGGGAGTGTCAGACTGCAAGACGGGCTCGAAACGAGTCAGGGTCTGTAGCAAACTACCGGCAACAAGCCGGAGGAGGCCGTGCAACCATTCATGCTGACGGTCTCGAAGTATGCATAGATGTTTGAAACTGCATGCAGCAGAAATGTGCCCATCTTTGGCTTTGAGGCGGTAGTCGAGACTACAGCGGCGGCGTCCTTGCCTCCCTCTCCCCCCTCTCCCTCCCTCTCCCTCCCTCTCCCTCCCTCTCCCCTCCCTCTCCCTCCCTCTCCCCTCCCTCTCCCCTCCCTCTCCCTCCCTCTCCTCCCTCCCTCTCCCCCTCTCCCTCCCTCTCCCTCCCTCTCCCTCCCTCTCCTCCCTCTCCCTCCCTCTCCCTCCCTCTCCTCCCTCCCCTCCCTCTCCCTCCCCTCTCCCTCTCTCCCTCCCTCTCCCTCTCTCCCTCTCCCCTCTCTCCCTCCCTCTCCCCTCTCTCCTCCCCTCTCCCTCTCTCCCTCTCTCCTCCTCTCCCTCTCTCCCCCTCTCCCCCCTCCCCCTCTCCCCCTCCCCCTCTCCCCCTCTCCCCCTCTCTCCCCCTCTCCCCCTCTCCCCCTCTTCCCCTCTCCCCTCTCCCCTCCCCCTCTCCCCCTCTCCCCCTCTCCCCCTCTCCCCCTCTCTCCCCCTCTCCCCCCTCTCCCCCCTCTCCCCCTCTCCCCTCTCTCCCTCTCCCCTCTCCCTCCTCCCTCTCCCTCTCCCTCTCCCTCTCCCTCTCCCTCTCTCCCTCTCCTCTCCCTCTCCCTCCCCTCTCCCTCTCCCTCTCCCTCTCCCCCTCGCTCTCCCCTTCCCTGCTCGCTCTCTCTCCTCTCTCTCTCTCCGTCTCTCTCTCTCTCTCTCTCTCTCTCTCTGTCTCTCTCTGTCTTCCTCTTCCTCTCCCCTTTCCCCTCTCTCCATCTCCGTCTCTCTCTGTCTCTCTGTCTCTCTGTCTCTCTGTCTCTCTGTCTCTCTGTCTCTCTGTCTCTCTGTCCCTCTCTCTTTCCCACTCTCTGTCCTTCTCTCTGTCCCTCTCTCCTACAGCACAGGGAAGCTTGCGTGTCAGCGTGCGTGCTTCGGTGTTTGAGGGTCTGCTGGTGTGCTTTGAGAGCTTCATAAGCCCGTCCTCGTTTGTTATGGCAGTACTTGAGGACTCAGCCTTAGTCCACTGTCATGCTGTGAACTTGCGCAGGCCATCCGCCCAAATGCCGACCCATCAAAGAATGCCGGGTAAAAAAACAGGCGTTGCTTCTGCCAGCCTCGCAGATGTGACAAGAATCGTCTGTCTTAGTTCGCGTCTCTGTTCCAACTTATGCTTTCCTCAACTTGCCTGGCTCAGAGGGTTTTAAACGGGCGTCTTTCGTGTGCATTGTCACAGGTTGTGTATTCCAGTCTCGCTACCGCTGATTGCTGTTGAAATCCCAGCTGTGGCACAGGTTTTGCTAGCTTACGCAGGTGTCGTGTAGCTACCAACGGGGATGGAGTGGATAAATGCACGGCCGTCACCGCCTTGCAGCAAGCCGGCTTCAACAGGTTTCAACTACCGGCGTCACTCACGTCCGCGTATGTGCATCCACCCCATCTACTCGCAACCCTAAGCCGAGGCAGCCCATGCAACGGGCACTGTGCAATGCGACCTCGTCCTCCCATTCGCTCTCGCCGCGCTGGCGATCATCGTTTTGAACTTTTGCATTGCAGCTTGTCAAAACGCTTCTCGTTGTGCGCTGTGCACCCGGATCGTGAACTGCTTCACTTGAGCTTGATGTGTTGAGGTCCTCTTGTCACCCCTCCTGCATTGGCACGGATGCAATTTGTCCGACCAGTTATACCAGGCCGTATTTTTCTCCGGGAGCTTCTGAGCGTCAGAAGCCTTTGACTAGGAAGGACCACGGCGACTGAAGCAGCTCGGCGAAGGCCCGGTTCTCGAGGCCCGGAGAAAAGATCACGCAGTAGTGCTAGGACTGGGACTGCTAGGACCGAAAGCCCGACGACACCTGTCGAGTTTCGAGTCGTGTGCGCTCTTGAAGTCGTTTTCTTGACAGGCCTGGTCTTGCCTGCACAGCCTGGACCGCAGTTCCCTCCGCCTGCTTCCTGACAAGGACTCTGCCCGCATCCGTCTGCGCACCTCGCCGCCTAAAGAGGGAAAAGAAAGGCTCCTGCATTCCCGAGGACCTGGAGCAGCGCGCCCGTCAGACACCACGATGGCTCTTCATCGGTGTATCCTCGGTGCAGAGGAAGGCTGCCCCTCGACTTTTCTGTTCCCCGTTAGTCCCGAAAGGATCTTTCGAAGCGGCACAGTGAAACCCTTAGACATGCGCAGAGAAGTCCGTGGATGTCGTTGAACATCATCGGAGAAGAACTTGTAACAGATGACGGAGCGAAGTTGGGGCCACACAAGATTTGTTTTGAGGGTGTCTTCGCGCTGGTAGGCCTTGCATGAGCCGTTCCGTTTTCAATCCGAGGAATACCTGGGTCTCACTTTGTCTCACCTTTTTGATGCCATGGGGGCCGCGACGGACACAGGTTGGGTTCGGAGCTGCTGCGCAGAGCGAAATCAGGCGGAGGGCTGCCGCTACGTGGCTTTGCAGGTATCGTTGTCCACCTCGCAGACTTCGATGAAACTTGGGTGGCGTCGCCCAGAAGGTAGATAAGATGGATGCATGATGAAGTTGATGTCATTCGAGTGAGCTTGCAGTTCACAGGAGTTGCTCGCCGTTTGCACCTTCCGTCACAAGGTCAGCAAATCTCACGATTGGCTCCGCTCGGGCTTCGACGACGAGGTGCAGGCCAGGCCCCACTTGAGCCCGAAGGCGAAGCGATCCGCTCCTGCGTGCACGCGGCTTCACTGCCAGGCGAATCGTTTACACGTGATCCACGCCCCAGAGAAGCTCTACCCCTCGAAGGAGGAGGCTCGCTTCCACGCCACGCGACCCCCCCCCCCGGAATGCTTAGGATCCGACCGGAAATCATCAGAACTCAGACCCTCCTCGAGAGACGAATGGACTGGAATCTGGCAGGTCCAGAAGAGCACAAAGTTCGGTGATCCTCCGCATAGGCAGTGGTGGTGCCTCGCCGAGATCTTTCAAGAGTTCGTGAGATGTGAGCCTTTTGCGATTGTTGCGCAGCAGAGGAGAGCCAAGCAGAACATGGACTACGCTTACTTGATGTGGTGCCCTTGCGCAAGAAGTCAAGAAGGGGGGATGAGCAGCTGAACTGCTCAGGGGGGCTTCTTGAGGTATGCAGCCGGCCTGTCAGAGTACTACATGCAGCTCGAAGACGACGTCCAGGCCATCGGGACAAATGATCACTCCCCTTCGCGCACGAACACAGGAACGGCAGCACTTGCCAGGTTGTTCCGAGCTTCTTGCCAACAGTACGTCGGTACATGAGAGAGCCCAAGCCTGAGCCACCGAATGCAGAGTGGCGGATGCGCTGCGCTCTGCGCTCTGCTGCGCTCTGCTGCCGTGGCTTTTGCAGGAAGGCGGCCGGCAACGAGTGGGTGATGATCGCCTTCTCGAAGCTGGGCTTCATCGGGAAGACTTTCAGGTCCTCCAGGTGCCAGCAGATTGGTCAGAGCCCCTCATTTTTCCGCACCTTCGTAGCCTGGCCAGGCTCCCGAAGCTCGCCGAGTTCCTCTTGGCCTTTCATGACCAGGTCCGTCGGGTCCGTCGCTGCAGATTCAGAGGGGGACAAAAGGAGCTTGTCCTTGCCAGGCTCCCTGCGACTGGCTGGTTTGGATCTTCATTGATGCAGCGGAGCCCCCAGCGACTGCTACTTCATCCTAGGTTGATGGGTGCAGGCAGGTTCATGGCTCCAGCCTGCAAGTATAAGTTAACAGGGTTGCAGATCACAGCGTGGCTGGCCAGCTTCTACCCACCCCGAGAGACCTTGTGACGGTGAGCCTCGGAAGTTTGATCCGAGAGTCCTGAGGTTTCGTCGCAGCCGGTGACCGGGCAGATTGCCAAGGAGAAGCGGGCAACACTAGGGAAACTCGTGTCCTGTGCTTCAGCCGTGCTTTGCAGTGAATATCCGGACAGCGGCTCCAGGACTTGGAAGACGAGTTCGTGCGGCTCTGCTGAAAACTGCTGCAATACCGATGTTGTGGCATCCGCTGCTGAGCCAAGGAAACGTGCCCAGTCCAAGCACCAAGGCAACAAGGGCAAAGTCCGCTCCTGAGAAGCCTTGGCTCACGCGTTCCACGCCTTCCGTCTTCCGTTCAGGCCGAGCAAACCAGGTCGATGAGGCATACGGGCGCCTTGACCGCAGCAGTGGCCGGCCTTGCTGCAAGCGAGGAATGACGTTCTTCTTTTCTACAGGGAGCAAAGCGCGCAGCAGGCCTCCGGCAGCAGATTGCCTTCGTAAGACGTTGGGGCCGGCTTTGCGGCGAGGTCTTCCTCTCCGCAGCGGCTCCAGCTTCCCCGAAGACGACAGTTCCGTCAGCTCCCCGCCGCTGTATGGATCGCGCTCCTCAGTGGTTCTGGCTGCGCACTGCGCAGGGCACTGTCACTGTCGCTGCTCACAGCAGAGCCCGGGGTTTCGAGTGCGGCATCGACACCCGGAGCGATCGGACCGCGCGAAGCTAAGACACAGTCGGTGTGATCTCTCGGTAGCTCGGTTGTGGCGTCCGTTCTTCGAGGAAGCGAGAGGCTGAGAGGGAGGGAGAGACTGACACCAAGCAATGGGACGTGCAGACTAGACACACTCTGATTTTCAAAGTATTTCAGAGTGCATCTGCAGCCCCGGCCGTGGAAGAACAGTAAAAGGGTAGCCGGTAGTGTGGTGCTATTGTCGTTGGCGACCATGAGTCAATGAGCCTACACGCGCACGCACGAGATGGTGCAGCGCGGAGCATCAGGCACGAGGCTTGAGGTTTGGTTCAGTGTTTTGTTCGCAGCTTCCAGCCATCGAGAACCTGAGCCAGAGCGAAAGACACCGCACCGGCCATCACCGGCCAGAAGTTGGAAAGGACTAGCCTGATGCGGGTTTCACCTTTTTCGGCAAAAGGCTGGACGGAGGTAATGTAAGGTTCCCTACATTTCCCTACGAGAGCAACGGCAGTGGTTGTAGACCGACAGAAACGCCGCACAGAGGCATACAGGGGTACAAGGTGGTGTCACCATGACAAGCCCTTGATGTACATAGACAAGCTTTCTGTATACAGCGTCAAGCTAACATGAGTTCTGCCGAGGACAGATTCGTGTTTCCTTTGCTTTTAAATACCGGGATCTAACCAAAGGAGCTGCATCTTACTGTGACGGGGCGAATCGCCTGAATGCCCGTCTCTCTGCTTTTGCTTTGGATGGCAAGTCTGCGAAGACGGCTTCGGGAGGGTTTTCTTATTCTGCTGGATGTCAAACGGTAGAAATATGGTTCCTTTGCGCTTAATACCGGAATAAGCCAAAGGAGCTGCATTCCACGGTTCTGACGGGGCGAATCGGCTGAATTTCGCTTTCTTTGCTTTTGTGCTGCTTGCCATGACTACTGCCTTGGGAGGGTTTTCTTATCTTGCTGGATCTCAACCGGTCGAAATGTGGGTCCTTCGCGCTTAATGCCGGAATAAGCCAAAAGGAGCTTCATTTCACGGTCTAAACAGGGAAGCCTGCGAAGACTGCTTCGGAGGGGTTTGCCGAGAACGCATTCGTGTCGGCAGATTGTCGTGGAATAAGAAAAACACTCGTTCCACACCACGACACTACGAAATCAACGCCGAAGGCCAAGGGCAACCAAAGAGAAAGACAAAGAACGCCGAGGACACCCTTCTCGGGCACACAAACTACAGACCAGCACGCAGTGTCACTATCTGTTCCCGTGCCAGGAGCCTTGTGAGGCCCCAAGAAGCCGAGGAAGACGAGATGATGTTGCAACAAACATCACCTCTCGACAAGAGAATTTCCGCAACAGAGGGCCGGCATGAAGAGTTGGCGCCACAGATGCGAGGTAGCAAGCGAGTTGCTGGACAACGTCAGCAGAAGCAATTCACTCTGGAGCGAAGCCTGCGAGGTGCCGAGTGCCGTCAGGTATACTTGATTATGCCGCGGCTTTCGAGCGACAATTCAAGGACCTCGCAGAGCAAGTGATTCGAGCAAGATGTCACCTGCGCAGCGGAGGCTTTGGCTTTGGAGGAAGAAGAGCATGGCAAGAGGTGACGATGGCGACCGTGCAAGAAAGAAAGTCTTGCTCTTACGATGCCGCAGTTCCAAAAGAAGACGATCCGCCACGCGCACCACATGTGCGAGGACTTCTTGCAAGGCATGTTCTCCGATTCGCATCGATTCAGCCAGCACGCAAAGCGTTCAACGACGACACTGCAAGACTTGAGGCTGGCCGCTGAGCTCCGAGCAGGGGCGATGCAGAAACACAACCAAAACAACGAGTTCCGTGTGATGCAGTCGATTCTGGCAGAGCGAAGGGGGCGAGCCTGCTAGAGTCTCATTTGTGCCGTTGGGCAGTGAAACACAGTCCGAAGGTGCAATTTAAGGTTGGGGATGTGGTTCGTACTGAAGCTTGGAGTAAAACACCTTCAATGACTGCAGAAAGCCACATCCTGGACCTTAAACGGACACTGGCAATCGCCATGCTTTGCGGATTGCCGCCGGGGAAACAAAAAACTGTGCGACAGAAGCAGGTCCTGTCAGGCGAAATAGGCTGTCCTTGCCAGGCAAATTCTTTGTCGTGGTGTGGTTTTGCATGTCTTGGCGTGGTTGCAACACCCCCTCGTTTCACGTCCAAGGGATCAGAAAGTAATTGTAGAGACCGGCCACGGGGGGCCAAACACAAGGAGCAATGGTCCGATTCAATGTACTGGTCGTATCGTTTCGCCAAGCCCGAGCATGAAGAGCCGGTGTTTGTGAATTTTCAATAGCTTTCCAGCTGAACGAAAGGGCTTGGACGAAGGAGGCACAACGCAGCTCTGGAAGAGGGGAACAGAAAGAACGGCAGACAGCTCGAAAGGTGCAAGCCTTGAGAGGCTCGAGCTTGAACGCCATGAAAACATGAAAGTTTAAGACTTCGATGCTTTGGATGTTGGAAACGTTGGAACGTTCCAATCGCGTCGATTTCGAAGGCTCAGTTGTTCGCCGAGTTAGAAAGTTTAAGGTTCCGAAATGTTGAAATATCGAAAGCTTGACAGATTGAAAGTTTGAACGGCTCTGCATTAGGTGGTACTCACGCTCGGCTTGCACCAGGTCCTTGTGTAGAAGCTAACAGACGTGAAGTCTTTGTGGATGTCCGTGCAGGGGCGCAAGTCTGGGAGGTTGGGGTTTAGTGTTTACGATTTAGTGTTTTGGGGTTTAGGGTCTTGAGTTTTTGGGATTCAAGCTATTGAATTTCGAAGTTTAGGGTTTGTGTTTTGGGTATACAGTATATAGTCTGGGTTTTTGGGTTTGGGGTTGAGCGTTTAATGTTTACGGCGGTATAGAGTTTGCTGCGGGGCTGCATTCGGTAGTTTGTTTTCTCGACCACATCCTATAACGAAGCCATGAACAGCAGGATGGACCAGTTCAGACTCTAAAGCCGATGGTTTGCCCAGTGCCGAGTTTGAAGAGTTTGCGTACATAGTTCGGAGGCACCATAAATTCAAAGGTTGAAAGGCCGCAGCTGGTCCCATATCTTAAACTCGCCCCCTCAGTAGGCGATGGCGGTTAAGCTCATGTTTTACGCCCGACCCCTCGTTCGACGTTGGAGCTTGATCTCATCGTGAACCCACTCAGAGGGCGGTGGTGGTCGAATTCATTTCGCATAGCCCGCCCCGTCATGAGGCGAGGTTGATCTACCCGCAGTAGGCGAGTGCGTTTGCTCTCTTCCCCCATCGAGCGATGGTCTCGTATTTTTTCCATGTCTCAAACCCGTCCCGTCTATTGGCGATGGAAACTGATCCCATATCTTTTAGGCAAAGGCGTTTGATACCATATCTTTCCATAATATGTTAAACCGCGCCCTCGCATCAAGCATCGTGGTTGATCCTAAAACTTATAAACCCGCCCCCCCCCCCCCCCACATTGGGCGATGTGTGATCAAGCTCATATCTCATGCCCGACCCTTGCTGGACGATGGCGCTCTTCGACGAGAGCAGTTGATCTCACATCTTAATCCCATTCCCCAATTAGGCGATGGCAGTTCGTCACACATTTATCCATTTCTTAACCCTCCCGCTCATCGGGCCTCGGCGAATTGATCCCATATCTGGGCAGCTGATCCCACGACTCAAGCTTGCCACTTCATTGGAGTTGAGGTATTCAATCGTACTTCAAGCAGGATGTTGTTGAGCGTTTTAGGTTGTTCGAAGCTTGACGAACTCAGTCCTTTCAACCTGGGAGAATCATTCGGACTTTCAATCTTTCAATCTCGGGCTCCTGATGCTAGAGCCACACGCACCAGCGTCCTCCCTCCCTACTTTCCAGCTTTCCCTGTCGAACATTGAAACTCCAAACTTGCCCCTGTTTTCAAACTCGAAAACGGGCTGGCTTAAGGGGCTCACTCTTCAGCAACCTTTCAAGCTCTTTATTCTCCCAAATTCAGAAACTTTCAACCTCCCCAATCTCGCCCTTTTTCTGAGACTCGCCAAGCTTGAGTCCCAGCTCGTGACACCTCTCAGAAGTTTCACGTCGAGGTTTGACCAAGAGTCAGGGGGAAAGGGGAGAGGGAGGATCGGAAGATCTCTAGACCTGTAAGGCGAAGAAGATGATACGCGACAGGACACTTCGCCTCGTGCGTGGGGATGTAAAGGTTCAGGAATGATGTAGTATAGGCATGAAGGTTTTTCAAGTTCCTGGAGGCATGCACAGAAAGACAGAGACGAAGAAGAAAAAGAAGCTGAATGCAGAACGAGAAGACGAGCCCACAGTCCCCTGAGCATGGATAAAAAAATTTGCATGCTCGCGGGTGCTGTCCCGCGCCGTGAAGTGGCCAAGGCTGCCACCGGCGCAAGTCTTCAGCAACATGAAGCACTGGAAGCAGTGCCCTCCGCAGTCCAAGGGCGTGTTCGCGCACGCGTGTTTGCATTGCACTGTCAGACCGTAGTACGTATGCAGGCTGCTGTTTCCAGATTGCCATTTGTGCTCAATCCCCCTGCAGCGATGGAGGTCATCGATGGACATGGACAGGTCCCTGTGGCACGTGCCGATGTTTCATATGCGGATCCGGCGCCTCAAGGTAATTCCAGCCCAACCAAAGCCGGCCACGTCGCCAACATCATCGAAAGCTGGCAGAATGCCGCCGTGAGCTCCAAAGGCTCGAGCTCCGTCCCCGTGCCGAGCCCGGGCCCGGGCGGAGCCTCCGCGGCGGGCGGCTTCGCGGTTCGGCCGACGAAGAGCAACGGATCCGCTTGGCGAGGGGAGGCTTCCTGGCCCGAGGTCTTCAACGAGATGGTCGGCCGGCGCCGTGGCTTTCGTGTCGGTATACGCTTTACCAGTTTTTAGCAGGGTCTCGAAGAGAGCTGAGCAGACTCCCTTCTCACTTCTTGAGTTCGGCATTCCAGGCTAGACGGCCTCGAGAACCGCGTGGAAGAGTTGAGCCGGGCTTTGGAACGACTGGCGCAGCGCTTCGACGGCCTTCAACCCGGAAACATCGCCCGACGTCTCGAGGAGAGTCACGTCCAGTCTTGTACGTAGCGACGTAAGGCCCTTTGGCAATACCATGGCAGGGTGGATTTGGCATGGGATCTTTGTAGGGAATTCAGATTGCCAGGAGCAGGAAGCTCGCATCCTTGCGACCCGCTGCCACCTGGAAGCTACCGAGCATCAGCTTTCCCGCGACGTGGCTTCGCACGGAAACCTCATCCGCAGCTTTCAAACACAGTTCGCCGAGCTGCAAAGGCAGCTTTGCAAGGCCGCATCCCTGTCGGCAACGCAGGAACTCAGCAACCGAGTTGAAGATCTGGAGGCCAAGCACAAACACTCCGTGGGCCAGGCTGCGCAGGAGGCCGTTCGCAAGGAGTACGAGCGGCTTGTCCTGGAGCTGGCACAGGTGGGTCCGTCGGCCCGAGCTCGGCGTCCAGACACTCCGTCGGACTGGTCCTTGCTGAGTGACGTGGACAGACTGGAGGGCCTCTCTTGCAAAACAGGGCCATTTCAAGGCAAAACCCCACATTCCACGCCGAGGGGTCCTGTGTTGCCCGCCTTGTACAGAGAGAGTGAAGAATCGTAGAATGATGTACCGTTTCATGATTTTCCTGCTCTGGTGAAGTTGTGTTCATGCCCTACCCTCTATAGACTAGAGATCCCAACAGCTCTGCAAGAGCAGATTGCAGTGCCCCACTTGTGAACCCACCAAAGTGTGACCTCGCATAGACACGCAAATGAGGCCGTGCTGGCTAGCAAATTCTGAGCTTTGTTGCGCCACTCGCTGTTTGCATGCACGAGAGCAGCACGTCAACGTCTCGGCTCAGCCGCTTCCCCCCCCGAGGAGTGCTCAAGCATTGACACTTTATTTCAATCTGCAGCGCATCTAACCTTAGATTCGTGGTATCATCGACAGCATCTTTCATACAGGGTTTCTGCATCCGCCTACATTGCCCCTCAACATAGGTGTCAATCCTGCAAGACTGCTAGCTTGTGGCGAGAATGACGACCACATCCTTCTGTTGGTCAGCTTGGCTCCATGCTCAAGAAGGCCGACCTGCGCCCCCCCTCAGACAGATGGGTGGGCACTGCACCAGGTTTGGCCAGACCGTTTCTATTTTCAACTGCTCACCCGACTGCGGTCCCTTCCCGACCTGTTCCTCTCGCAGCGAGCTAGCTTCCTGCCGGGTCCAAGAACCATCTCGTCGGATCTACTGAAACTGGTGCATTGCTTCTGCATAGGCACTGCAGTTTTTGAGGATCGTAGTGTATCGCAAGCGGGCAAAGCTGGTTGACGTCGGAAGGAAGCACGCGCATGTTTAGTTTGGGTCTGAGAAGGCCTTTTCCGGCCTCGACCGCTTGTTCGTGCCTCAGATGGTTGATTCAGGTTTAAGTTGCATTTGCGGTGTAGTTGCAGCAAATGCGCATGTCGGAGTCGGAAGGCACAAACCGGGACTTCCTGGCCTCACAGAACCACCGTGACGCAGCTGCATTTGTGGCGGAAGCCAGGACCTATTCTCACAACAAGCCTCTTTCAGGGTGGGAAAGGCGGCGACAGACTCCAAGGCCATCCGCAGTCAAAACAGCTTCTGACGAAGTCCCGCTGTTTTAGGGGTGTCTTGTCATGGCAAGTCTGCCGGAAAGTGCCAGGAGACTGGGATCTGGAGCTATTTGGTGACGGACCTTTCTGGTATCCGCCCACGGCAGGACGCTTCGCAGTTAGTCACAGTTAGTCAGTTTCTGCGTCGTAGTATTGCAGGGTGGTGGCCATGTCGTGCAAGGCTACTGTCCTACACGCACTCCTGAGCAGCAACACTACTGTATCCCAGAGTGCGGCAGCAGATTCTGACATCGCAGACCTTCCGTCAGGAGCCGGTGTACAGTCAGGATCCCAGAGCATCAGATGAACTTAGGAGAGAGAGAGAGAGAGAGAGAGAGATTCAATGGCTCAGAAACAATGCGCAGATTTAGGAAAACTCGCTGCAAAGCAAGCGTGACCAATTCGGAGAACCACTTGGTTCAAACCTGATTCTTCGTCCTAGTTTCGTCCTTGTTTCCTTGGCTGTATTCTGAGCTTTATGTAGCTTGCTTTCCTGAATCGCATTGTTTTCCAAATTTCTACCAGGGTTTTCTCAATTGCTTTTAGTCTTTTCCCAATCTGAATCTTTGTGCAGCTCCCTTCGAAATTGTCTTCCAAAACTGTCCGCAGCTTCTACTTCTAGCGCCGGTCTGCCCAAGGCACTAGCAAGGAGTCAAGCGCCAAGCGCTACCCAGCTGGCGCTGTCGTCGAAGTCCACGAGAGGCTGAGGCCTGAATGGTACCATAGGGGCCTTAATGATGACCTATACTATTTTGGGGGTTCCTTATTGTATTTATAGTGTAATGGGCACCGAAACCGAAACCATGTTCGAACTGTTAAGGCCCCTATCGTAGGATCCAACTTCCTCCGCGGCGTCTGGGAATGGGATGGGTGCCAAGCAGGTCGGGCTGGACGAAGTGGCTGCGTTTAGCCGAGGCATCGGACGGACGGTGAGCCAAAGGCTTTACACTGCCTCTGCTTTGAGGGGGGATGGCTATTCGACATTTCGCCCAAGGACAGAAAGGCCCGGTTTCCGAGATAGCCCTCGAGCGGGCTCCCTGCTTGGCTCACATGTTCAGGTGCGAATGGTCGAGGTTGAGGTACAGCACGGCCTCTGGAAATTTGAGGTTTGGCATCTGCCAGCCTGTGCCAGCCGGTTGACGTGTTAAGCATGCATGGCAGGTTTGCACAAGGGAGCTTGTGCATCTGGCAGCACCAAACTTGGCTAAGAAGGCACGGAGCACAGCAAGGGTTGGATTGATTGGCGGAAGCCCACGGCAGTGTGCCGGCTGCACGAGGCCCCAGCAACTCCGATGCGCGCGGGCGAAGTCTTCAGCTCAGACCAGAAGGCCGTCGCCCGAGAAGAATGGCTGTGCTGCAGTCTCTCCCTCTGCTCCTTATCTGCTGACGCTTCTTAGAGGTGCGGCCTCGGATCGGCCGTGGTGCATTCCTGCGCGTTCTCGAAACGGGGACTTGGGCGGAGCCGGCTCTTTTCCGACGCCGTCTCCAAACTGCGAAGCTCGGACCTCACCTCCGCAGCCTCCGCCTCGGCCTCTCCAAGAGCTGAGCCATGTGAGTCATGTGAAATGCGTCTCCGAGGGTGGACTAACAGATCAGAGCCTCGGCACCCTCGGACACCAGCAAACGAAGGATGTAATCCTGTAATCTCCGACAGTATGAACACAGAGCCAGAGCCGTTCCTAACACTCAGCATGCAAAGCCAAGCTGAATTCCTCGTGTCAGCGCCATGGCGACTGATCTGCTCGTCATGAAGGACGCTGGAGCCGTGCCATGCTGTGATGGGAGGCTTCAGAGCGTGCCGAGCCTGACCTTCCTCCTTCCGTGTGGATTGTAGTAACTTAGGAGGTTTCTGTTACGTGCATGGCAGGAGACCCTTCGCTGGGAAGGCGCGGGCCCCAAGCTCTTTTTTTTCGCGAAAACGTGGCGACCCGGCTTTGGCTCTGAGGTGCAGATCCGGAGGCTGAGCAGCAAGGCCAGAGAGTGAGAGTCCTTGCACGGCACGGGAAGCAGGTGCACCTGAAAGAACTTTCGAAGTTTGATGAGCCTGCAGCTTATGTTAGACGGTACAGAAGGGCTTGACTGGAGCTGTGCTGTCACTGAGATTCAATTATTGGATCTCCGAGTACTTTGACACTCCGGCACCGGCTCAAAACGTGCTGGTCGCCTCCACAGCCGAAATTTTCTGCAACATGCAAGCCATGTTCTTGCTTCTTGCGGGCTGAGGATGCCTTAGCAATCCTCATGGGCTGGCTGGAGGCTCATTACCGTCGTGGTGCACATGCGTCTTTCTACAGGCTTCGTGGGGAGCTGTTGCCGTTCAGGTCTGGCGATGCCAAGCAAATTGTGACTCAAATCACCGGGCAGCGTCACACCGAGGCTTGTCGGGAGTGCAGCGACACAGTCGGTCCACCGCCGGTTCTCAAGATGGCAGGACAAGAAGTTCCCGGAGAAGTTCAGCAAGTTTCGAGCTGATCTTCAGGCAGCCACATCTCTGTGCAGACGGGAGGCAGTCGATGCTGTTCAAAGGTGAGGCATGTCGTTTCTAGGCCTGCTGTGAGCCGGAGCCAGAGCCTGGTTCTAGGTTATTTGTCTACTGTTGCAGAATTGCGGAACAGAACGGAACAGGCATGATCTCCGAATTGCCTTCAGGTTCAAGCGCATTGCGCTACAAATGCATGTGAGCAGACATCAAAATCATTAGCGAGCCTGCTGTAGTTTTTCGGATGAATGTCAATGTACTGACAACATTTTCAGGTGTCCATCGGCATTTGCAGCTAGTACCGCACCGGGAGACTCACGACAGCACCGTTAGCATGTCGCGAAGGGCTTGTGCCCGTCGAACAGAAATCTAACTCCAACTCGTAGTACGGGTGTCCATCGATGCCTGGGCCTTGTTCTTCTCCATGGCCAAGAAAATCACGCGGTCAACCACCGTCCCCTGGTGTAGACTCGTCTCAGTACGAGAAGTGATCTGGATGCGTGCGTGCAAACTCACATGTCAGATTGCATATGCACAAATTCAGGTCCCAACGCCTCGGGATGAGAAGCCCTTCGGCAGACGTATCTTTTCGACCAGTGTGTATGTGTATGCCTGTACGTGCGTTGTCCCAAGCAAGACTTCACAGGTCCGACCTGCAATCGCCAAAGACTCTGGAGAGGCCGTCGGCTGCTTGGTAAATGCTCGTGTGGGCTTTTTCTGGCTCTGCAGGAGTCAGACACATAAACTTGGCGGCAGCAAGTCCAACGGCCAGAAGTCTGCCACGTGGCAGAGTTTAAGAAAGCCCATCTGAGAGTGAGTTGATCAAACCAGCTGCAGAATTTGCCGGACATCCACGGCAAAGAGCCGACCTCCACGACAGCCAGGGACCGTCTGGGATCTGCGAACATGCGTTATTTGGTGTATCCGAAGCTTATAGGGGCCTTTTTGCTGCAGGAGGAGTCGCCCGAGCCGGATGACCTTTCGACGGCCATCGCCTTGAAGCATCCTCTCTTCGAGGGCACTTCGCAGGAGCGGCTCGGCGCAGAGCGGCAAGAACCTTCGGCGCAGCTGCGGCAGGTGCATAGACTCAGTTGCTGACCATGGGAAGTCTTGTGAAGCCGAGGTTTCGAACTGAGATTGCGCTGAACATGAAGCCCTTCCAGGTCAAGACTGTCGGCCCACGGCTCGGCGAGCAATGGCCGGGTGTTGTGCGAGACGAGGGCCGAAGAGCAAGTAGGCCAGTAGCCGTGGCCATGAGCCTCGCAGCACCGCTACCGTAGTACGGTGGCGGCGGAACGTCGTCAAGTCGAGGTCAGCGTGAAGTCAAGACGGAATATGCCCGCGAGATGTTCGAGAGCAGCCTTATGAGACCCAGGCCCTGAACGGCAGAAACGCAAAGCGCGTCTTCGCTCCTCCTTTTGCCAGGGCTCGGGTCCTGCTGGTCCAGGGCCGTGCGCCGGAGACGCTGCCTGGCATGCTCCTGACGCACCACAGCGACAGCCATGTCTTCGAGACACTGCTGCATAGACACAGCTCTGGCAGCCGGCATTGCCTTGCCTTTGCCTTCTGTGTGCCTTGCCCTGCAAAGTGGCAGACAGCTGATATGTGAAATTGAAGACAGGAAGTCTTGTACAACAACATCCCACTGGGACCTGATGCAGAGGCTCGGGGCCAGAAATAGATTTGCGATCCTGCCAGTCTTGACGGGTTTGGGTCTGGCTGGCCTTGCTCTTCTCACGCAGCTGCTGCGGAACCGTCATCGACAGAATTGACAGCCCTCCGATTCAGGCCTACGTGCTCCCTTGCACAGCAGGGCAGGCAGATTTCTTGGATGACTGCCGAGCTGAGCCAGACCCACACCAACAGAGCCCACTGGATTCAAGGAAGTCGCGCTGGGCATAACGGCGGTCAGTTGGAACCCCAGCTCCAAAGTCTCTGCAGACTCATGCCCGCAGTCTATATGAAGATCAAGAATCGGTGCATTGAGCTCATGTCTCGAGGTCCGTTCACGGTGCGCTTGCGTCCTCTGCCCAGAGTTGCATCAATGATGTCATCGCGACCCCTCACAGATCTCGCTTTTTCTGAGGCTCGGAGCCCAAGAGGGGCTTCCTCTTCGTCTCGGCAGACATCCTGGAGATTCTCTTCACAAGGCGCTCTTGGACTGGAGAGGAGAGAGCCCAGAGCCGCAGGTAAACCCAAAACCGGAGCGGAGGTACTCCGCGGACTTCGGGAAGATGAAGGACACGGCCTACAAGGCCGCCACGGGCTTCCTCAGAGCCTGGCTCACGAGCCCGGGCCCCCGGGCCCCGCCGCGGGCTTCTCTTCTCTCAACTTAGGGAGGATGTGTGGGGTTTGGGTCTCCTGTTGCATCCTTGAGGATACTATGCCAAAGCCTACGTGAAGCTCTTCGTGAACTTGACAGACGAGTTCAGATATGCCCTTCTCACTCATGCGAAAATCCAACTGATCAAGGTAGCCCGGCTCGGATTGTGGGGCGGCTCTGCACAACATCCACACATTTTGTTGAAGTTGGTGTAGGCTGCGGTCGACCTGCTGTACTGGATTGCTTCAGTCAGGCAGAAGCCAAAATCTGCAAAGAAGGTGACGTGGGAGATTCATGCCGCTGGTTCTGCACGCGACAGTGTCGGTTGTTCCTGGTGTAGTTTGCTTGAGTCTGCATGGACTCTGTGAACTGCTTTGAGTCAGGCTTCTTTGTCTTTACCGGCGAGGCTGACATTTACTGCAAGCATGCCACTTTGCTGTCTACAGTAGCGGCTAGCCTTGCCTTTCGGCCCTGGGCAGCCAATCCCGGGGCTCCATCGTTTGCGAACGTCGTGAGGTCGAGCAGGTAGCCCGTTTTGCTGAGGCCTTTGCTGGCCGCTTGTCACAACTCCCGGGAACCAAAGCCTGGTCGCTTGGCTGCACACTTTGAGTGAAGATGTGCGTGTGTGCCTTCGGCTGCTCCCGCGAGAGTTTCATATCAGGGAATCGTGGTGGGGTGCGCTGGAAGTTGGTGGCAGCTGTTTGAACCGCGTCGCTTCGGTTACGGCCTACACAGATTGCCCCTTTGATGCACGCATCTGCAGGAGGGGTGCAGTTGGCAAAGACCCCGACTGCGGGGCAATATGCGATTTCCCGCGGATGACAAGAAATCTGGGTAAAGATGCAAGAGTAGCTTAGTACAGGATCGGCAAGTAGGCCCGCAGCTACCTGTACCTGGCCGAGGTGTCATATGGGAACTTTCGGCCAAAGCTATTCGAGACTTGTGGCTACTCTTCCCGTATGAGCAGCGCCCTCAGGTTGTTGCCATTCTGCAATGGCTGGAAACTGCGAGTGCTGACTTTGGCATGCTTGAAGCTCTGAGGTGCAGCTTCTTCGTGTCTCAGATGCAGCAGCGAGGATTGAACAATGCTTCATGTGCCAGCCTGGCTAAGGACAAAGTTGCGATGAAGCACCTGCAGTTGCTGTTTCCCTTCACGGATCGAGTCAGTAGCTCTTCTGCGTATAGGAAGTGGAGCCACGTCTGAAGCCAACGACACCAGCTGAGAGCTGAGGTGAAATCAACATTTTCGAAAATTGCAGTGCCGAGTTTTGCAGAGTGATACGAAGCTTGGCCAGAATGCTGAGCACGCCATGTGTTCGTGCTAGCCCAGTATGGTTCCACTTTGTCGAAAGGTGGCCTCATGGTGCCGCTGGGCTTCTCCAGAAGAAGGGTGCTTTTGGATGTCCCCACCCTGGCCACCAGCTGAGGCAGAAGGTGTACTGCCGCGATGAGGTGGTCATGCAAGAGGGCGATGCGGGGGACGAGATGTATGTGTGTCTTGCTTAAGACAGTTCAGTCATCCCCACCTACCCCCTTAAATGTAGGATGCGGGGGGCACACAGGTGGAAAATAGACTTCCAACACTTTCCACGGTTCGGAAAGCATCCTCAAACGAGCTGGAAGCACAAAGCAGCAAAGGCTAGGCTAAGACTGGTTAATTGAAGAATAACATACAGAGATCCTCGGAGACAGTTGTGAGGGGTTGCATTGTGGGATGTACAGTCCTGACTATGTATTCGGGGGGGGGGGGGGGGGGTGGGGCGATTGCTATCTGGTGTCCGCAATCGGAGGGTTTTTGCCCCTAACCCCGAATCCCGAAAGCCCAAACCCAAAGTTATGTGTAATATCGCCCCGAACACCGACTGATCAGGTTTGGAGCGGGAGTGCGGCTTGCATCCTTGCCCCCCCGTTCCGAGGCTCTGCGTCGGCAAGTGCAGCGTCTTTCGTGGCTACAACTCGGACAGCGCTGTTTTGCTTCTTTGCAAAGTGAAGTCTTCGGACTTGATCAAAGCACTCTCAGTTGCTTGCGCCCGACTGTTTCGAAGGAGCCTTTGAGCCACCTGCATCCTGGTAGTTGTTTTGGAGGGCTTGCCGTTCTAAACATCACCAGATGCTTGGCTTTGGCAAAGCCGGGTCCTTCACGCTTTGACAATTTGAAGTTCGCGAGCCAAGGACGTCGCACGGCAACCATCAAGGCCCAAGCAACCCCGAACCACTGTGCACTTTGCTGGCAGTCTTTCGTGTTTCCGTTCGCCTTCCTTTTTCTTGAAGGCGGACTGCGTCTGCGACCTCCGGGCTTTGACGCGGCCGGCGCTGCTAGAGGCGCTGGCACAGTACCCGGGCGACAAGGTGCCGCGGATGAAGCTCATGACTCATGAGTGATATGGCGGTGCAAGCGAGGGTCGTTCTTGGGGGATATTTCATCGTTTTTTCCTTAATTGCGACTGCCTCGTGCAATGAGCTCAGGACCGCGTAAGGGAGGTCATCGAAGCGCACAGCCAGAGCAGGCAAGCCACTGCATCGGCGCTGCAGCGTGCGGGTGCCAGCGCCATGGACGCGGATGAGAATCTCCGGAGTCTAGAGACTAAGCACAGAAGAGTCTCGGAACACCATGTGCATCTTCCGGACTCGCAAAGGTGAGGGCAGCTTCAGCAGCCAGTTTCTGCAGATCCTTCTGGATAACATGCACGAGCAGCCCTTCCTACCGAAGCAGACGATTTTGCAAGAGGGTAAGGAGCTCTTCAGTGTCGGCTTGAAACTCTCAGTAGCAGCAGCTGTGGATGCTCTTCGGTTTTCCGAAGTCCCAATCCGGCTCTGTGTCCAGGAGAGTTTTCTCACCGTCCTGCTGCATGGAATGGTCGAAGTGGAGGCTCTGCTCGGGCTTCCCCTCTTGCCGAGTCTTTCCGAGTGTTTGGGCCGTTTTGGGCAGGTCCGTGGCGTGCACATCGCCAACATCGTGGCACCGGCCATCTTCGGCGAGCGCGGGATCCTGGAGCCCGGGACGCCCTCTGCAGCCACGGCGCGCGCCGGGAGTCGGGAGCCGGGAGGGGGAGCCGCGGACCGGGGACGCAAGCACGGAGAGGAGGATGAGTGATAGTCGGATAGTCGTGGTGCTCCCTTCCCGGAGAGGTGCGGAGCTGCACGGTGTCGGAGTGCATGGTCTTACCGGCCTCCAGCGCCGCGGTGCCGATCGTCCGGGCTCGGCTCCCGGAGGACATCGCACGCTTGGAGAGGCGCCGAAATCAAACATGGGCGAAGTTGTGGCTGTTCTTTCAGCCACAGGGAGCTTGAGGAAGCTTTTCCTGCCTTGCAGGATGCTCGAGAAGAAGATGGCGCTGACCAGGCCATTAACCGAGACTCCCTCAGTGCAAACCTTGTTAGAAGGGCACCTGCCCGAGGAATCACTTGGCCAGCCCAGACGACATGACTGTGGCAGCCGAGCAGCAAGACAAAGGGCTGCCCTTTGGCTGGAAGAGTGGAGGCTTCCTCGAAGCTTCGAAGCTCCTTCTGGCTCCCAGCTCAAGCTCAGGTTTGGCGCATGCGGAGCCGAGTTCCTGGCCCGCGCAGCTCAGACCGAAAAGCTGGATCTGTGCAGTCTCTCTCAGTCTGACGTGTGAGGTGTCGAACTACTTCGAGCGCCGGGTCTACCTTCCGAACCAGAACATTCTGACAGAAGGCGAGGAGCCCCGATACGGAGCTCCTCGGCGCAACTGAGGCTTGAGAGTACGTCTTGCAGCGGGTGTTTGGTGCCTGTTTCAGGTGATGATCCATCAGGGCACGGCCACCGTCGAGTCTCAGGGCGTCCTCATTGCTGAGTGTGGCCCGGGAGAGTTCCTTGGCGAGGCCCGGCCCGGGCCCGCGACGAGAGTGCACGCGAACCCAGCCCTGCAGACGAAGCTGCGACGTGATTCTTTCGATCAATACGGTAGATAATGCCCTACGTCGACGTGCCAATTTGGGTGTCAAAAGGCACGGCTCGGTTTCCGATGTGCAAAGCAATGACGCTTTGCATCTCCAAAACACGCTTGTGCGTGTCCACCTGTCTAGTATCGTGAAGATGTATAAATCGTAAAGGAGAAACCCCGAGTAGTGAAAGAGTAAGATATGCAAGCAGTAGCATGGCAAAGTGATACAGCAGTAACAGTAATAAAGTTGATGTGGTGAACAGGCTTTCGTTTCGATCGCTGGTCGGTGGTGTGTGTGTGGGGGGGGGGGTGTCGTGTAGATGTGAGTATATATGAGTGGTAGGGCTTTTGCGTCTCCCTTCGCCGGCGAGGTGGCTATCCTGGGCTTGTCGAGCACCTCCAGCGCCACAGTGAAGGCTCACACGAAGATCGTCGCATACACTGTGGAGGCCCAGTGATCCCGCATGCCTAATCCGTGTCCTGGAAAACGGCGCTTGGTTCGAGGCGCAGTCCTTCAAAGAGGTTTTGGATGAGTTCCCGGAAGAGAGAGTGAGGCTGAGGGAGCATCAGCTGCAAGCAGCCTGTTGACCCTGTTGCTGGCTGCAGCAGAGGATTTCCGAAGCTTCCTTTTTTGCCCAGGAAATCATGGAGAAGCGCATTGCGAACACCCAGAAGCCGGTCGAAGCCAGAGCGAGTAAGTCCCTGGCCATGAAATCCAAGTGACTTGGCACGGAAGCTCGAAGGATTCGAAAGATCTCGAGACACCAGAAACGGTCTTTGCCTTAAGCCCGGGATCTAAGCATTGAACGTACCGAGGTCGGTAAACAAGTTCCTGAAAGTCGTCATCTCGCGGCGCACCTCCGTGGATCAGCGAGCTGATGCTTGGCTTACCGATCTTCTGGCATTCTTGCCTCTGCAAATGCTGTCAGGTCGAAATCGGAAAAGTTGGATGATGCCTCAACCAGTGACAGACATCCCTTGGGATGCTGGGTGGACGACGGGGTGCGCGCGCAGTCTAGTCGTGAAGCTCTGCTCTTCTGTATAGACTGCGTTCATGATGAGTCATGATAGTCTTGATGCTCTTGCTGTGTATGATGGGCATGTTGCGCGTGACACTCTTGATTTGATAACATGCTGACGTCAATGATGCTGCAATGTTCTATTCGAGAGGTTGGTTAAGGGGTGAAGATACTCGTGATGAAGTTGCTGGTTCGCATCTAGGGTTGCGAATTCTATTCTGCTCATTTTGAGGCAAGCATGGATTTCGTGAGCTGCGTGCATGAACCCATTTGTATACACATGCCTACATACTTGCGTTGTATGTACGTAGATAGGTAGGTAGATTCATGTTGGGTAGGTTTTCAGCTTGGAAAGACCATAGATATGTGGTCCACAGCTCTATCGAATGTCGCCCAAGCTTTGATGAGCTGCCGAGGAAGCGGTCCCAGTGCCGAAAGTGGAGTTCGACACGACCATCAGCGAGAATACCAAAAGGCCGGCGTGCCAAATGAATTTATCGAAAGCTCGCATTGAGAGCCTAAGCTCCTGATCTCGACATCGCGTGGTGAGACTAGCCAGGACAAAGCTCCCGGGACCCTCGGAGGGTCGAGCTTGGGCAGAGCAGCGGAAAGGGGCGCTGACGGAGGCGAAGAAGGCCTCGGGAGCTTTCCTGGTAACGGTGACATCGGTTTCTTTGGATGCGATGTGGCAGGCGGTGCTTAGCTTGTGTCTGCTGATGCTATGTGACAGTCCTGCAAGATTGCCCCCGACCTTTCATTTCCTGTGCTGTCCTCCGATCCGCCCTGCCGTTTGCTGACCCTTTTATCTACAGCCCTACAGCGGTGCTCTCTCCAAGACCTTGCAACGAGACCAATACTTGCAAACACATTGTAGTGGTGCAAGCCAGCAGCACATTGAGCAACAGGACACGGGGGTTTGCAAGAGCTAGAGAGCATTTTTGTGTTTCCAAGCAATACCCGAAGCTGCGCATCGCGGAAATGTGCTATTGCGACGAAAATTAAGGGAGGCCAGTCCAGGCTATCGGGAGTCGACTTGCAAGGAAACCTAAAGGCACGAAGCTGGCAGCGATGGCAGCGCAGCAACAACTAAATAACATCAACCAACGTAACGGGCAAACCATGGGTGGCGAAACTTGCACAAAGTACGAACCCGAACCCACCTGCTTGACCTGACCTGCAGATACGCTGGCAGCGGATGCAGCTGTGCAGCAAATGGCCGTCTCCCTTTTGCTTTTAGTTTAGCTCCGTACGCACGTCGCACGTCGTCAAGACAAGCACCTCTTGAGGCAGGCGCATGGCGACATGGAGAGGCTCCCAGCAACCCAAGGCCTGCTGAACAATGACAGGTCCGCAGTGCAAGTCCTCTCGTGACCTCAGGCGTTCGCGTTCCCGAGCGGCAGACCAAGACCGCCTCAGCTTTCCCCGAAAGACAGCTGAAGATGCCTGGCACATTGGGAACTGTTCTTTCGAGCTCCGGGCGTTCTTTGCAGCTAAAGCTTAGCTCCCGACACCAGGAAGGCGGCCAACGTCTATGGGAAGATGGTCTGGCAAGAGATCTTCAATCCGAGAAAAACGACGATGACCGCGATGACGCCTGTGATGATCACTGATGGCACCTTGGTCTTGGCAGTCACAGTCTCATTTGAAGCCTTCTGTGAAGATGAATCGATGCCAAGGTATCGCATCATCGCCAACGGAGCTAGAGAAGGATGCGCAGGAACTGGAAGAAGCCTGGTCCCCGAAGGCCCTCCCGGCACTTTCTTGGTGGTGCTGCGCGACGGCAGGCCCTGGATGCGGCGACAAACGATGCCGTTCCTGCGGAGTCCGTGGCCGATGCTGTCGTGACCCGTCGTGAGTGTAAGCCGCCAGCCAGCAGTCGACCGTTCAAGGCCTGCAGCTGTGCCGGTTATGGAGGCATCGCAGACCGAGAAGCAAAGGATGGTTGGCCCCTCAGTGCACGGCTTCTCGAGTGGTGGTCGCTTTGTGCTTCAGATGTTCTTCTAAGGAGAGGGATGCACCGGCGCCCATGCCGCCTCCGAAGGAGAACGTTCGTTTCTAGCGCTCTGCATGCCTCCGATGCCTTCGAAAATGCAGAGGACGCTGAGAAGCGGCCCTCCCGGGCGGTTCGCTTCCGCACGGCGAGTGTGTCGAAGGCACCAGCCTTCGTCCTCCGTTGACTCGATGGGTGCCCTTTAGACTTTAGACCAGAGCTGCAAGGAGACCGAGACGGTCGCAATGCCCGTGCAGCTCGACTGCAGTTGGCTCGCGTGTTCCGAGAAATGACCGTCGCATGCTCAGGGCAAGCCCCACAACTTCCGTCCGGAGCAGCCGCTCAGCTGCGAGAGGAATTGGGGTGCCCAACCTCTTCAGTCAGCCGTGTGAGAAGCGCAAAGGGAATAGAGTCGTACAGCAATTGCTGCTGGCAGCTGCAATTGACTGACATGCGCTTCCGCAAACTTCCTCACAAATCGAGTCGATGAATTTCGCTTCGAGGCCCCGACTTGGATGACGAGGCCCAAGCGTAGGCATGGGGTGCATGTGATTTGAGCTTTTTCGTGGGCACAGGTTGCATCCGTCGTGAGCAGCGTGGTGGCCACGGCTCGCTCGGAGGATCTTGAGGACGAGCTTGCAAGCTTCGGGGTCGATCCTTGGTGGAGGTAGCCCAGGTGACAACCCCCCCCCCCGGTTTCTGCCACTTCCTGTGTGCTGCCGAGGAAGGCTAAGCTTGGGCGTTGGGATGCGGCTTTGGGCTGGTGAACATCGCTGTGCCTTTGCCATTTTCTGGAGCTCGCCAACATGGCAGCAGTCCATTTAATGCTTATAGGGCTTGGCTGTCGAAGGCACCAACGCCAGAATTATGAACCGAGGCTTCTCCGAGGCTGCCTCTTTTACCCATTTTCAGCTCTGGCTCCCAAAGGAAGCTGCAAGTTGTCTCGCGCGAGAGCTCATAAATCTGCGAAGGCAGGGGAGCAGAAACAGGAGTCGCCTTGAATGGCAGCATGCTGGAACAGGGAATCGTTTGCACGGGTCAGTGAGCTGCGGACAGCCTGAAGGCTTGTACAATTCCACGAGCCGGAGGATAGGATGCTGGCAGGCTCGGCAGCTGACATGCCTCTCCATCCCCCAGCGGGAGCTCTTCTATGCGAAGTTGGCCCGAAGTCAGGCTCCCGGGAAGCGGGAAGGTTCAACCATCCTCAACCATTGTGCGAGAGAGTTCTGTGCCGAGTGGAGTGCAAGTGCCAGTCCGAGAGAGGCGGCTTCAGTGCAGGACGGCACCATCATGCAGTCAAACGTGCGGTGGTGTTGCCTTTGCTGCTAGATCTGGCCAAGGTGTGGACTGGCAGAAGTACGATCCAAAGACTGAGCGGTACTCTGCCAGGATATGGAGCTCTGAGTTGCATCAGTTTGTTGAACTCTGCCCATGGACGGTGGACGGGAGGACCCCCATGAACTCGTACGATGTGCTCAAGTGCAGCCAGGCACAGAGCTCTAGCTGAATCTTTGCGTTGGAATTGGCCGACAGCGAGGCTTGCTTCCACCTCTTCGAGTGGCTGCGGTCGCTTCTCCCAGAAGAGGCGACCTCAGATGGCCCGGGATGCACGCACATGCCTGCGAGGGGGGCTGTCATTTTTGTACCCGGCTTGGTGCTTGGGAGCGAGAGCTTGCTGATCGCATGTGAATGCATCCGTGCACCTCCGCTCGTGTTTGCGCACATGTGCGCGTCTGGGGAAGAGAGAGCACGGAGTTCCATGAGACATGATGAGACTGACAGGAGCGACCGCCTCGCTGTGTGGATATCGACATGCAGGCCAGAGGTGTCTCTCTGTGCCTGAGTCCCAGGTTTGAAACCAGGGATAAGCTCGCGGGTAGATTCGGAGCACCTAGAAGACCCAAACGGCAGCATGAAGGGATGGACAATCCAGAAAATCATAGACGACCTTTTCCACCAGGGGTCTTGCTGCGAACACCGTAGATAGCGCTGCTGGGCGATGCTTTGATTCCCCGCACCCGCCAAATTCCAACTATGGGTCGGGACCCCACCGAAATCGAAACGTAGTAGCACTCGAATAGTACTCCAGAGGTTGTCGTAGAAACTGGTACGACGCGCACCAGAGGAGAGCAGTTGGTAAGCCACTCGAAGCCAAGAAGGCTACGTGACTCCAGCTTGTTAAGTGCTGGCAGCTGCACGAACGGCTTCGACACGCACCCCGAACGCGGAGCTGTGATGGCCTTCTGCCGCTGTGGAGAACTCGGGGGCGTTGTCGTACTAGTACGGTACGCACCAGAGGAGCAAAGCAGTCGGTAAACCACTCGAAGCCAAGAAGGCTACGCGACTCCAGCTTGTTAAGTGCTGGCAGCTGCACCAACGGCTTCGACACGCACCCCGAACGCGGAGCTGTGGTGGCATTCTGCCGCTGTGGAGAACTCGGGGGCGTTGTCGTACTAGTACGGTACGCACCAGAGGAGCAAAGCAGTCGGTAAACCATTCGAAGCCAAGAAGGCTACGCGACTCCAGCTTGTTAAGTGCTGGCAGCTGCACCAACGGCTTCGACACGCACCCCGAACGCGGAGCTGTGATGGCCTTTTGCCGCTGTGGAGAACTCGGGGGCGTTGTCGCACCAGTACGGTACTCGTACGCGCCAGGGGAGCACAGCAGTCGGTAAGCCATTTGAAGCCAAGAAGGCTACGCGACTCCAGCTTGTTAAGTGCTGGCAGCTGCACCAACGGCTTCGACACGCACCCCGAACGCGGAGCTGTGATGGCCTTCTGCCGCTGTGGAGAACTCGGGGGCGTTGTCGCACCAGTACGGTACTCGTACGCTCCAGAGGAGCACAGCAGTCGGTAAGCCATTTGAAGTCAAGAAGGCTACGCGACTCCATGCTGGAAGCTGCACTAACGGCTGTGACACGCCAGCTGTGATAGCATTCTGCCGCTGTGGAGAACTCGGGGGCGTTGTCGTACTAGTACGCACCAGAGGAGCAAAGCAGTCGGTAAACCACTCGAAGCCAAGAAGGCTACGCGACTCCAGCTTGTTAAGTGCTGGCAGCTGCACCAACGGCTTCGACACGCACCCGGAACGCGGAGCTGTGATGGCCTTCCGCCGCTGTGGAGAACTCGGGGGCGTTGTCGTACTAGTAGTACGCACCAGAGGAGCAAAGCAGTCGGTAAACCACTCGAAGCCAAGAAGGCTACGCGACTCCAGCTTGTTAAGTGCTGGCAGCTGCACCAACGGCTTCGACACGCACCCGGAACGCGGAGCTGTGATGGCCTTCCGCCGCTGTGGAGAACTCGGGGGCCTTGTCGTACTAGTGACAGCTGTGATGGCATTGTTCCATTTTGGAGATCTCGGCGGTGTTGTCTTGTCGTACGAGTAACTAGTAACTGGTACATTATGCTCCAGATGCTAGCAGTCGGTAAGCCACTTGAAGCCAAGATGTACGCATTCAGCCCCATTTGGATAGGCATATCGAGAGCAAGGAGGCGAAGACGAGCCGGATCGCCCATCGTGATGGCTTGCGTTGAGAAATGAAGAAGCTGCGAGAGATGCTGTCCTGTCCGAGCACTAGATTTCAGCACTCCAGAGAGTGGCATTTTGCACGGCAGGTCTGTGACTTCATGGACGGCACTCAGTTGGTCCGGCGTTGCGAGGCGGGCTTTCCAGCTGGGTTTGTGGACAGCATCATACTGGTAGCAACAAAATCAACAAGTCAAAAATCTGATCCTCGATATGTTCCACGAGCCCAGGGCTTAGTAAGATTCGTTTCCTGGGACGGAAGCATTGCATGATTTCCTTGGGGTCAAGATTTTTCCATGTCGGCCATGCAGTGGAATGACGCAAGCAGTGCCGGGGCAGATTCTTGATGACTCTTCGCACTAGATCGCAGGGCGTGCGGACAGCGAGTGCGATTGCACAAGTGCAGCAATGTGAGACATCACAACAACCGCGTGCTGCACTGAAGCATTCCGAATCCAGCAGTTCAAGACTTCGGGGTTCTTCCGCGAGAGGTGCCTGTGTCCAACATCACAGAAGCACATCGCATGAGACGAACAGGGGGACTGCAATTGTGCCTAAGTCTGGGGCCTGCTGATTCTGAGGGCTTCATGATCCCGATCCTGCAAAGAAGAAGGGTTTGTGGAAGTTTCGGCTTTGGGTTGACGAGCCTGTGCTGATGTTCAAAAAGGATGCAGCCGAAGAGCCGATCTCGCCCCTCCTCATCCAAGCTGTTCCGTCCCCAGTGGAGCTCGGAGCATGTTGGGAGAGGATGGCGGATGTCGAGTGGAGTGGCGCTTATTCAACACTGTCCCAAAAGATGCACTGGGGTGCTCCATCCTAGGACTTGGATGATCGCCAGCTCGACGACGATGCCGAAGTCGGCGAGTGGAAGTGCCTCCGAATCTGTGTTGTACTACATGGTCATGGCTTGTCTTGTCCTTTGTGCCTTTGAGAGGTACATTGTCTTGGACCCCAAGGGGGTCACACTCCGGAGTCGCCCAACGTGAGCCCACATCCGGGTCCACACCATTTGTACAGTGCCGAGTGCATCTCAGCCTTTGCAGGTACGACAAGGCTGCGAAGTTGAAAGCCCGGCTGGAGGAAGGAGAGGCGCGGGTTCGACGCGAGGTGCCTTACCTGTAAGCCCCAAAGCCTGTCATCCTAAATCCCACTTCTGCACCATGCACCACTCAAGCCCCGCAAAACCCGATACCCACCAAGACCCCATCCGATCCTGCGGCAGGTGGTGGAAGTTCTCGAACGCCAGGAGGGCGCAGACACAGAAGCGACCTCAGACGATACAACTGGTTCTGCTGCTGCTGCCGCCACTTCTTCTCGTGGTACTGCTACAACTGCTGTTGCTGCTGCTGAATCACAGCCACTACTGCTACTACTGCTACTGCTACTGCTACTGCTACTGCTACTGCTACTGCTACTGCTACTACCACGACGACGACTACTACTACTACCACCACCACCACCACCACCACTACTGCTCCTCCTGCTACTACTACTCCTGCTGCTGCTACTACTACTGCTCTACGACAACCCCAACAACAACTACTGCTACTACGACCGCTGCGATTACGACTACGAGTGCTACCAGCTTGTGAGTGCGAGTTGTACTGCAACGACGACTACTACTACGACCTGCGACGACGACACTACTATTGCTACCTGCTGCTACTACTATCGCAACAACAACAACTACTACTCTTGCTAGTACTGCGACGACGACGACTACTACTACTACCACGACGACTACGACGGCGACTACTACTGCTGCTCCTACTACTGCTACTACTGCTGCTACTCTGCTACTACTACTACTACTACTACTACTACTACTACTACTACTACTACTACTACTACTACTATTACCACTACGACCACTACTATCACTACTACCACTACTACCACTACTACCACTGCTGCCGTTGCTACCGCTGCTACCACTACTACCGCCTCCTACTACCGACTGCTGCGACCACGACAACCTGTACACAAATTGTCATGGCATTTGTAAATACT